TCTCAGCAGATGAGATTGGGTGCTGGGCTTCAGCGCTTGGGCAAGCTGCAGACCATGCTCATAGAGTAGTGGCAGAAGAAATACAAGCTAATACAAATTAAGGTTTACTTGTAATTTTGATTGCAGTAATTTTTTCACGTAATTGTGTTTTGGAGCATAAATAGTGTCATATATTTTGACATTAAGGCTCACTTGCACACATGAATGCATATCGGTGCTTGTTTTTGTATATCACTGACTGATCAATTAATTGTTTGCTGTTTGAACTCCATGAACTTGATTTACAAAATAGGCTGCCACCTATGTCTACTATATGTCTAGTAGCACCTAATTCTTGATCATGAGTTCTCAGGGGATTTCCTTCGATTGTGCCTGCGCAGTTCTGCCCACACATTGTCCTATTGTTGCAGTTCGAACTTCACTTAATTTGAATGATTTTGCAGTTCTTTTTAGTTAAAATTAATGGTCTTTTACAGCACTGAGATCTGAGCTGTATTTCTTAAGAAGGAAAATGAGCCAATGGTCTGTTTTCAAGTATTGTCACTGGTTCTGGTATAGAATGTATACCATGTAAAGAATTCTTATTTTTTAGTGGTTTGGTGTGTGCAGGTTTGTTTGTTTCTGTGCTCGTGATCTAGCATTTGGGCCTTCCAACTTAGAACCATGCATGCCAGTTACACATCTTGTAAAAGCACCCTCAGTTTATTTTATCTCTGCAAAGTTTTCATAGATGGTTTAGTGTACTGGCAGAGATCAAAATAAGTTGTAGAAGTTGAGAAACAAGCATTTTACTGGTAGGCTGTCGTCAAAAGCTATGTGAAAATTGGGCATAGCAAAATGCAAATTTTCAGCTTTCCCTTGGCAAAGTGCCGTCATATTGGCATCATCATAAAGAGGATAGATTGGAGCTCAAAATAGCTACAAAGATGCATTTCTACAATGAAAAATAAAGGCAGCTTCCTTCAGAGTCGTTTTATCAGCTTCTAGCTCCAATTTCTTTGAGCTCTTTTTTATCAGGTTTCATTTTTTTGAGCAGCTGCTGTCAGTCATCCCTGCGCTGTTTCACAACAAATTAAGCTATAGCCATTCCGTTTCCTGCGCTTGGACTCGGAGACATTGGTGAGTGCTGTAAAGTTGTCCATATTTGTGTGCACATAATACAGACTTTTGTAATTGGCTTTTTGTAAAAGTTGTTGGTAAGACAATATGTCCAGGACATTTCAGAAAAAAATTTAGTGTGCTTACTTAAATATTAAAAATAAACAAAGCATTACAGCACAAAATGAACCCTTGAAAATATCCATATGCAAAAATTTTGACGAACTAGTGTCTAATTAGCTAATTAATTTGGGGGTGACAATGAGAGTCTATCAAGTGTTGTGACTCAAATTTTGTATTAGCTCAAAACTGATTTCAGTTATGATATCTACACAACAAATGACATCTGCATGCCGAATTTCATTCCTGTAGCTTCATAAATAACAAAGATAATTCTCATTGCCACGTCCCCCCTTAATGAAGTGTATCCAGCTGCTTAAATCTGATGCCACCATTACAAGGCAGCTCTGAAACGACTCATTTCTTAAGAGAGTGGGCGTTCCACTTATTATAGGCCTTGTTATATTAAAATACCTCGTTAACTCAAAATCGCACATCTCAAAAAAGCGGCTAAGTTGAAATTTTCCGGGGCAATGACCATTTTCCTATACATTTCACATATATTCTTTCCTTTATCTCAAAGTATTTTTGGGTCAGATTGGGGATAACTCAAAATCTTGACTGGGAGTGGAATGAAAATTTCGCCGCCGGACTATTTCACAAGATTCGCGTGATGCTGCCATGCCTGAAGTCCGTCGTTTTTTTTTTCTTATTTATCCGTGCCTGACACTATGTTGATGCTTTCCACGAACTCAAAGTGCGCGAAGTCTCCACCAGGCAATATATCAACTTTGTCAAGCAGCCCTGTGGCACGTCATGCAACACATGCGCTGAGCAGGGAGATCCTCTCATAGAGTTTCCTAAAATTGACTAGAGGGGACTCAGGCACTGCGATCGTTGAGCGACCATGGGATTGATGGGTAGTACACAAATTTGTCTAGTCTTCGTACTTATGCGCAGCGAATCACATTTGTGGCTCGTTTATTGCTGTGTTTCGGTTTTGTTTCGAAGGAAAGAATGAACCCCTTTGAACTTCGTGACCTGATTCGAAACGGTAAGCCTAAAAGAATAATGTGGTGAAGCGCAACCACTGAATATTTGCTGATTTTTGTTTCATGAAAAAATAGCTCCAAGCTACACGAATACACACAGAGGTAGAAGTACGAAGATTAGATAAATCCGCGTACCACCCATCATTCCCTTGCTCGCTGAAGCGCCGTACGTTGCAGCTCTCATAGACACTAGCGCCAGAGTTCTTTCTGGTATGTATTTAGGAAACTCCATGGGCCCTCTGCCCACGCTTGGCGTAGTTAGTTCTTTCTAGTGTGTATTTAAGAAACTCTTTGGGCCCTCTGCCCACGCTTGGTGTAGTTTGTCTTGTTCGCTTTGTGCAGTGCACATAATTTTTCTTGAAGTGTGATTTTCGATCATCTAAGCAAACCGAGCAGTACGGATTTTTTGTTGGCTGTAGGGAGCGGCAACTTGGCGTGCGTGGGGCAAGCATGTCATCAAATTAGTGCAAGTTGCTAACGCGAGGTTACCCTAATTAAGGAAGTGGAGAAAGGAGGCCTAACGAAATTGAGCATCGTGCTGGAATTCGGTATCCCTTTGTCTACTCTTTTGATGGTGCTGAAAAGCAAGAATAAGGTGCTCGATCGATTTCAGCAGGGCTTCTCCAGCCAGTGGAAGCGGGTTTGAGGGTTGAAGTTCCCAGACGTTGAAATTCCTGAGCGGCCAACCTTCCCGTCTCTTGTATCTTATTTTATTCTCTTTTAAACCTGCTCAAGAAGAAAAATTAAAAACTGCTGCTGAAGAGCCCCTAAGTAGTACTTATTTTTCTGAAAAGTGCTCATCTTTCCTGGCAATTAGTGCAACATTGCTAATCTTGAAATTTTTCCCTGGTTTTTGCGACTTCGAGCTAATGAGGTAATACCGTAGTTCAGATTGGCACTTGGGATAGGCACCAGCAAGGTCTCAGGGTAAAGTATCGGTCAGTCACTAGATTTGATTACAAGAATGCTTATTTATACATGATTTACGAGAATATTATTTACAAGAACAATTATTTACATGATATAGTAAATGTACAGTATTTTCTTGCTGTAGTTTTGTAATATTGCAAATAGCTGGAATTCCTTTTGTGTGAGGTTTCTTTTTCCTCTCCTGCTTTCTAATTTTGGAAGGAATTGAAGCCCAAGCCAGGGAATTGTCAGATATATATTTAATTTAAATTGTAAAATGAAAATATAATGAATGTGTATAATGAATGTGTATATTTCAAAGACTAAGAAGCTACTAAACACTATGAGAGCCCCTAGGTGCATGACATGAAACGAAAGCTGTCACTCGCACCTTTTGTTGTGCAACTTTTTGAATGTGCTGACACAATGAGAAGCTTTTGTGTCTGCCTGTTCTTTCGTTAGTCTGTCAGTCTTTCTGTTACTTAAAGGAACCCTGCAACGCTTTTTGAGCGTGGTCAAGAAACGCTGCTGGTTTGTAGCCCAGGCTCCTGAAAAACATGTGAGCCAAACACTATAGTGCTGTACATGACCTGGAATATAAAATTAATTCTAGAAGTGAGCAAGAAATTGTTTTCTGTTCTCTCGACAAATGAGGTCGTATATCCAAATGATCACACTATAAATCATAATGTCACAGCCATCAGCTAATTTGAGCATTGTGAGCTGCATAGTAACTGTTGCTGCCACAGGATGCCGCCACGTGCCCGTGCTAATGCTCACAATCGCAGTTTCTAAATTTTTTTGGGGCAGTCTGTTTATGAGGCAATGGACTCCTTTAATGAATCCATTTGATGATTACTTTGAAAAGTGTTGCAGGGCCTCTTTAAAAAGAATTACTGTGAAGAACTCTAAATCAAAACAGATTGTCTTGGTGGCGGTTGGTTTCAAACCTATGGCCTCATACTTGGAAGCCTAGTGTCATACTCACTGGTGTTAACACATGCACTTGCTGTATCAAACTGTATGAATGCATTGTGTCAGAAATAAATAAAGGGGAAAGGAGAAAACTCTTTGCGAAAACTTTGTTGAAGTACTTCATAGCCGTGGAACAAAGGCCCTCTCTCTGGGACAAGATGTGAAGATTACACGGAGTATTGTAACCATCAAAAGAACCTTATTGCAAAAATTTGATGTCAAACTTGTGTTTCGGTAGCTGCAAGATGTGTCTTCTGTTGGGCCTTTCCAGGTGTATAAGTCCTACTTAGAATATGAAAGATGGCTTGCCATTGCTACCCAAAAAACTTTAAAGGGAAATCGCAACCACGAAGTCTTCTAGGATAAAACTCTATGGTCAGAATGCAGAAAAGCTTAGAAAGTGCAAGCGTGTGATATAAGTGTAATTGGGAACAAATCAGTCAGTAAAGACATCAGACTGGCTGTAAAATATGGTGGTATACACTGAGAGCAAGAAATTCTCTGAGTGAATTTGGTTCCCGAGCAGTTTCCCAGTTCTTTCAAGTTGTGCGCAATTCTACAGCTGCCATTCAGTCCTAATACACAATTTTAATTGCTCAGTACTATATTCGTTTGAGGTAGCTTGTGTTTGCATTTTAATAATCTCAATATTGTGCTGAAGGAGAGCATTTTGGAATATTGTGAATCACGTTTGACCACCTTGCTTAAGGCATGTTTCATAAGTTGCTCATAACCGCTTGGTACATTACATTTTTTTTCCCCTTGAACAAATTCTTCCTATTGCATGCTTGGGGGCAGGTTTAGATTTCCAGGCTGGAGCACAGGGTTTTACAGTACTTAAATTTAGCATTTGCTTATGATTTTTGGTCAAGCACATTTAAAAGTCTTTGTTTCCTCTTTGTGCAGCTTCAGTAATCTGTTCAGTGCTGCTGACAAGCCACAGCAGAAGCCTGTGTCAACTCTGAATGTCCGCTACAATGCTCCTTCAACAAGACTCAGCCCTGCCCTAGAGTCGATGCGAAAGAAGAGGCTAGGGGAAAAGCACCGAGGTTTTGACTTCTTGGACAGCGACCTGTGAGTCTGTGCTTCAACTTTCAAAAAATTGTGATCAGTTCCCTAGAAGAATTCTGCGAGCTAGCAGGGAACTATTGAAATGTAGAGAAACGAAACTTGGACGAACAAAACATTTTGCTAATTGGTATCAAAGTTATTGCTTGTAGCTTTGCTCAATGTTAGGAAGTAAGAATGATGCCACAATTTTATTTGCTGGCCCTGTCATTAAACATACAGGGTGCGTACAAGCTCTGAAATCCTTGAAAACCCTTTAAATTGAAAGTTTCGTCTTAGTCCTTGAAAACTTTTTAATATTGGTAATTTTCGCAGGGTCCCATTGTATGACTCGCAATGTATGGCAGGAGCGTGGTCCTGAGCAAACTTCATTGCTTATCGTGTTGCTTAACCCTGTGGGAATCGAGGCTAGCCCGCTGCCTTTGCGCGGGCTTTGCCGCCTTTTCTGCCGTTCTCATGTCCCGACATGTCTCCCCTCCTCCGCTGTCCGCCACGCTGGGAAAGCAAAGTGACGTGTAACCCCTTAAGCCGGTAGCGGATGTTGACTGTGGCGTTGCGCGCAGAGTCTCCCGAGAGGTTTCCGCGCGCTGCGTCGGGAGCGGGCAGATACTCTCCGGGACAGCAGACGGTGAGCCACGCAATCTTTTCCGTCCGTCGACTCCCGTCGCTTGGGGCTCGTCGGACTTCGCTGACGGCGCCTCGCGCCCGAGGCGAACGCTCACCTTTTGTTGCCCCACTGCGTACGCTCGGCCGAAGCGCAGTACGGTGTCCCGGTGCGTGGCCAAGCTACGCCGACCCGTATCTCTCTGAAGCCAACGCGAGCGCCTTTGCCCACGCTCGAGCAACTGGGCCTTGGTCCCAGTGTCTCCGTGAATCACTTTAACCACGGAAACGTGCTCGTGGCACCCTGTGTAGTACTTTTCACTCGTGGCAAGGATAAGCCAATTTGCTCTCCCGCCGCGCTTTTGCAACGGGCTGTACTGCGTTTGGTGTTGCCACAGACAATAAAGTGTTGCGACCTTGAGCAGTATCCTGTTCTCGCCATGGGGACGGTTAACGCGGCTTGCTAAGGCTGGACCCACGCTAGTGGCCGTACTCCTTCGGGATACGTGTCACTACAACCCCGCACATTTGAAATCGGGCACTGTCAAACCGCCTATATTAGATTGGCAAGACTGAGGCATGCACGCTTACTTGGCCAAAAGCCATAAGCTGATGGCCACATTGACGGTACAGCATCTTGAGCTCTCTAGAAAAAAAGTTGCGTGAGTGCGTTTATTGCAGCAGACTACAGTGAAACCTCGTTTCATTGTAGGTAGGCAGGTGCCGGGAATGAGGCACAACTATGCGCTAAACATACTGCTCATTAACCACCAACTGTAAATTTGCATCCCCTGATGTGTGCCATCGCCGCCAATAAGAGCATAAATATTGCGCTACAGCACAAATTGCCAAGAACGCCTACCTCGAAGCCATTTCTTTCTTTTGCCAAAGTGCAGAAAAGATTTGCACTTTCTCATGAACGCCTGATAGCATGCGGTGGTGGCGATAAAGAGCATTTCGAAAGTACTCCGTGGTTCGGGATACGCAGCGTGGTATAATGACAAAATAGACATAATCGCTATCCACGATACATGCGTACTGCGATCTGCTACTAAGCGAGAACTGGCCATTTTTTTAAAATGTGATGCAGTTGCATCCAGAGAGCTGATCGTCTATTGGCTATATGCGTGCAACGCTTGGCCTACTTGGCACATGCTGTGGCTGCTGAGCCGCTTGCTGTAGAATGCGTTCACTCTGCTTCAGACTTTGCACATATGCAGTGAGTAGCCTGTTCGGTTAATGCAGCGATGACGCGCTTTCTGCAAGTGATGTGCACCCCGCGATCGTCTATATCGGTCCTTCCAGCGGAGGCACGTTTGGTTGGTCGCCTAATAAAAGTGCTAAAACAGTGCTATGCTTGCTGTGCTGTATGCGTCCGCTTAGGGTGATAGCAATGCAGGAAGTTCCTCAGCGCCTGTGGCTCAAGGGCGGTACCAAAGGGGGGTAGGAGAGGTGGTGGCTCCACCCCCCCCCAAATTTCTGCCTGGCCCCCCTTTCGCCCCCCTCCCCCAAAGAGCAAGCATACTCAAAACACAGCGCATATGTTCCCATGTTCTCTACCCTCCTGAAGAAGCTATCCTCAGTTGGTGCCCCCCACCCCACCCCAGTAAAAAAAGTGCTGTGATGGTAAGACAGATGCTCGGGCTAGTTCGTGATTGGGAATCAACATATTTGCACAGTGCAAGACTACGAGTAGTTACGACGTAACTACAGAAGAAGAGACAAGGACAGAAAGAGTGCTGTTTCTGTCTTTGTCTCTGCTCCTGTAGTTATGTCATAACTACTCGTAGTCTTGCACTGTGCAAATATATTGTGATCGTGCGGCCCATATTGTGGCTTACATAGCTAAACTTAGCAAGAGCGAGACAATAAAGCGATACGTACTTGAATATGGTTCCGGACAACAAAGTGGTAGTGATCGGTGGTCCAGCGCGGTTAGGTAGTCGCCGATGAAAAGCTTGCAGTATGGCTTAAAGTGACACATGCGTGCCCGAACAGATAGCTGGGAATATTTTCTGTGGTAGGCGATAGGTCATACAGGCCCGTTCGATTGTCGGTGGTCAGCACCTTGCCTTCATTTTTAGCATAATTTGTCATCTGCTTTCACTAAAGATGTGTAACAGGGTTCCCAATATGTGTAAAAAAAACAGTACAGTGTTTTTATTTCGTATTTAACTATTAGTGAAACGGTTTTCTAGCAGAAGACACGCTCCACACACGTCGCTCTCTGTCGCCCCCACCACCGCTGGTTTCCGCCATTTCGCGCAAGCGCTGATGAGCGCAGCTGTTGAATGGTTTCTTTGTGACTCGACAGGTGGCGCTACGCGATGTAATACACGCCAAGAGAGGTGGAAGCATGTGCGAAAGCAGGAAGAGGAGTGGAGGAGGAGAGCAAAGGAATGAGTTAAACCACTGCGTGCAAGTTGCATGATGTGTCTCGCGCGAAATTGTGAGGCGGTGGTGGTGCCGGCACTCCTCTCTTATATTACTTCATGGTCATCACTCATTTAACTGACTGTGCACTTGTGTGAAGGCAGCCGCTTGTTACATGTGTGTGTCCCGCAGGGCATCAGAAAGGCTGCAGGCACAGCGTGCCCGTGAACGTCGGGAGCAGTACAAACAGGTGCGGGCCCACGTGCGCAAAGAGGACGGTCGAGTTCAGGCATATGGCTGGAGCCTTCCAACCAAGACAACACCTGTGAAACTGGACCTTCCCCAGCCTCCACTGAATGCCACAACACAGCGAACTGGGGGCGCACCATCCCACGTGCCAGTGCCAGTGCCTGTATTCTGCCGTCCACTCCAGGAGACCAGCTCCCCCATGAAGGTGCACATGGCTGTATCCTGTGCTCCAGTCAGTCATGATTATTTTTTAGAGAAAAATTAGTATATTTGATTCCTATAATTTTAAGGCTTTTTTCTGAAAGAAAAGCTTTCGTAAAATATGATTCTGTGGCAACACATTCTCTTTCTTCAGAAAGAGTGCATCTTATTAAAAAACAAGTCACAAAAATTAGCACCTCATAGCTGCAGTGGTTACAATATTCCTTTTCTGACAAGCGTTGCTTTGTAGAAAATGCCATTTAAAGTTCGAGTTGCCATCAAGTCAGGATAAAGTGCTCCTGCTGCATATTCTTTGCCTTTACTCGTAATGTTCACCAAGAAATGTCTATCATGCAATGCTCAGGCGAGTTTGGCTCTGCCTAATAAAACAAGGAATCTTACCGGGGGCTTTATAATTTCATAGCACTTGAACTCGCTGGTGGCAGCTTGGTGTGTTGACTGCGTACTTTGAGTTACTGCTTCCCGCAGTCTTTGCGCTTCTTGCTCGGATTCACTGCAGACAGAGGCATTGATGCGTCCTCGGTGCGGCTGTGAGCTCCCGCAATGGCAAGAATCGCAGAATGCATGAGCATAACAAAGGGGTTATGGTAATAATGCGATTGCAGGTATAAACAAACTTTCGTGCACAAACTTCAGTGACTATACGACCCCGTTCAATTGATACCTGAACTATCAGAATAATTTATTCAGCTAGATATACTAACATTCTAAATGATTATACATGTAAGTGCACTTGCGTGTCGTAAAATTTACAACAAAGTAAACGCTACAATGCCTTTCCACAACCTGCGCCGTCACTAGGAGCAGTGACGGGGTTAGGCGAATTTGGCACCATTTTTATATGCTCTCCATGATACATATGAATGTGGAAGCACTTATTGAGAATGCTGGAATATTTTGCCATGAAAATTGAAAAATTACATTTTCTGTTAATTTTGCCCTCCCTTTTTGCTGTTGCAGATGTGTTTGCTGTTTGCTGTTGCAGATGTGCATAACCTGTTTGCTGTTGCAGATGTGCATAAGGTTGACATTTGTTTCTATTTGTCAGGTCTGGTGTGCAGCTGGCGTAAACCTGACTGGTGGGCGAACGCGTGACGGGGGTACCATTGTCGGGGCCAGTATTTTCTACAAGGAGCAAAAAGCTGATGCACCATCGCCAGCTGATGACATCGACAGGCTAGAGCTTGAACTGAGGGTAAGGACAGCCCAGTGTGTATTTGTGAATGCAGTGCAGCATTATTCCTTGCTGAAGCATTTTATGAACAAGAGAAGAGAAAATCATAGCAAATTTACTGTAATTTTTTTCACTCCATTAGTAGAGCTTTTTTACTGACTAGAATGGCATGATTATTTCACTTCAGTTGAATTCCTTTATTTTTCAAGTTGCATGAAAAAAAGTATCTTAAAGAAAGAGTCGTTGCATGGCTTCAATGTCATCGTGCCGTTCAAAAAAGAAGGCATTACTTTTCTTTTTCGAACAGGACTCTACAGAGCTGTTGTCTGATAATGAATCTTCAAAACGCTTTCCTTTACACGCACTTTGATTTCTTTGTGGTGACATGGCAGCCATGTTTTATGCCAGGTTCTCAGAAGCTACGATATAATGAAAGGCAATACACAAATGGTACAGTATAGACACTTGTGTTGTCCCAGTGTCGCAAGTGGCTATTCCTCTGTACAGTAGGTTGGGTATAGGTGGTATGGGTTCACTCTGTTGAAAATTTTCGTTCTTGGCAACTGTAGTCGTCATTAGTTTTATTAGTGCGAAATTTCATGATGTCTTTACTTGTCAATAGTGTTTGAAGGGTTAAAAAAAATTATTGCACCAGACTAGACACGCTGTCAACATTATTTTACAAGAGGCAGCTCACCGACTCTATTGCCAAGTGACATTTCCCTCGCCATGAGTCTTGATGTTGATAGCACTAAAAAGCAAAGAAACCAGAAGTCTGAATTTTAGGCTAAAACTTTCGCGACCCATATATTATACGAGGCGGTAATTTCAGATGGTAAAGTTTAAAAAGAAAGCTTGCATTTGTGTAGGTCTTTATTTGACTTGGTGAACGGTACTCAGCAACAATGTGTGATGGCGAGAGTCAAGGCGGAGCACGACTCCCAGTACGAAGGGCGTTCTCGTAGAATGGAGCTAGATAGACAAACTAACTGGAAGGCATTGGTGGGAACAACCGATTACAATGTTTCTAAACGTCGCTGCACAATATACAAAAGTTTTTATGGGATATGTACAGAAAAAGAAAGATTGACAGGAAAAAAACAAAGCTTCCCCTGGGACCTGAACTACAATTAACTGTGCAAACACACAAGATGCCCCACAGAAAATACACAACACACGAGCGTGGCACACGCTATGAAAAAAGGTAGTCTTGGTATCAGCGATACATGTTTGCATCATCCGCATTCATCGGAATAATGTTTCTTGTCTTCACGTATCTAATACAGTTGGACCCCTTTATAAGAGACAATGATATAAGAGACAAATGGGTATAAGAGACACCAGTGTGCCTACAGTAATATACGGGTTGATAAGAAAATGCATAAGTAGTACCCTGCTTATGAGAGACCTCTCATATAAAAGACAAGAACTGCTGCCTGGAGCATGCCTCTTATAAAGGGGTTTGACTGTACACCCATATGATTACTATTTCATTTGTTCAAAACTTTTGTTGTGTACGCATGTGTGGTAAGGCTACTTAGCACTTTGGAGATGCATTAAAAACTGAAAGAATAAAGCAGCTTATAGTTAGTGCTTGTGTGTGTCATATTTTTTCTATGTGGAGCGTCTTGTGTGTTTGTGCTGTTAATTGTAGTTCAGTAACATGTGCCAACTAGGCCCAATTGAAGTTTTATTGAAGTTCCGATGGGAGCCAGGGCTGAGCCAAGATGCAAAAGACCTATGCAAGCATGCACATTCAGTTGCTGTATTTTAGACAATTTTCAGACAGCCTAGTTCCTCCGTTGACTCACTACACTTATGGATGCTTGCACAGTCTTCGGCATCATGTGCTATTGGTACCACCTTCAAACTTTCTTGAATGTTCTGATCAAAGACTCCATTATATATAAAAAAGAAATTGGCAGTGTTGTATTCCTTGTTTGCAACCACATAACTCTAGTTAAGCTAATGGTTTACAGAGGTCTTGTTTCTATAATTACAGTAGACTTTCAGTGAATAGAAATATATTAATTGAAATTGCCACTTAGTTAGAACTTCCTCTAGTTTCATACTGGTTTAATACTTGAGTTGTGCACCCTAGTCCTTTTCTCAGTCAACAAAACTCCTGTTAAATCGAACATAATTTCATGGTCCCTACAGGTTCCTTTTACAAGAGTCTGCTGGCGTAGAAAATTTCTCTATGTGGCCAATGAGATCATATGAAAGTTGACCGTGTTGTTCCTCTTCTGTCAATTCGTGCATCATGTTAAGTCACTAGAGCACCAACAAGCCTAAACCTGTGCATTGTGTTCATGACTGAGTGTTGTTTTTTAGCAGAAAACATCTTACTGTTGTGTTTGTGTTTGTGTTTTTTAATGCAAAAAAATGGCGGGCATTATCCAAGCAATGGTTCTTGCTTATTCTACTTGCACAGTCACTGTTGCTTATACTATTTCTGTGTCCTGCCTTTGAAACACGGCAGATGCAGGAGCAGGAACGGAGAGAACAAGAGGAGATGGCTCAGCGGCTTTCCTCGCTTGTTTGGATCTGTGCATCTACCCGGGAAAACAGCGAGGTGTATGTGGTTGATGCTAACAACCCAGCAGACATCTTGGACACATTTCATGTTTGCCCCTCCCACCTTCTCTGCATAGCTTCAGTGCCAGGTATGAATGACATCAGCATATAAGGGGTATGCACTTGACGTCATCTGTGCAGAGTACTAGTGGTAGAGTCTCTGCAGGTCCGTGCACTCCCTGCATGTCCAAAATGTTTGATGCACGCGCTGTGTCCGAAATTTGTATGGCAACTTCAATGACTAGAGACCTCAAGAACACCTCCTGCATGCCAACATGCGGACAGCATGGACGGCCATTAACGAAATGGGCCACAGATTTGCTATATCAGCTTTCCTAAATCAGCACCATATTATACTATTCCACAGCACAATGTTTAGTGCTATTTGGATTGTATGTTGTACTTGTGCAGAGTTGTGCTGTACTACTCTCCATGCATGTCGATCGCATTAGAGTGTACATAGAATATGTGTGGTGTTATTTAGGCACATTGTAATCTCCCAGTTTGCCTTTACTTTTAGTGCAGCTCCCATTAATGACGCATGGACTTTTTGTGCAGGTGCAAAAGAGACTGACTATCCTGTAGATGAAGAATTCAACAAGCTTGGCTTGGATGAGATGGTTGACGCAAGCCAGCAGGACTGTTCCCCCAACTCAAAAGCACCTGAGCCCCAAAGTGGGGCTAAGGACCAAGACGGGAATCCAAAAGTTGGAAAGCTTGTCTTTGTAAAAAGTGCCCCTGCTCCTGTTAGCAGGCCTGCATCACCTCCCAAAGAAAAAAGTGAGTACCCCAACTTAGAGGCTAGCAGTGCGTACTTAGGTCTCGTGTTTTGAATGCAATGCTAAGGACTACTTGAATGCTTTATTTGCATTTGGGGAAAAAACTGTATTATTGTGGAACCTCATTAATTTTGGTTCTAGTGAGACTGGAAAGTTATTCAAGCAAAATCTAATTGAAGCTAAAGAGAGCTTCTCTGCTCAATGACCCATACTGTTAATTGTGGTGATCTAGACGTACTCATGGGTCCCTCAACAACCACCGCCGATTCCACGTGGCGGGAAGGAATAGATTATGGAAGTACTTTTACCTTTAGTTAGCCTGACCCCGCTTGTTGTATACTGACAGTCATAGCATCTACCTATGTGCCCAGGCAGCTTAGGGCACACTCTTGCAGGTAGTTAATGGTGGGTGCAGAGGAAAGGATAAGCCAGCCTAAATGGCTGGTCACTTTCCATGTGTCAAATGTTAGAGGTCACATTGTACAGTCGATCCCAGATATATCAAACACGGATATATAGAATATTTGGCTATATCGAGCAGTTGAGAAATCCCCTTGAATTTCCCATGCAAAAGTACAGGACCAGTGGGCCCGTATGTTGAATTCCTGCCAAGCGAGACATCCGATATATCGAACGCTGCGTCAGGCCAAAGTCCAGAAAGTGCATTTCTTTTAGCAAATATTGATCAATTTTTGGCCGCGTTCTAACAAGTTCCGATCCCTTTTTGCGCGCAGGTTACAAAAAAGCGGTGCAATTCCATCACGCTGGTCTGGTTCGTTGCGCCGCGCTTGCGAGTGCACCGGTATGCTTGATGCGCGATCTGCAGGTCTTAATGCATGGGCACAGTGTTTTTCGAGAAGACCGATTGCTGAGGACACCAAAATGACAATGCGAAGTGACTGTGCAATCCCATTTCAATGTTCGCATTCCCTACCTTGTTTGTTAGCGCACAGTAGCACGCAATGAATTAGCAAGCCTGAAAAGCATGGCCTTCGAGGTGTGCAACCTCGTGACGTATTTCAGTGTTTTCAGTTTTAAAATGTATGTCTCGGAGGCTACGCTTTTTCTAGCTTTTCGCATCGGAGCAGCTGAAAGTAGCGGCTGCCAACTACAAAGCCATGAGTAACATTGATATTGCCTACATGTCGACGGTGAGAACTCGGATATTCCTTCCTCCATAGAGCTTGGTGTTGTCTTCTGTTGTGCCTTGCGTACTGCTCGCCTCATTCCTGATATATCCTCATTCAGGAGTTAAACAATGTTGACCTGCATGTGGCAATTAAAATCATCGTTGGCGCTAATAGTGACGTCAAGTAAAGCACCGTTGTAAACTTTCCTTGCGGGCCAGGTGACGACTTCGGGTTTGTCATGACGGCTGACAGTGGCATGCAGTGCCTCAGTGAATTCTGCGACTTAGCGCCTCCGGGCACCAGCTTGGACAGTGAGCTACTTCATCGGTGCAGATGACGACGTAGCTGTTTCTGACTGCATTTTCGCTACTGCCGCTAACAAACATTTTGCCGCACTACAAAGTTTGCATAGGCGTTCTGTGTCAATCAACATTGGTGTGGCCGAAGGAGTAGACATGGCATATCTGAAAAGACTGGAAGTTGACGGCACGCAAGAAGCAAGACAAGTTTACGGACTATTATCATGCGAAATAAAGTGTGGTAACTAGCAATTCACACCTTGTTCTTCATTATATTGTAAGCGAATAGTTATGTTAGCGTTTGTAACGATTTCAGAGTCCTGAAATACTTTAATTTAGACCTTAAATGCACATCTTTTATACTTCGAATCATCAATAAATTGAACTCTTTCGCGATCCCCTTCGAGTTCGATATATCCCGGATTGACTGTATTGAGGTTTCAGAAACTTGCTTGCTGTGCATGTTTCAGAACGGAAAGCAATTCAATGCAACTTTTTTTTCCTAAAAAAGAAAAAAAAGTGCGACTCATTGTTTTCAGTGACAGATTAAAGACGAGTTTGTCTTAACCTTGGGCACTGGGTAGTTTTGGAACTTGATTTCACGGGAACTTTTACCAATTCTTATGCCTAGAACTTTGCAACACCATCTGTGCTGTTCAAATTATGTATCCATTTAAATTTAAAGATTTAACATTCTTAAGATTTTTCTGTAAGTGCACAACATGCTATCATGTCTTCGAGACTCGCCTGTACTCGCTGTGTTGGCAGGCTTTTCTCTGCTGCTTGTGTAAGCCAAATTTAAAATCGCACAAGTTATTGCAAGATGCTTGTGCCTAGTTGTATGAAAATGCCAGCTCCTGTAATGCAGACCACGCCTAAAGCAAAGCATTGGAATGCTATGCCGCATCCAATTAAGGTGCGTAGTCCGTACTATAGCTGTGAATCTCTAATGCAATAGGTAACAAAGCAACTAGTCTTTGCAGTTGTTTCAGGCATTGCCGACGCATCATTAAAAACAAAAGTAAGAAAACTCCAAACCAGGATTCATTCTCCTCCCAAGAAACAAAATGCAGGTGTTCAAACCCCAGCGATTTCGTTTAGAGCCTTCTAGTTTACATGAAAGAAGCCCCATTGCTTGTGAACAGAAATTATCATCATTATGAACCGTGTGGGCTCTTTTTGTGCTCTGAATTCTGTGCTTTCTCCTAGACCACGTGCAATGACTTGTCTGGCATGGGATACAATAACTTAAATGGCCGGGATTATGAGTATAAAGAGGGAGTAGTCATTGGAAAAGGGAAAAAAGATGAATGGAGAGGAGGAAAAGAAATAAAAAAAAAACAAAATAAAATATCTTGGCAGGGTGGGATTCGAACCAGGGTACTGGCGGGCATCATAAATGCTCAGCTATGTAGGCACGCTAGCAGAACGAGCTATATTATTGCATTGCTATGGGGGAGAGAACGAGAAAAGGATAGAAAGAAATGCAAAAGAAAAGACGGAAAGACAGGAAGAGGGAAAGACTGCAAGAAAAAGAAAAAAAATCACAGCACAGCGCTCGTCACAGCGCTCGTCTCTGTCTGGTCGTCATTCTGTTCTTGCGCTATAAGTGTCGTCATGTGTTTCTTTATCTGAGTTTTCAATCGCGGAAACAGATGAAAGTCTGGAGGAGCCATGCCAGAAGGTAGGGCAGCTGTGGAGCTCTAGGCAGCTTTGAATTGACAAGGAAGCAGATCAAGACGAAGGAAATGTGGACTGGCGCTTTGCCATTGGTAACAGTTGTTGGCAACCGTCCAGCACAGGCTTCATCGCTGACCTCTTCACAACTTTCTGAAAAGGTCTTATGCAGCTGGTACTCTTGATGTTAGGACTAACAATTATCAAAGGTCTGTATCTTAGGAAAGTTTCCACTTTAGACTTGTCGAGTTCTGTAAGAAAATTTGATGGTAATCTTGTGTTTCAACGATTGCTGCATCGCTGCATTGTGGCTTGCACGGCAAATGAAAACAAGTTTCTTGCAAAAGTCTCTCATTACAGATGGTAGCGTACAACAGCACAGCTGTACGTGCAAAAAATGACTTCCCCTCCACTAATATCAAGCAGTCCTAGCCCGTTGTGAAGTATAAATGCTTTGCAATTTAATCATTGACATTACTTTTTGTATAGAGCTCGTACATACATTGTAGTGTGTTTAGTACACCACAGCCTGTATTCCGAGATTTGCTACTTTACTTTACTCTGAACAGTGAACAGGCATTATAAAATGTTATTGGGTTGTTTCTCGCTGCATGAATGGGACAGACACTGCAGCTGCATTTTTAGTGCACCTGACTTGAGTGCCAGAAATGTTAACAGTGTTTTTGCTACTGGAACATGTTATGCGAAAAAATGTGTACAGGTGACTTCCATCTTGGCTGACTTTCTTTAAAATTTTGGGTAAATTTGTTAGCCACAGAGGCCCCATGGGTCCTTGTAATACAGTCAAATCCCGCTACAATGAAATTGACGGGACATGCGAAAAAGTTCGTTGTAACAAATTTTCATTTATAGACCACAGAATTTGGTAAGATCTGATGATTATGACTTGTCCTTTGATAGCGATGTTGCGCAAAGGGCAGTTTCATTTTCTATCTGTGGGGGCTGCGCTGGCCATGCGTGTGCCTGCACAATAGCGTCATTGCTATCTTTGTTCGAATTGATTAGGTTTTGTCTGCAATGTTGCGGCCAGCAGTATCGCGACGGTTTGGCGCACGTCGAATACGCGCCTGCTTTCGCGGTCACCCGTAATCGCCACGACTGCATTCGTGTTCGTAGGAGTTGCAGCACAATGTAGTTATGCTTGGACTAGGTGCACGTTGGCTGCACGTGCACTTTCATAAAATCACGGATGTCACTCACGATCGCTGGGTTAGTGAGGACGAGTGGTAGATTTGTTTTGAATGCGACATCAAAAACCTTGAAGAACAATTCTGCCGAAATCTGCATGTGCGTCAAACTCAACGGCAGTATCATGGTGGTTGGGCGACCTGTTGCTGAGCATCTCAATGTCGAAAAACTTACTGGGATGTGCGTGGGGGGTTAGAAAACTTATCTCCGATGAAGACACAGGTGTTGCGATGCCGCAGCGTGCTCTGGATGCCACGAACCAACGAGAAATTGCCGAGTTGGTAGCGGAATTTCGTGACAATTTTAGGCAAGTTCCTTATCCTTGGGTGGTAGTACTCGAGAAAACTTTGTTGTAGTCGAAGTATCCAGAAAAAGTATTCATTGCGATGAGACATTCTTCACATTGTTCACAATGGGCGACCAACGGAGAATCGAAAATTATTCGTTATGGCAGAAAATTCGTTGTAGTGGATTTCGTTATAGCAGGATTCGACTGTGCATGGAAACTTTATTAAAATTCATGATGTCTTATCAGCTTGTTTCATTAAATAGAAAAAAAGTATACGTGGTTATCAATGTAATTAAGGTTAATAAATAAAAATTAAAAAATTTGATTTATTTGCTTCATTGAAGTTTAACTGTATTGATTTATTAAAAGATGAAGCTACAAACAGTTTTTTATGGTTTTTTAGTAGAATTAGGCTAATAAGTACAAGTAACCTCCACAGGGTGGTGGCTCTTGTCTTCAAGAAACAAAATGAAGAATGTGGCACAGCATAATCAACTGGTACTAACAGCACTTGTTTTTTGTATAGCACATTCTTTAGGCATATATTCAGCTAAGTTTAATGCAGCACGCTTGTATTAGGGCCACCAGCATATAGTTTCTGTAATAAATTTCACATATAATGCATTCTCATCTCTCTTTATCCTTTTTTTTTTTCAGAAGGGGAAGGAGGTGCTGGAGAAGTTGCAGAGGCAGTTGATGGTAGGTTGAAGACAGAACTGTTGACAACAAAAAAATCAGGACAGTTTTTAAGCATAGCCATGGCCTAGCACACAGAGCTGAGCCATTGCCTTATTCAAATTTAAAGCACGATACTGCAGGCCAACTTGATGAAGGAGTGCTTCTGGGCTAAAGCAAAATTATACAGTAGACTCTCAATAAATGGAAATTCCCTGAACAGACTAGCTGGTTAAATGGAATGTGGCATCCAAATGTGGCCTCAAATATGATTGAGTAATGTGATTGGATTCGTACTTAAATTGTGCACTCACATTTATCTCTTGGTATACAGAACTCCTGTTTAAGCAGGCTTATACACCTGGTCCTTTCAGGTTCCATTCAACGAAAATCAGCTGTACACTCAAACCTCGATACAACGAATCTGGATATAATGAATTATCGATTATAATGAAGTAAATGAGGAATAGTCTTGCAATAAATATAGTGTTGGGAATGTACCTTTATAACAAAGTTTCGGATATAACAAACTTATTTTCGTGTATGATGCAACTTTGTTATAATGAGGTATGAGCGTTCTTCCTTAATGTGACTGTCATGGGCTAGATTGAATCCTTGGTTTTTGGGTCAGTAGCTGAGTAGCGTAACCACTGTACCACTGTAGTGGCTTAATGTATAGGTTAAACCACGGCTGGTGTAGAGGCGCGCGCTCGCTTCCTCCTTTTACAGCCTAAGCAGCCGCCGCGAGCACAATGAAGCTGTTTCTATACAGTGACAACGACGCTCTCCGCGTGAGGGCGTTGCGAGCCAGCTCGTCAAAGCGCATTTTGCGGCATTCTCATTGCATTCCAAACCATCTGTCTTCGGCCACTTCCTCGTGCTAATCACTTCTTCTGTTTATAGCAAACGGTGAGAGTAGTAGAGGTGCGTGTGTGGACAGTTTGGCTTTCTCAGCACTCGCGTGTTCGGCAAAAAAAATCTGATTTTTAAGGCTCGAACATCTTATATCTGCTTAATTTGAAAATGCTTGAGGCTTGTATGAGGCCTGTATGCTTGTATGATTTATCATTTAGGTGCACGTTCAAAAACCACAATTGGTTAAAATTCCAGAAGCCTTCCACTACGACGTCCTTTGTAATCATTTCGTGATTTTGGGATGATAAACCACTCAATCATGTGGTTGTCAAACTCTTTCCCGGAACCATCGTATGTTCGGTTGTCCTAACGATGACATTACCAGCCACATTATATTGGCTGAACACATCGGTGCTGCATACGTGTGTATAGGTCTTTAGCGGCAGGACCGGAAAGCTGCTTACGTTTTTCGTAAAGAGCTTTTTTTTTGTCAGCGCCCGTCATATTGTGATGATATTGCTACCTGTAGGCTGCCACAAACCATAGTGCGAATGCGCGTGTGCGCCCGACGAAGAAGATGAGGCTCGCTGGCTGCTCGAGCTCGGAGCCAGACTGGCCAGTGCTGCAACCGCTCTTGCAAATATATTTTTCGAATATATTCGCAATACTTTGTCTCGTTACTCACGTAACATATTTGGTGGAGGTGGAACGATCCCCGTCCTCACCACGCAGCTCCGCAGTGGCCGCATCCTCCAGCTTCCCGCCATGGCTTCCAGTGACAACGCGTCCGCTTCATCATCTGCGGCTTCTCCGACAACCTTTGTCGCCGTCCAAACACCACGTGATCCCGGGACATTTTCTGCGCAACCTGGCCTCGACGTCGATAAATGGCTTCGCCTTTATGAACGGGTCAGTCAAACTCACCGTTGGGACCCTACCATGATGCTCGCTAATGTTCTCTTCTACTTGGACGGAACCCCGCGTGTCTGGTACGAGACAAATGAGGTCCGAACTCACCAGCTGGGACACGTTCAAGGAGAAGCTACGTGACATCTTTGGGGACCCGACCGGGTCGCCACGCAGCTGCACGACAGGAGCTGGCTACCCGTGTCCAGTCGCCAACTGAATCGTATGTGTCATACATCCAAGAAGTTCTCGCTCTTTGCCGAAAAGTGGACGAGGCGATGTCTGAGGCTGAAAAAGGTTGGACACGTTTTGAAGGGGATCGCGGACGACGCCTTCAATTTGCTGGTGTACACTAACGTCTCGACCATCGACCGTGTAATTCAAGAATGCCGCCGTTTCGAAACAGCAAAAAGCCGTCGGGTGCGCCCTCCTTTTTCTCGGTTGCCAAACACGGCGGCTACGTCCACCTGCTCCGATTCTACCGTCACACCGCCCTTTGAGCAGAGTGTAACGCGTATCGTTCGACGGGAACTTGAAGCAGCAAGTCCAGCGCCGCTTCAGCCACTTCTTTCGAACATACGATACCGACAACCCCCGCGATCTCCGTTATTCAGGCGGTCGTACGACAAGAATTCGCCAACCGCGGGTTCCCTGATGCTTGCCCCATCTCTTGCCCCTCCTCCAGACCAATTCCCATTAATGCACCTCGACGTGACCCATTTGTTGCTCCACGATCTCGCAACCCGGCGGAATGGCGAACTCCTGACGACAAACCGATCTGCTTCCGGTGCCACCGCGTTGGACATGTCTCCCGCTACTGCCGTGCCTCCTGGACGCCGCCACATAGGAGCCAGTTTTTCGCACCTTATAGCCCATATGAAGATCTTCGCCGGTATTCGTCCAGCCGTACCGCCCCTGCTTTCGACACGTCTAACAGCCGCCTTCCTGCTCGTTCTCCGTCCCCTCAACGCCGTCGTTCCCCGTCGCCCCAGCCACGCCGCCATCACTCGCCGCCTAACTTTTCATCGTACCCGACGGAAAACTAGACAGTGCAGCCCCTGGAGGTAGTGCTGCATCATCCCTGTCTGAACCAAACCCTCCATTGACGCTTCATACGAACAAAAATCTTGTCGATGTACACGTGGACGGTATTCTCTGTCGGCACTAGTCGATACTGGCGCTCATGTATCCATAATCAGCGTTCATCTTGTCGCCGCTTAAGAAAAGTACTCACGCCCCCTGCTACCGAAGCTGTACGTGTGGCCGATGGCGGCACTGTTCCTGTCATTGGCATGTGTACGGCTCGCATACGCATCGCCGACCGTTACATCCCTGTTCTATTCACGGTGCTCCAGAACTGTCCTCATGACCTCATCTTAGGGATGGACTTCCTGTCGACCCATTCTGCTCTGATCGACTGTTCCGCTGGTACTCTTTGCTTAGACCTTCCTCTTCAGCCGGATATTCACCCTGAACCTCAACACGGCCTTTCTGCCACAGACTTCCTCCGCTTACCGCCTAAAGCCCTCACATTCACCGAATTCGCCACGACCTCACCCGTATTGGATGGGAATTACATCGTCACGCCGATTCCTGATGTCCTACTGGCACGTGACGTCACCGTCCCTCACTGCATCGTAACTGTAGCCTCCAACCGGACCCGTCTACCCGTCATAAATTTCGGCTTCACAAAGCAAGTCCTCCTTGAAGGCATCCTAATTGCCACGTTGCGGTCCTTAGCCGATGATCACGTCACCACTTTCGCAGCCGACGCATGCCCCAATTTTCCTTGTCGCCCACTCGATGCCACATGCCTCGACATGTCAATACGTCCCATGATCGACCCTGACCTTCCCCCAGCGCAATCAGCCGCTCTCGCACGCCTTCTAGCTTCCTACCGTGACATCTTCGACCTTGACGACCGCCCACTCGGCCAAACTTCTCTTGTAAAGCACCGCATCAACACCGGTGATGCTGCTCCCATTCACCGTCGACCGTATCGCGTGTCCGCGTCGGAGCGCCAGATTATTCAAGCTGAAGTGAATAAGATGTTAACTAAAGGCATTATTGAGCCCTCATCAAGCCCATGGGCGTCACCCGTCGTCCTGGTTAAAAGAAGGACAACACATGGCGTTTTTGCATCGATTACCGGCATCTAAATCGAATCACCAAAAAGGACGTGTATCCTTTACCACGTATTGATGACGCCCTCGATTGTCTCCACGGCGCACGCTACTTTTCATCCATCGACCTTCGTTCTGGTTATTGGCAGATTGCCGTAGACGAGAAAGACCAAGAAAAGACCGCCTTCATCACTCCAGATGGCCTATACCAATTCAAGGTTATGCCCTTCGGCCTATGCAATGCCCCCGCCACGTTCGAACGTATGATGGACTCTCTGCTACACGGGTTCAAATGGTCAACATGCCTGTGTTACCTAGACGACGTCCTCGTATTTGCACCTACGTTTGAGACCCACCTTGAGCGTCTGTCGGCCATTCTCGACGTCTTCCGCAAAGCTGGCCTCCAGTTGAACTCCTCGAAGTGTCACTTCGGCCGCCGACAGATTACCGTGCTGGGCCACCTTGTCGATGCTTCTGGTGTGAGACCGGACCCTGAGAAAATTCGTGCCGTCACGAATTTCCCAGTACCCCAATCCGCCAAAGATGTCCGGAGCTTTGTGGGACTTTGCTCCTACTTTAGGCGGTTCGTGAAAGATTTTGCGGCAATCGCCCAACCACTTACCGATCTTTTGAAGAAAGGCGTTCCATTTTCGTGGGGGTCCACTCAAGCTGCCGCCTTCTCTCACCTCATAACACTTTTGACGACGCCCCCTATCCTCGCCCACTTTGACCCATCTGCCCGAACTGAGGTCCGAACTGATGCCAGTGGTCACGGTATCGGAGCCGTTCTCGCCCAATGCCAACAGGGACACGACCGCGTTATCGCGTATGCTAGCCGCCTCCTTACACCTGCAGAGCGTAACTATTCGATCACAGAGCGAGAATGCCTTGCTCTTGTCTGGGCGGTCTCAAAATTCCGTCCATATTTATATGGCGCTCACTTTTCCGTCGTCACCGACCACCACGCGCTCTGCTGGCTTTCATCCTTAAGAGATCCTACAGGTCGACTTGGTCGCTGGGCTCTGCGACTGCAAGAATACACCTTTTCTGTGATATACAAGTCTGGACGCCTGCACCAGGACGCCGATTGCCTTTCTCGCTATCCAGTTGACCCATCGGCCACCATACCTGACAACGACGCCTGCGTGTGCTCCGTTTCTCAACTGAACCACATAGCCGACGAGCAACGCCGTGATGCAGCCCTACGAGCTATCATTGAGCGCCTCGACTCCTCCCCATCGAACCGATCCTATCGCTCGTTCGTACTCCAGAATGGCACATTATACCGGCATAACTTCCATCCAGACGGCCCATCTCTGCTGCTTGCCATACCCAAACACCTCCGCTTGGCTGTACTCCACGAACTTCATGACGTTCCTACTGCCGGTCACCTGGGTGTGTCCCGCACATACGACCGGATTCGCCGTCGCTTCTATTGGCCAGGTCTGGCACGGTCCGTCAGAAGATACGTCGCGGCGTGTGAGGAATGTCAGCGCCGCAAAACACCATCGACGCTTCCGGCTGGGCGCCTTCAACCACTCGATATTTCTACTGAACCTTTCTTTCGCGTCGGCTTGGACTTACTCGGCCCTTTTCCTCTGTCTTCTGCTGGCAACAGGTGGATAGCTGTGGCCACAGACTACGCCACACGCTACGCAATCACACGCGCCCTTCCAACAAGTTGCGCCACTGACGTCGCCGATTTTCTTCTACACGACGTGATCTTGCAACATGGTGCTCCACGCCAGCTGCTCACGGACCGAGGCCGCACATTTCTATCGAAAGTCATAGCGGACATTCTACGCTCTTGTGCAACACGCCACAAGCTCACTACGTCGTACCATCCGCAAACAAATGGCCTCACAGAACGCCTGAACCGAACCCTAACTGACATGCTTGCAAAGTACGTTTCCTCAGATCACTCTGACTGGGACATCGCTTTACCATACGTGACATTTGCCTACAATTCTTCGCGCCACGACACGGCTGGTTACTCCCCTTTTTTCTTGCTGTTCGGCCGCGAACCCACATTACCCCTCGATACGACGATTCCGTTACCAGCAGCTCCAACTTCACAATATGCTCTGGACGCCATCAGCCGGGCCGCCCACGCACGCGAAACCGCTCGTGCTCGCCTTCTGACCTCCCAAGCAAACCAACGGCGTCGGTACGACCAACGACACCGCGATGTGCACTTTTCGCCCGGTTCGTTGGTTCTGCTGTGGTCTCCGACCAGGCACGTTGGCCTGTCTGACAAGCTGCTCTCTCGGTACACAGGGCCCTACAGAGTGCTTCGTGAGGTGACTCCCGTCACTTATGAAATCACTCCTGCTGCCTCGCCGTCTTCATCCACCCCTAGGGCCAGCGACATCGTACACGTCGCACGCCTGAAGCAGTACCACTCGCCCAATGATCTTGACATCTAGATGCGCCGAGACGGCGCCTTTGCCGACGGGGGTTATATGCTACCTGTAGGCTGCCACAAACCATAGTGCGAATGCGCGTGTGCGCCCGACGAAGAAGATGAGGCTCGCTGGCTGCTCGAGCTCGGAGCCAGACTGGCCAGTGCTGCAACCGCTCTTGCAAATATATTTTTCGAATATATTCGCAATACTTTGTCTCGTTACTCACGTAACAATATCACCGAGGAGTAGAGAGGCTTTAATCTATTGGTCAATTTTGCGGCCCCGCCGCGGTGGTCTAGTGGCTAAGGTACTCGGCTGCTGACGCGCAGGTCGCGGGATTGAATCCCGGCTGCGGCGGCTGCATTTCCGATGGAGGCGGAAATGTTGTAGGCCCGTGTGCTCAGATTTGGGTGCACCTTAAAGAACCCCAGGTGGTCGAAATTTCCGGAGCCCTCCACAACGGCGTTTCTCATAATCATATAGTGGTTTTGGAACCCCACAAATCAATCAATCATCAATCAATTTTGCATTGCCTACTCATGAAGCCTGGGATCGCTGATTGGTTGTGTCATTCATGCAATAGCTTCCTGCCATGTGCACCGCACTTTAATATACATGTCACAGGGAGTTTTTCAGGCATGTTTTTGGCGTTATTGCCTGCCTGCTTTTACAAAGTGACTTTCATGTATGCTTAGTGTTCTGGTGCAGGGCTCGCACAGCGCGCGCATGCATAGTGTACGGTTGTGTGCCGTTTTGCAAGTCGCAGGCTGAGAAGACTGCCGTTATGTCATTTAACCAATTCCCTGCTAATGAGCAACTATGCCTGAAGTGGCAGAAAAACGTTTCCATGGAAAATCGCGCGATTAATGACAAGTCTCTCTCCACCATCGTTTGCAGCAAGCATTTTCTTGTGAGTGGCTATGTCAATGGACACAAAATTAAAAACTCCCGATGCAGTGCCAACAGTATTTCAAAGATACTGGCCGTGCCTTGTGCTCCTGCAATGAAACAGATCATGTCTTGGGACATGATGTGTTACTCTTTGCTGTCAGTGTGTGCGCCTAAATAGATGCTTAATAAGTGTACTAGTAAGCCTTCAGAGCAATTTTATGCGTTACTGCGCAGATCTGAGCCCTTGAGGGCAGTAAAAAGGCACATATACAAATTTCCAAGCTACTAGTTCTTTTTGTATCATTTCTTGGTACTTAGGAACACGAAGTACAATTAGATGTGGACTGTATGTGTTCTGCTAACAATATTTGTTTTATCAACCTTTACCGTATGTCTTTAAAGAGACATAAGTAAGATTCACTTTTTTCCTGCTCAGCCCTTGAAGAACTTGAGAGGGTTCGAACTGCTGGTGCTAGCCAGGAGTCAGCTGCCATGTCTGGAAGCAACCAGGGTGGCAAGGAACGAACCGGTGGCCCACGACGACCTTGGGTGCTGCTGAAGGAGGGTGCCCCCCCTGATATTGTCAAGGATGGCATCTCTGAATTGCCCACCGACAACCACTTGGCATATGATCAGCTGGAGAAAATGTCCAGTGTGCTGCCCACAATGTGGTTGGGTTCACAAAATGGAATGTGAGCACATAATGAGTGGTTCCTGACCGAATGCTTTTTATATGCTTGAGATTTGAGCTGCCTGCGTGAATTCATCTTACATTTGTGTCCTGTGGTCACATCATCACAGCCATTGCACTGGTGGACAGGGCGATAATAAGTGCTCAGAATCAAGTTCTTAAAATATCATGAGATCCTGATCCTTCAGGCATACTTTGGAGCACATCCCCATACATTTTGTGACAGTTTTCCTTTCGCATATTTCTAAATATGAGGAATATATTACCATATTTACTCATGTAATGAACGCACTTGCATAATAAACGCACCCCCAACTTCACTTGTCATAATTTTGATCCCCCCCCCCCCCCCCCCCCCCGTAATAAACACACTACCTACATTCATCCGCTGCTGTCCTGGTAACCGCCATCTGGCGCCTTCTTACCCGTTGGATCTCCTCCGTTTTTTATTGTTATGCTGACTACCCCTCAGCCACTTCGGCTCTCTCTCTCCCCCCCTTTGGCCGTTTCCATGTGCCGTATTGTTTTTCTTTCTATCTGTGCATGGCACGTCACCCGTTTTTTATTTGTGCGCCACAGTAGGGTTCACGAATAGTGTGAGTGTAGAAATGTTGCTGCTGATAAGCACACAGCGAGCGAAGGTCATGAAACTGCCCAAGCTAACCGACAGTCGCTTCCTGCAAATACGAAACTCAAAGGCCCCACCGGCGCACGTGCGATTTTTTAGCGACGACAAGATTTGCTGTCGTGAAGGGTCATTCGTCGCTATCGCATCGCAAGTTTCTGGAAAACCAGGAAAAATTGCTTGTCATCCGGAAAATATCGTGACGATTTTCGCAACATGTTAGCACCTCCAATTCTTACTTAGCTTGTTCTTTGCGCATACAGGAACTTTTCATGTGGACGCGAGGCGGTAGCCGTATTTTGTCGTTAATCTTGTTATTGACGGTTTGTTTTTAGGCTTTGGGGGTAGCTTGCTGTAATGTTGGTTACTTGCTACAATGTCAATGGCATCGTCGCGGTCGCATGCGAGGTTGCCGGGAAGTTGGCAAAGTGCATAGTAGTGCACGCTTCTGGGTGCCCCTCGAGATCACAGAAACTACTGTTGCGGGTAAATGATTGCGAGAAAAGAAAGCCACAAAATGCTTTTATGGCGTGCACGGGCGACGGGACAGCTTGCAGAAAATAGCACCATCAACCATCAAAGATGAGTAAAATGCAACAAAGAAGCTGTTTCCAAACAGTGTGTGCGTATGTCAATTGCAAAAGGCTAATTGGCCTAACTCTTTTTTTCTTGCATTACCGCATTTTTTGCTCATCCTGAAAAAGTTTTCATAAAATATGCCCTGCGTAATAAACGCACCCCTAACTTTGCTCTGATTTTTCCAAAAAAAAAAAAAAAAAAGTGCGATCATTACCCGAGTAAGTATGGTGTCAAGCAAAAATTACGGTAAATAGCATGACACCACTGACCAGCAACTCTATAAGTTTACTGGTTATTGCTGTGTACATCATGCACACACGTAAAAGTAAATAAATAGATGAATAAATATATGAAAAGTACTTGTTTTAGCATCATATTACACATCTATTGTCATTGTACAACATCTCCTTATGAACAACAGCATCCTGACATGAATCTTCATTGTTTAGTGTATCAGATAAGCATAATTATTTTCTGGATCTCTGCCCTTTTGCATTTTTGCACAATTTGGGCTCACTGGACTTCACCACTGGACTAGTATCTGTCGTGTCTATGTTGCTCACAGCACAGAACCTGTGTATAGTATGTACAGTACTATAGTAGTCTGCATGCTCCATTGATGATACAGCACTACTGGCCATTAATCCATCTGTCCACTTGAGTACAAGTGACAGTGGAAGTGAGCAAATGTTAAAAAATGTGGGGTTAATACTAGTTTTTTGTATAGATGGCTTTTGTGGTAGCATACAAGACCCACAAGCTGGTAGCTTATGAATATTTTACAGTTCCTACCGCTGCTAGACCAATGTAGATGTGTGCTGCTTTTGTTTGTATGCTTGTACTAATGTAAAACTTCTTTTTCTTGCAGCATCTACGTGCATTCTTCTGTGGCACAGTGGAGGGTCTGCATAGACTCCGTCAAGCTGGCCGACTCGGTGCTAAGCATTGTGTAAGTGGCAAATCTATGGCTCCTATATGCACATAATGTTAGTTTGTTTCCCTTTTCCTGTTTTCTTCTGAATTGAGCTTGAAAAATTAAAGTGCTGGAAACACCTGGCTAGTCTCACCACAACTCTGGCTCTTCCATTTTTTTGTACACTTGAATACTATATTTAGGGAATTCGAATTGACCTGTTTCATACAGAACAGAGAGAAGTACCATGTGTTATTCACTACATAGCCACACACAAAGGAAAAGGATAGAGTTCACTTTTGTTGCAACAGAATATAGTGGACTCTCATTAAACGGAACCTGAAGGGACTAGTAAAATATGTTCTGTTTAAGGGGAGACGCGGGTCGAAAAGTCGCGGTTTTCTGGAAAATTTTCGCTTTTTTTTCCCGGCTGTATTGGCATCCTTGGACTATAATCTATTACTTCTGAAAATATCAAGCTGAAATTCGCACGAGAAATTATCAAAAAATGCTTCCAAGTGGGCAGCGGTGACGCGAGAAATGCGCGAAAGTCGCGAAAAACGGCGAAGTTCGCGTCGTCCTGTCGCGAAAACGACGCGTTGGCCGCCATTTGCAATCGTGCACGCATGCTGCGAAGGCCGTATCCTTCATAATCCACTAGTAGCCAGTCTCGTGCCTTCACGCAGAATAAACAAAAAAACGAGAAAAACAACGCGTACGTCACGCGTTTTGAATATCGCGGTACACAGCGCGAGGCCGCCATTGGACGGCGGTGCGCTCCACGCTCCTCCCCCTCCTATCTCTCCGGCAAAAGAGCGAAGCCTCGGAAGTCGCGATCGAGTTTTTCTGCGTTTCTCTGCATTTTTGCGTCATGGCGAGCCCGAAGAAGTGCAGTTCAGATAATCGAAAGCTCAGAACTCGCCACAAGTATCGAGGGAAACGGCGTCGGACGCTTCGCAAAGCGACAGCACGAGCGCTCGTTTTGACAGCGGCAGCTCGCGTGACAGCTTTGCTGTAAACGTGAAGGCAGTTCTGGCAGCACGCGCTATAGGCACAGGCCACGACCAACTTTCACGATTTTGTGCGATTCTCGGTCTTCCGAGCCTGATGCATCACAAGACATTCAACGGCATTTGCAAGAAGCTCCATGGTGCGGCGATGACGGCAGTGAGCAAAAACTTGCACCAGGCACGAAACATCACGAAGGACGCAGTCGGCGGCAGAGATGTGCCAGTCATGTTTGATGGCACCTGGCAGAAAAGAGGTCATAAAAGCCACAATGGAGTGGGCACAGTCGTGTCCCTGGACACGGGGCTCTGCCTCGATTTTGAAGTTCTTTCGAACTACTGCCATGCTTGCAGTATACACAGGGACTTTGGGGAGGATGAAGAGATATGGCGAGCTTTTCATCTTCCAGTTTGCCAAAAAAACACTGACTGCTCGTCCCATGCAATGGAACCTGCGGCAGCTGTCAATATATGGCAGAGGACCTTGTCTTATGAAACTCCACTGCGATTCACCAGCTTCCTAAGTGATGGTGACAGCAAGGCCTACACTGCAGTCTGCGAGGCAAATGTATACTGTGACACCCCCATTGACAAAGAAGAGTGCACGAACCACGTTGCAAAGCGCTTGGGAACTGCCCTACGGAAATTGGCAACGCCACTGCCACGAGGCGAAAAACTGGAAGATGCGACAATAATAAACTACAAACATATTACAAGATCGCCATCACGAGCAACAAGGACAGTGTCCGAAATATGTACACTGCCATATGGGCATCGTATTTTCATTGCTGCTCCAGTGATGGTGCCAGTAGCCACAACTTTTGCCCTGCGGGACCAAATTCGTGGTGCAAGCACAAGCGTGCGGAAGCACTGAAGGAGCCTGCACCACGCCACACCCCACTGTTGACGAAGGCTCAAGGATTGGCAATTATGCCTATCTACAAGCGCCTTACAGAGGAGAAACTCCTTATTCGGTGCCTTCATGGCAAGACACAGAATGCAGCCGAATCGCTGAACAGCAAGATATGGCTGCTATGTCCAAAAACAAAGTTCGCCTCCAGAACAACTGTGGAGACAGCCACCGCTCTTGCTCTACTCTGGTACAACAAAGGCCACAAGGGCTTTGAAGAAGTGCTCGAAGGCATTGGAATTCTCCCCTCACAAGATCTGGCCACACATGGTGACCACTGTGACGTCATGCGCATCAGGAAGATGAACCTGAAGCAAACCGCAGTAGCGAGGGCACACCGTCGCAACACAGCGAAGAGAGCTCGTGTTGAGGACACTGACCGCAAGAGCCGTGAAGGACCAAGCTATGGTGCAGGGGACTTCTAGACACTTGCAGTGCATTCAAGGCAAGGTACTTTTCATTGTGCCCCAATTTGATGCAAAAAGAATGATTTCCTAATAAATGCCAACTTTGCGAACTTTCAAACTTGTTTTTCTCATTTTCATTTTTTCTGACAGTTTCACGTTTTCCGGGCAGCCTTTTAGAAACTTATATTCATTGTATAGTAACGAAACTTGGCACACATATTCTTCAACACATGCAGAATGCAAATATCTACTCTAAATTGCAATGCCTACCAGCATTAGTTGTGAAAATATTAGCTTATTGTTTCAAGGGAGATTGAAAATAATAAGTCATTCAATACAAATTTTTTTTCTTGGTTCCAATATTTCTGTGACATATCTATATAGATATTTGCACTTTTCAATCTACCAAGAGTCAAATAAGATCAGACACAGTGCTTTTACTGAAAGTTTAGTACATAAAAGAGTGCCCGCAAAAAATGTAACTTTTTGCTATTGTTTATGGCATAACTCAATAATTATAGCAGCTACACAAAAAATGATTGGATATTTGAAATCTGCATGAAAAACTATACTATTAACAAACTTTTCAAGTCTCTATTACTAGAAATAAAAAAAAAAACTTTTTCGAGGAGCGTCTCCCCTTAACTGGAGTTCTGTTTACTGAGGGATGAACAGGGGTACAAAATGCAAAAACGAAACTAATCTTGTCAAAAGCACTTGCTCTATTTAAGCAGCAGTTCCGTTTTATAGATTTCTGTTTACCGAGAGTTTACTTGTAGGCTGCTCTTGCCACAGATGCAATGACAGATGACCACCAACATGTTCCTACGAATTCTCATATTTTCGTGGTGCTCATATTTTGGACATATAGTGCATAATGATACAGCTTTTTCCGAGCATGCTTTCTTCAACTGTTCACATTTCCCTTTCAGCCACGTAAAGGGTCGTGTGTTTGCAGCCCTGGCTGACGGCACTGTTGCGATATTTCACAGAAAGCAAGGTAAGCTGTACAGAGCACACTGATAATGCACTTTCCGCTCAGCATCACTTAGTGTTAGCACAGTGTTTTCATTTTTATGCAATTAATAAGCACACAAAGACAGGGTAAATTGGAAATTATCAGGAGCCGCCTTCAATCTGTAGTAGACACAATGTAGGCTTGGTAATGTGGACAGAGCAGCGATCAGGCACGGGCGCATAGACGTGGTACGTAATTGAGAAGGATGAAGGCAATTGAAAGAACAGCTGGTACAGCGCACGATTGTGTCTTGTCTGTTCCTCTACAGTGGTGCACGCGTCAGACATGAAGCCTTAAGGCAGAAACTGCCGGTGCTCATGCATCTTCGGTCTTGCTGAGCCACCAGTCCAGTAACGCTGCCCTCCCTTCCTAGAGCATGGAAACCGGAAGCCTGGTGCACCATGAAGCACAGTTCGGCAAGGACGACATGCAAGCCTCCTCGTCACCCTCTGACCTGCTGGCGCTACAAGCAGCGTCTGGGGAAGATGTGAGGCCTCCTCAACGACTTGACGGTGCTCTCATGGCGCTTCTATTCTTTCTGTCGACCACAATTCCCAAATTTATGACATTACTGTGCTGATTGCTTCAACAAATACATATTCCACGGCCGCCGTCAATGGTTCTACAGGTGGCTCACCTGAAGATGCAGTGAAAATTATCCGGGAAGCTGCACACTTGTCTCAGCAACTTTACAGTTTTTTGCCTTCTCAACCGCCGCTGGAAACACCGGGGCCCCTGTATTTTTCGCGCCCATTGCCCCTGGCTCTTCGGGCACCTCCGGCTCTTGGCTTGACAAATCCATGACTTCGTGATGGCGGCATCCTTGTTTGCCCAGAAGCTAGACCATTCGCTGCGAGAATTTCCGTATATCGCAGACCACCTTATCATGAGCATCGTTATCATAAGGGGTTGAATTGGCAATACTGAAATTCTGAGAATTCCAGGTCGACGTTTTCCCATTAATCTAGACTATTAATTCTGTTGGCACTCTCCATGCTTGGCTGCAGAATCACAAATGGTTGGTGGCCATCGACCACCTTCGTGATGCTGCCAAGGCATGCCGTGCCTACAAAGGAGTCAGGCAGTGGTTCTGGCCTGGATAGTGTGCCAAGTTGATCAGGCTTTCCCTCCTCTTTTTCATGCCTACGATTCCCTCCCTGCCAACTGAGTCTCTACTGATGATGGGAGATGTGAAACACACAAGTTCTGCAGTGCAGCTCGGGACGTTCACTAACCTGCCCTCCCTTCGAAATCGAGCTTGCATGGCATAGCCTCTCTATGGTGCAGCTGTGCCATGCGCTAACCAGCCCACTTTGGCAGACAGAGCTTTTCAAGGGCCACACCTCGATTGCTCATGTTTCTCAGAGTTTCTGCCATGCATCATCGTGGACGGGGAAAGCCATGTGGCCGACTCGAATACAGGCCATGAGAAGGACTCCTTGCCACATATTCCCTACTCTGTGACGTCCCCACCAAAACCCTCTTCACCAGAAAAAGAATCCCACCCGCAAGACAGAGAACCTCCGTGGCGGCCTTACAAAAGATTCCGGGTCCAGGTGCTGCACTTGCTGTTGGTCTCAGCCTCTGTGCTGGCATTTGATGCTAAATCACTAAGAGAAACTAGAACCCCTCTTCATTCAGCGCAGTTAGAGGAGCGGACTGCAGATTCGCCTTTGCTAGGACATGCGCAGATGCCAGTTCCTGTAGTCCTTGGCACGCCTTCAGGCAAGGCATCAAAAAAACCTGTGGCTTCGATCGCCGTGCTCGCTGACGAACTGTAGCTGCTTCCGCAGTGTTGAGTGCTGGCTGCAGAGCAGTCGATGGCACAAGATTTTCCACTAAGATGAAGCACGAGATCTTGCTGAGCTCTTCTAAAGCCATAAACGATTCATTTTTCTGATGAAGCTCCTAGTATTCCTCCTCCCGTTTTTGACAATAAGGCTGATGTAAATGAATTCCAGAAAAAAAAGCAGAAAAGAAGTATTGAGAATTCATACTGACGCCAACGCCGCTTCGAATGTTATTTCGGCTCCCTTCTCCAAGCATGCTACCTTCGCCATTACCTCTACGACACAACCAAAGCCAACCACCACAAGCATGTTTCACAGCCCCCTCTAGTCAAATCACTGCGTGGCCGAGACTGTCTGGCACGCAAGAGCCAAGGCCACCTGCCAGCGACAGCTGAGGCGTTCATACACCACTAGACAACACGGACACTGACAAGTGTGCACCTAACCACCTAGCTCGAAAAATGGTACTTTTAGACTCTTGAGACTATTGAGACTTTCCACACGATTTCGCCGCTTGGCTGATTGTAATGTGGGCAGAGCAGCGGCGCTTGAGTACGGGTGCAAGGGTTAGAACGTAGACGAGAAGGGCAATGGCAGACAACAGCTGGCCTAGAATGTGGGCATTGTCTCTTGTCTGTTCCTCTATAGCTTATAATGATATGATGGTGATGATGCTACAGCTGCTTGGCAGTTTAATTGAACATATTGGTTTTTAGGACTTTTGATACAAGGTGCAGTAGTGAATGTATAGAAGTGTGTTATATTGCCTGACTGATCATTTGTGAAATCATTTTCAATTAAAAGCCAGATATAAATGACCTAGGTCCATTATTTTGATTGTGTGTGGATGTGCTTATATTGTTTTCATATAAAAGTTAGCTTGTGTGCTTCACTTCTGCTTAAATATAGCTGGAAGAATGCTAATTAGGTGCTGGGCTGTGTTTTTCAAGCCAACCAGTGGCTTTGCAAACCTCATGTATGCAGTTCATGCCGTTAAAAAACAAAAACAAAAAATGGTCATGCCATACCTACTGAAATTGTACATGTTGCCAAATTATGTGCTCTGCACAGATGGCCAGTGGGACCTGAGGAACTACCACATACTTGACCTCGGGAAGCCACACCACTCAATTCGGTGTATGACAGTTGCCCACACAAAGGTTTGGTGCGGCTACAGGAACCGGATACATGTGGTCCACCCCAAGACTCTCACTGTGGAGGTTAGATTGAACATGGATCTATTATTTCAGATGTGTTTGAGTGTTCACGCAATGAATGGAATTTTCTTTGTCATTCTGTTGGAGAGGCATTATCTTGTGTGTTCTCATTAGGCTTGTGCGAATAGTATATTTCAGGTTCCAAGGAAATAGCGATTTGGTTGAACAATTGCGGCTCGAATTTGAATAGTACATACAGGGAGTTTTTTTTTAAGCAATACAGATTTTTTTTCTTAAAAAACTATAATAGACAGGCACTTATTGTCTTTGCAGCCGATTTCAAGGCCAAGGTGGAAAGATTTTGCCACTTTGTATTTAGATCACTCAGAAATGACCAATTAACAAAAATGAATTCAATTTTTTGTTATCAGTTTTAGGGTGGTTGTTTCAATGGCAAAGTTTTTCTACATCATAAATTATGGCCAGCCTTGTTTTAAAAAATTGAAAATATCACGGGTGGTTTCAGAGATCTATAGCCAAATTTCCAGACTGCTGTGTCTCTGCAATCGAAACTAACCCACCGAGTGGGCCAGAAGGGTGGTCCCTGTGATGATGTGCGATGTTTGTCCGATTTTTTGTCATTTTAACTTCTGAAAAGTGAAGGACTCAAATATTAAGGCGAAAGCTTTTATTGTCTCATACTCGCGAGAGCTGTTGTTCGTTCCCCTGGCTTGGTGCCAGCCACGGTGTCTCTTCTTGACACGGGAGGACAAAATGAACTTTATAAAGACTGGAACGCGGAGGGCGTCTACACGATGTGCAAAGTGTAAAAATATCAATGCTTGCGAAATTAAGCCAGATTAGTCTCGTGCCCCGCTATGCTTACGTAAAGGGAAGTTTGCCCGCCATGCAGCAAAAGGACCACTCTTTTGGCGCACTCGGTGCATTTAGTTTTGGTGTCTTTGACACTGCAGTCTGGAAATTCTACGATAGATACCTGAAACCACGTGCGATACTTTCAATTTTTAAGGGGGGACGTGGCAATGAGAATTGTAAATTTGGTGGAAATATTCAGTCTTTCAATTAATTTTTTTCTATAATTCTGAGACCATGTTTTACACCATAGTGTGATTTTACATTACAAAGTAGTAAAAGTTAAAAACAAGCATTTTACTGGTGGGCTGTCGTCAAAAGCTATGCGAAAATTGGGCATAGCAAAATGTAACTTTTCAGCTTTCCCCTTGGCAAAGTGCCACTATATTGGCATCATCATAAAGAGGACAGATTGGAGCTCAAGATAGCCACAAAGATGCATTTCTCTAATGAAAAATAAAGGCAGCTTTCTTTCGAGGTCCGTTGTATCAGCCTCTAGCTCCAATTTGTTTGAGCTCAATTTTCTCTGGTTTTATTTTTTTAGCAGTTGCTGTCAGTCATCCCTGTGCTATTTCACAACAAATTAAGCTATAGCCATTCCCTTTCCTGCACTTGGATTCTGAGACATTAGTGAGCGCCGTAAAGCTGTCCACATTTACGTGCGCGGCCGAGAGAGCCGTCCTTCTCACACAGCCAGCGGAGAGGATTGAGGAAGCGCTGACCGGGTCACATGACCGAGAAGCGGCGCCATGGTGCTAAGCGATTTCACTCTCAAGACGGCAACGACTGGTAGTGGTTAGAAGAGGTGCCTTTTCCTCTTCTTTTTCCTTTCCGCATTGAAGGCTAGCTTAGTGTATGGTGACACTTAGCCACACTACATTGTATAGGGAACCTTCAGTGGCAACAAAATACTACATTGCATTTTATTTTTTCAGCACTCTTTTGATGCCCATCCACGCAAGGAGAGCCAGATTAGGCAAATGGCCTGGGTTGGAGATGGAGTTTGGGTTACAATACGACTGGACAGTACCCTGCGGCTTTACAATGTCCACACTTACCAGCACTTGCAGGACATCGACATTGAGCCTTACGTTTCCAAGATGCTAGGTATGCTCTTCAGCTCAAGTTCTCATTTTGGGGAAGAAAAAAAAAGGGGGAAGAACTCAACAGTACCTGTGTAAAGCTTAAGAAACAGCGGTAGTGGTTGGTTTTAGGGGCCTTCTTGGCTGATGCTAGGTCTTTCCATGGCATAGACAAAGTAGAGTCGAACCACAGCCTGTCACAGACCATGCAAGAATATGTTAACTCTAGTGCCAGAACTAGTTTGCAAAGCTGGCTGTGGCAACACCAGTAAAAGCACGGCCCTTTCATACCTCATACTCGGATAGTGCAGTGGGCTAACGCAGTGCGGCGGCTCAGTGGACTGGACTGTTTCGATCAGTGGGCGCAGCTGATAAGTAGCGATGTGCTATAATGTGCAATATGCAACGGCGCGATAAGCAATGACGCAGAGCGTTTTTTCGCGCATGCCCGACATTTTGGCTCAAGCTTTAAGAGCTTCGCTCTTGAAAGTTTCTTCTGCAAGGCGTATGATGTCTCCCCTTGCTGTGACACCTAAAAGTAAAAGGCCAAGCAGCCAGTGCAAGCCTGTTTGCATTCCTACCGTGATGCAGCTGTATAACTGCCATTCAATGCGTTATTGTTTATGCCACAGGCCGTACTGCAGTTCTAGTGTGCCTCACTGCTGGTGCTATCTCACTTGAACGTGCAGTGTATTAGTTGGCAATTAGCAGCTTGGGTATTGACAAAGGGTGAGCACTAGTGTAGCAATTGGACAAGTGCAGTGCCACTTAGACAAAAACAGAAGACACAGACGGACACAGACGAATGCTTGTCTGTGCCTTATTAAGTTGTGCTGCATTTGTCTCAGTATGTATGTACATCATGTCGAAGTCAAGGTACTACAGTGCAGTCTAGATATAATGATATCCGAGTGTTAAGGAAATTTTATCATTGTAACCGATAATTATTATAAATGGTTTAGAAAAAAAAAGAAAAGGAAATGAAAGAGGTATAATACATTTTATTTGCATTCAAGTAAAGTACTACAACTATGTACTACTTGTTTGCAGAAAAGCCATAGTCTGTCAGCCTTGATCACTTCCTGCGAAGCTGGCGCACATCTTTCTTAAGAGCATTTGGTGCTCCGCACAGCTGAGCGAGAGGTTCTTGGGAAAACAAACTCTCGGAGGGACTGTATCATCTGTTGGGCCTCCTGTCAATAAATATTCTGGGTAGGGTGTTCAACCACACTGTCGAAGTTGTCGCTCTCACCGCTGTCCGAAACTCGCATAGATAATTTAATCACCTCATCACTGAGGCACTCAGACGCTTCCACAACATATTCTGGATAAAGAAAGTCGTCCAGACCTGACGCATCATCATTAAGTGCTGACCACAACTACAGCATTCGTTTATCGTCAAACGCTGTGCAGGCCTCTCCTGGCATCACTTCGGAAGTTTGGGAGGAAAGCACCTCCTCCTGTCGCTGTTTGTAAGCGGCGCAGCCAACACAATTTCGGGGGTGTGGACGGGGTGTGAGACATTGCGACGCATGCCGTCGGCACAGAGAGCCATTTGTGGTGTGCACTGTAGCTGGATTCTATCACTATATTTGATATTGCAGCACTGGAGCATCGTAATAAGCAGTTTTTTTAGTTTAATGCATACAAAAGTGGACTGTGTCATAGTTATTCATCGTCATATCCAATATGTTGTGATAAATGATATTATTAGTGGATCCGGCAGTATTGGTGCAATATTTAGCTGTCTTGCTGTGTCAGCGGCAACGTCTTCCTTTGCATTTGTGTAGAAGTGAATATTCGTCTACAGTTGCATGTTCGCTTTTGCGTGCCTCATTGACTGCTTCTTTACCATCACTTCTGGGTATTAATCAAAAGAAGAAATTTAAAAAAATATGTGAGAGTTCTTTAATGCTTATGCACAGCAAAGTGATCTTTTTCATTTAAAAAATCCTTAAACATTAACAATAGTAATCTGAACTTAAATCAGACACTTCTATGCATTTACGAGTATATAGATAAAGATGGCTGCCTGAAATCTCGTCGCTTTGATTATGGCTTGTCACATTAGTTTTAAACGTGGCATGAAGCTTTTGGCAGCACAGATGATGATGATGTGTGCGTAGCATTGCACTTATGATGTCCTTAACAAAAGTTTACAGACTGATAAAACATTTGCGTCTTTTATTGCTATTTCCTGTTCAGGCACAGGCAAACTTGGATTCTCGTTTGTGCGCATCACGGCCCTGTTGATCTCATGTAATAGGCTCTGGATGGGCACTGGCAACGGCGTCATCATTTCTGTTCCATTGTCGGAAGGTGAGGTGCATATTTCTGTGCTTCGTAAAAAATAGCCTTGGGAGTGCAGTCAATTTTTGGTATATTAATGTTGCAGCTTACAAAAAGGAATCAAAAAGGAAGTAGGAGGGCTCAACTATCCATGTTAATGAAAACGAGCAGGTAATCAAGTGATAACATTGTGTAAAATAAAAAAAATGAGCCCTCGACGTTCTCTTCATTCATTCACTAAGCATGTTGGGATGATAAGCAAGATCGTCAGTTAGTGAAAATATTTGTGATTTCCAGGGCAGCACAAGCTAATGGCGTTCCAGGTGAAAAAAAAAAAAAAATGGAACACATCTCCCCGTAAAGGGAACCCGGAGTAGTATGCAAAGCAGCCATGGGTCGACTTAAAGTTCTGTGAAGAGGTGTTTTTTATTCATCACTGTAGACATTCATGGTTGTGTTTCCTACATGGTGCGACGAGGCGCTCCTCTTTCTCGTCACATGCTGGCCACGCTGTGGCTGCAAACAGAGGGTAGTAGCAGAGACGCCGTCGTTGTTGTCGTCGGTTTTAGAGAGTGTCAGCGCTGGACATTGCTGCGGGCAACTTCTCTTGCCAGGAGAATGCTGAAGCCGAAGTAGAAATGCTTTGCGAGCTGTGTGCAAAATTGACTCGCTGCAAGGCAAACATGTGCAGATGGGCATCACTGATTACTTCAATTAATGATGAATGTCCTGTGATTTGTGAATAAATATAAGTCTTCGGAAACTTCCCTCCCGTGTGTTAGCTCAATGCAGACACGCCACTGAATGGTGAACCCTCCGTTCATTTAGCTTTCATTAATTCGAACTTTTAATTCGAACAAATTTTTGGGCCCACTCGAGTTCGAATTATCAAGATTCGACAGTGTCATGAATGACTTTAGTGGCTTTGTATTACCTTTCATTTTATTACCTACAACCGCTTGAATAGCAATGTATGCAGCTGATGATGTAGACACCTCACCATTTGCATTTTTTTTTTTCATCCCCACTGTATAGTACTCACAGATTGAAACAGGACAATTCAGGGCTAAGTAACGAACATATATTTGCTTTCAGCATATTTAGTTAAGGGACATACTGATGTTTCTGCTTGGAATGCGCAGATTAGAGCCAAAGTTACCTTTAGACACCAGATTCGACACGACATGGCGTGGTTATCTTGCACAATTGCTGTCAAATTCGTGTGTACTGTACATACATGAAGGACACACTGCCCCCCTCCCCCTTATCTTCTCTGTGAACCAAATTTCTGGCTACTCCTCTTGATGATACACATGAAAAACTCGTGCTCACATTTTATAGGAACCAGTGCATGAGGACTGCAGACTCTTCGACTTCAGCAGCTCTTTCTCTGCAGTACAGTTTTTCTGCGGGAGTGTTACATAGGTTAAAGCTGTTATGTTTCTGTGTTACCTGGCATAATAAGTCATGTACTGATACACTGACAAGCTCCTATTGAAACATAGTTGATGAGTTCACTTGATGACGCTTGCACTGCGGCCACAACTGGAACGTTGTGTTCTTACTTGCATGTGTGTTCCAGCAGGAAACAAGCAGGCGTCAGCCTCAACAACGCCGTCTGCGAGTGGAGTGCGGATGCCTGGTGCTGTTGTTCGGGTGTACAGTGATAGTCGAGAGAACATCACAACTGGCAGCTTTGTGCCCTACTGCTCGATGGCACAAGCACAGCTCTCCTTTCACGGACACAGAGACTCTGTCAAGTTCTTTGTGGCTGTCCCTGGTGAGTGAGCGTTCCTAGTGGGAGCTGCTAATTTTGCATCTACCTGTTGCCAGCCACCTGTTTCATGGTGTATCATCGAATTGTGTCATATTGATTGGACTGATTTATTATTCATTTTATTTTCTTGGGCAATACGAAGGTATGCCAGCAAACAGAAAACAATCTATCTACGTATATGCCTACTCGATAATATTCTAGTTTTTTTTTTAAAGGCAGTTATGACTTGTACAATGTCTTATACACAGAAGTGGTAAGCAGGGAAATAATAAATTACCGGTCCCATACACTTAGGGGATGGGTTTAAGCTATGCTTGCATTGATATCATTGAAGGAATGCTCTTAATGTTTAAGATTGTTTAATAATATTGAGTTCAAAACCAGTGTCTCACTTATCATTAAAGACAAAGAGACACAAAAGAGAAATTGGTTGAACTTTATCGCTCCGTATGAATGATCAAAAGCGCAGTATTGCTTAGAAAAAAGAAAAATAATTAAAAAAAAAAACGCTAGCCAGCGTGCTATTCCTCCATCAAAATATTTTCCCCCGGGAGGGGGGGGGGAGAAATGCAAGGAACTTCCACATGCTTAGCGTAGGTGCATGTTAAGCAGCCCCAGATGGTCAAAATTGGACAGGAGCCCTCTACTATGGTGTCCCTCGTAATCAAATCATGGTATTGGTGCATAAATGCCCATTAATAATTATTACCCTCTATTAAAAAAGAATGATTACTGTACCAGAAATGTATTTCATTTGTATTATTGCTTTCATTTACACAGGAAACCGTTGAAGCTTAGTTGCGCTTGTTCAATGTGAACGCGATATGAATATTTGAAACGCGCAAGTATTTCATATAAAGCACACGAGCAATGCAGTTGTTCCAAAAAAAAATATATATAAATACTTGAACTACGCATGTATTCCATATTCGGCACACTAAAGCAATGCGGTTGTTCATGGCTGGATGTTACGATGTGAATTCACACATTTATGTCAACGATCACCGTCAGACGGCACATTGAAGAGAGGCACACGCTCCACACAAGTTCAAAGCCAGAACAGCAATTTGATACAAAACATGTTCTGGCCATTTCGAGAACCTTTCAGCAATTTGATGTTACCTGCATCGACAAAGTAGCATTAAACATACCCGTACAAAAAAACTTGCCTTCAAAACAGCACGGTCACGCATGCCAACAAAAAGACCCAGAATCAGCAGCATGCACGTTTCTGCCGAGACTGAGATGGCTCACCATGCTCGTTGTAGCGCCATCTAAGAGAGAGAGGTAAAGATGCAAGGAAGGCACTGATGAAGCTGGGAGATAACTGATAATGGCCTGAACATTAGAGAGTTTTAGTACTGCGTACGCTGCAGACGCGGTGGCGTTGCGTACGTAAGGACGCCACGTTCTGCGTAGTGCGCATGCGCAGACCGCAACGCGCACGTATCGCATTGCGTACGCAGCCGCTACGTACGCACGCATGAGATGCGTGCGTGCATACGTATGAGGTGATCGTGCCGCTCTCGAACAAGTTCGCGGCAGCGCGAGGCTTCTTTTTGCAAAATGGCGGCATCGAAGGCAAGCATCGACCGGCTCTGTGGCTTAAAATATGGCCATAATCTGGCTATAACACTTGAATTGGCTCACATTGGCTGTCAACAACACGTGCTTCTATTTTGATCTACCAGATGGCGCAACACGCTTCTCGCTCGTTACGTACGCGGGTACCACGGCGTACTAAAAGCCGATTAGTGAGAACGACACCATGTAACGCAAGGCGCTTGCACGATGCGTACGTAGCACCATTCCGCAGTAATAAAACTCTCTATTATCTGGACTCACTGGAATTGTGCTTTTCAACACGTTGTGGGGAGAGTGTCAGCTCCTTTATATTCTTACACCGTGGTTCCCGTCTAAACATCGTCTGAATAAACAAGTTGTTATGTGAAAGCGCATCTACTTTTATATTTAGAATCTTGTGGCAACCGAAGTTATTCTTCTGCATATATGTGTGTGTCTGTGCATGTTTTGTGACACAGTTGTTGACCATGTGAGCAAAGTTGATGCTCCCATTTAGTGAGTGTAGTCTGGTGTGACCTGTGATTATTCCTTGTTTGTTAGGTACTGGTGGCATGGGTTCTTCAGACAAAGAAGGTGCGACTGAAGAAAAGACCGGAGACATAGCACTGGGCTCTGAAGATGCATCTCCCAAGTGCATGCTCGTTCTGTCTGGTGGCGAAGGCTACATTGACTTTCGAGTTGGTTAGTTTCACCTGTGATTATGGCTGCTCTTCTCATGTATTATAGCTTTATCTAGTTGAAGTTGTGAGCATGGACATACAAATAAGGTGCCTGCCGGCTTCGACATGCCGATTTCTTTCTCTTTGGTCAGATAAACGTTTAGTATCTTTCATATTTTGTGAACTAATGATGCCAAGGAAAGTATAAAGGATGTTGTTAGTAGTTATTATAATGAAAATGTCAAGAAAGAAAAGTGGACAACTTGTCGCTGTTAGGGACCTGTGACCTTCGAATAATACGTCCAATGCTCTGTCATTTTGCATAGGCTTGATGCATGGTAAATTTTTTTAACTGCAATAGCTGTCCATTAGGCTATTATTTTAAATAGCAATGTTTTCATTAGTAGTAGCAAACTTGTTAATTTATGTTTACATCAAAACTTTCACTTTTATAGCAATTTATACCTGAACATTACATTTGCTTATGTTTTTTCATGAGACGCCTAAATTTAGTCTACAAAGATGATTTCACTATTGGGAAATATGATAGGGAAAATACTGTGACCAAGAAAGAAATGCGCTTTGAAGATATTGCGTTAATTATATGAAATTGCTGTTGTGTTTTCCAAAGGAGATGGCGAGGAAGAAGAATCAAGTGGGGATCGTATCTCGGTAGCTATTGGAGCACCTGTCGAGAAGAAACTACACCAGGGCACATCGAAGAGTGAACGGAGTCACCTCATCGTCTGGGAAGTGGCACTAAATGAGTGATTGTTCAACTTAGTAACACTGCTGGACTACTACGTATTTCAGGCCACCTCAAGGCATTGTGATGTACTGTTTATTTTGTTGCTGCTTTGAGTTGAAATATTGTTTCTTAGTTTATTCACTGTGACTGGCCTGGGCTTGAAATTGTGAGTGCAGAGAGTACCTTGTGATTTTCAGGCCTTGCTTCTTTTTTTTTTTTTTAAGTAGATATTCATAGGGTATATGTAAAGTATTTTTTAAAGGGGACATCAGAATTTTTTTCTGTCCTCCACTCACTTTTAGTCTTTTCTGACAGAGTATGTCCCAATGCATTTAGTTGATTGGCTGCACTATTTGTGCCAGTTATAAACTACACTGTCTTGAGAAGACAGTCTGTACAGTTCTGACATTTTTAGCTCTTTTTGTGTTGTTCTTCCAGGCAAGAAGTTTATGGTGGCCACCCAGGCAAGCAGAGATAAAAATGCGAATACAATGGCACTAGAGTACGTGCTATTTTTTATGCGCTGCAAAAGGGCATTTTGTAGCACTTTGAGTAGGCTGGTTGATGACTTGCGAGCTTCTTGACGCATTGTAAATCTTGTCGCATTACTATGTCAGAAAATAGGATGGAAAGCCGAGCTATATGTATATGGTTCTGCCTGTTGTGCCACATTGGCTTATAAATACTATAAATACATAGCTGTAGCATACCTCATTCAGAAATATACAAACACAATATATATGTATATGCTTACTGTTTATGCAGTCAATGATGTTTTGTGTAGACCACACTGCTTTCAATGTATTGTTTCTTTTGTAAAATTGGGTTTCGTGGCTGCATGTAAAGCACTCTGTATTTATACCTGCAGAGTTTGTGCACATTATGCACTTGTACGATAGTGAAGTGAATTTCTGTGACTGAATAAAGAATTTAAAGCTTAGTCACTGCAGCCTGTTTCTTTTTTATTATTATAGTCACGAACTTGCAACAAACTAAGTGTAACATTGCTTTGGCAGTTCGTAAATGATCAATTTTCTTACTTAACACTCGTTGTAGTCAATTTTTTTCTTATTGCGGGGGGATAATCGCGTATTATACGTATTATTGACTTAGAAGGCAACAGGCAACAATCAGATGCGCATGAATTTTATGAGAACTACTGTACACTGTCTGCAATCACATATGAAGAGCCTGGCATGTAGTTCTCCACATTCAAAAAGTGAACTCTGGTATTCCATCTTTAGTTGATGAAAAATGAATCTGAAGGTGTGATGAAAATCCGTCCTGCGGGATGCATCATGATGAAAAGTGACATGACACCAGCCACAAAGTAATATGTTTTGGCTCTCGTGGTGGCACTCTTGTTTAGAAACTTGCTTCCTTAATCTTGAAGTTTACTTAAGGTTAACAGCGTGAAAAAAACACTGCCACAAACATGAAACACTCAAGACCAATAGCTTTTCAAAATGCAGGGGTTTGCACAGCAGGCCGCATTGATTGTTTATGTTCTTGGTCCTTTTCTATCTTCATAAAAGTTTTCTTATCGATAAAATTTCAGTTGGAGGTCTGTGCTTGCCTCTGTGTTTCCTGTTCATGGCAGTGCTTTTGTTTTCATGCTGTTAAATATGCACAACCAATGAGCAAAGTCAGCTACTTTATCAACTTATCTGACACCAACTTTCGAAGCTGATTCTACTCTGCCATACAAATCTCCCGTGTACAAAGTGGCTCTGACCAAGTGTGAAGCTCAGTAAATGCAGATATTTTATATTAACATTGTGGTAAATGTTCACACGGTGCAGCTACTGAAATCAACATTGGCGAGATGTTGTGCTGTGATATAAATATTGGCAACTCCACATACTGTTAAGTTTGGCATGGAAATTCGTCTGGGCAGTCGCCATTATGCGTAAGCTGGTCCACGGGGAAGGCTCTCAATCCCTTCGGCGCCCAGTCTGCCAGACGCTGTCGAAGATTTGAGTAATTACCCAGACAATGCGGCAGGCAAAGGCGAGTTCCCGTCTTTCAAATGCGGACCCTTTCGTCGTACCTTCAGGCAGCAGCGGTGCCTGATGACCTTGGTGATTCATCTGACGACGGGGAAGCTGTTGGGACTGGCGCCAGAGCTGACAGGAGAGCGGCGCTCCTTTTGATCCCCAATCAAGTAGACAACCGGCCGGCTGCCTATGCTTGTCAGGCATTGTTCGTGATGGCCGGAGGATGCGCCGTCGTGTCGCCACGACATCGGAAACAGTTCCAGAGAGAACAACAAAGAAAGCATCTTCCTGGAAGAGACCGTGGCGGCCACCACAAATCACCCCGCTAATTGAGCGAACAAAATCGGCGGACCCTTTGAGGTATGCTGTCCGGATCGTGGGACCTCTCGACTAGCGGCGCACACACGACGAGGAAGAGCCCTGCTGGCGCCACCTTGCAGTGCAGTGTTCACGACTAAATATTGGATGTTCACGTGGACCGTGCATGCTCGTCCCCCTCACCTGTGTGTGTGTGATTGGTGTTCCACTCGGAGAGGAGGAGCCCAACAGGGCTTAAAACGACGCCGCAGAGTGCTGGACGTCGCTCTGAACTATGTAACGTTCAACCACCACGCTCGTGATTTGGGAAACCCCTAAGCTTTCTTTGCTGTAAATATGTGTAAATAGTGCCATAAACCTGTTTTTGTTCTCGTATCCTCTAGCGACCTTCCTTTCGACCCTAGCAACTGGTTGGCAGCGGTGAGATGGACTTCACGACATGGTGCTGTGCTGAGTGCTTGGTCTTTGCTATAACTTTCCAGGATTCATTTCTTGAGTGTGCGTTGATTAGAAGCTGGATTGTGTGTAAGTTAGGGAGGTCACCTGTTTGTGTGCTAGAGGGATCCCCTACATTTGTGTGAGATGCAGGACCAAAGTATAACGGCAATCATGGAGGTAAAGACACTGCTAAAAGATGGTCTTTTGTACATTTGTGAAGACCTTGGTATTAAGATTAAGGAAGGAATGGGCAGGTCAGAAATTTTAGAGCTAATTTTGGAAAGCGCCAGTGAGAAGGATATTGGGTACGCGTTGAAAGCTTTAAAAAGGTTGGAGGAGCGAGAGGAAAAACGGAAACGAGAGGAACGCGAAAGAGAGGCACAGGAAAGGGATAGAAAAGAGTGTGATCGAGCACACGCCGTGGTGCTCGAACAATTGGAAGAGAAAATCGAGGCAATGAGGCGGAAGATTCAGCCATTCGAAACTGTAGCGCACGAGAAGTGCGATAATCAAATGAGTGAGGTGCAGTTTAGAGCCAAAGAGAAGGCTAGCACGTGTGAAGAGCGCAGCAGGTTCGAAGACGAACCAAATGTGAGAGCTGCAAAAGATGCTGCTCTAATGAGAGAGGCCACTGAAGGCCAGAGCGAGTGCGACGAGGTGCTGTGCCAGTTAGCTGTTAGCGAAACAGCTAGGATAGCTGTAGGAAAGCTGGTACAGGCCTCAACTGTGTTTGTCGCAACGGTGGATCTTGCGAATGAGGTCGAAGACATCAAGAACACCGGAGAAAGCTCAGGAAAAGCAGCGAAAGCAGAGAGTGAGAAGAACAGTGCGGTTGTAGACAGCTCCCATGAATGCGAGCGAGATTTTTCTGTGAGAAACAGCGGCATTGTTCTTCAGTGTGTAACGCTGTCCGCCAGTCTAGAATGTGAAACAGATGTTTCTTTCGAAAATCACTTAGACGGCGCGAGTTTGAAACGTGACGAATACTGTGTGAGAGTTGACGAGCTTGCGATGAAATCGGAGGGCTTGGCAACGAGCCGCAAAAAGCGGCGCAGACAAAGGAGACGTCGCAGAGCCGCGAAGGAGACAAGCAGCTCTACGCGTGTTGAGAAAAGTTCGAAGCCTATTAGCGCAGCAAGCAGAACTAGGAATTTTGCGTCGGCGTCAAAGTTCATTTGTATGCGTCTGAACTGCCGGACGAAAGAAAAGGGACTAGCAGGTCCATCGCAATTGAAATCAAATGGGAGGCGCCAGGTTAGTTGGGTGTGTAAGTACAAAGTTAACACAGGTGAATCGGCCCGACATGGCAACAGTGCTAGGAAATCAAACAGCCAAAGTAGTGTGGCAGGTGGTGCAGAAGCACCATTGAGCTGTAAAGCCACCGTTGACGCAACGCGAGACCAATTTCCTAGTTGTGAGAAAACGGGTCGCAAGCGCTGCCGTAAAAGAGGGAAGCGTACGCAAGCGATAAAGCGAAGGCATGGAAGACGTAGCAATCAGCCGGGCAAAAGAAAGAATGGTAGATCAGCGGCCCGTTCAACGAAAGGTTCCTTGTGGCGTACAGCAAAATGCCAGCGGCAAAACGGTAGGCCGTGGCGTAAGTCCTCGCGATGGTATGCGCGGTGGAGGTATAGAGCTTTTTATGGAAAGGAGTGTCGACGTGGTCCTAGAAGAAAGGCCACAATAGCTAAACACCGCTCGGGAGCTAGACCAAAGAGGACACCGTCACTCTTTCCCTTGCATTGCTCGGGTTCCCTCCGCCAGATTGACAGAAATCGGCCGAAATCGCAAATGAGGCGTAACGCTGCCGTTCAGCTTGTAGCCCAGGCGCGACGTTGCCTCGGGAGTTCCCGAAATACGGCAAGACCGCGACCGCTGCGTGTGCGATTTAGGTGAGGGACGGCTGTAAGCTGGAGAAGGTGACACAGGAGTTTACTGGGAAGCATGTTTTTTTGCTTATTTTTGGTTTTAAAGTAATATTCCTTTGTCATCTCCCCGGCTAGTTCGTGTGGCAGCAGTTCTTCCCTTCTAGACTTTTTAAGAGCATTGTAAGTGTTTTTAGTTGAGTTACAGGGAAATGGCCTACGGTTATGTGTGCGATTGGTGTGCTACCGTTCTTTTAATGAGAGTATGATGTCGTGCTAGGGCGGACAGCAAAGTCATGTGCGTTCTTTGAAGACAGGGGCTGACATGAGGCTACATTCAGTTAATGAGCGTGCTAGTATCTGAGGGCAACTTCATTTTGTTGTTTTTATGATTGCTTATAGGGCTCATTTGATCACTTGAGGTGAGAGCGTGGCGTTCACCGAACTTTGAGGCTAGACATACATTTATAAGAATTTTAGGACGCAGTTTGATCTGCTGTGAGTGAGTTTTCATTGGCGTCAGGGTGTCCTACAAGTAGGCACTCACGACTACGTTAAGTTTGTAATGAGAGAATAGAAAATGCGCCCAGATAACTTTTGTAGGTTCAGGCTGCATTTGTGTAGAATTTAGGTAGTTGTCTTTCATGAAATTAGTCATGAAGTTAAATGTGAGTTGCAACTTAGTAGTGCGGATGGTAGGAGAAAGCTAGTTTTGTAAAAATGGGATTACTGTTATATGGGGCCAAATTATATTTGCCTTTGTGTGCTTTTCTTACACGGCAATTTGTTCCATCTTTGGTAAGCATCTCCACATCCATGATTGTTGTAACTTTGGCGGCACCAAATTGCCTCAAAATTTTAGCGTACAGGTTTCTCTTTTGTTTGTGTTTCTTGAGAAGCCTGGAGGGTTTTAAGCGGGTCCAATGTGCTTGACTGCAGCATGGTATTGTGCTGTGTGGTTCGCCTTGCTGATGTCAATCATTGTGAGCTGGTTTAGAAGTTGGTTTCGAGTTCGCAGCTGGAGGGAGAAAGCCAGGCCATCGTCCTCGTCACCAGCCATTCTCTTCGTGCCCAGCGGTTGGGAGCGCTGGCCAGCCGAGATTTTTCGGGCGGCGGAGGAGCTGTTAAGTTTGGCCTGGAAATTCGTCTGGGCAGTCGCCGTTGTGTGTAAGCTGGTCCACGGGGAAGGCTCTCAATCCCTTCGGCGCCCAGTCTGCCAGACGCTGTCGAAGATTTGAGTAATTACCCAGACAATGCGGCAGGCAAAGGCGAGTTCTTGTCTTTCAAATGCGGACCCTTTCGTCGTGCCTTCAAGCAGCAGCGGTGCCTGATGACCTCGGTGATTCATCTGACGACGGGGAAGCTGTTGGGACTGGCGCCAGAGCTGACAGGAAAGCGGCACTACTTTTGATCCCCAATCAAGTAGACAACCGGCCGGCTGCCTATGCTCGTCAGGCATTGTCCGTGATGGCCGGAGGATGAGACGTCGTGTCGCCATGACATCGGAAACAGTTTCACAGAGGACAACAAAGAAAGCATTTTCCTGGAAGAGACTGCGGTGGCCACCGCAAATCACCCCGCTAATTGAGCGAACAAAATCGGCGGACTCTTTGAAGTATGCTGTCCGGATCGTGGGACCTCTTGACTAGCGGCACACACACGACGAGGAAGAGCCCCGCTGGCGCCGCCTTGCAGTGCAGTGTTCACGACTAAATATTGGATTTCACGTGGACCGTGCATGCTCGTCCCCCTTATCTGTGTGTGTGTAATTGATGTTCCACTCGGAGAGGAGGGGCCCAACAGGGCTTAAAAACGACACCGCAGAGTGCTGGACGTCGCTCTGAACAATGTAACGTTCAACCACCACGCTCGTGGTTTGGGAAACCCCTAAGCTTTCTTTGCTGTAAATATGTGTAAATAGTGCCATAAACCTGTTTTTGTTCTCGTATCCTCTAGCGACCTTCCTTTCGACCCTAACAACTGGTTGGCAGCGGTGGGATTCATGGCAGCGGTGGAACCCATGCTCTCGAAGAGACTGGTCCTCAAACAATAGTTGTGATCACGTCGGGTACCAAAACATACCAAATGACCACTTGCGTGGCACCAACGAAGCAGGGCGGCTATGGAAACATTAAAATATGTCGTGCAAGCACATGACGAGAACCTCATAGTGTGTTGTGATGGAATTGAAACTAGTTTTCAAAGACGTGTTTCAATCAATTTTTTAAGGGTGCACTCATACTTGCCATTATACTTTTCAGACTCTAGAGCAGGGGTCTTAAACTTGCCTCAGCTACGCAATTTGGTCCCATAAGGGCGGTGCCAGTGACAAAAATAGGAGTCACGTGAGGGGGAGCGAGTTTGTAGAAATTGACAGCAAATGTGACCATTTGAAGGAAAAGCTTTCCCACATCTTCGATACAAGTCATTTATAAACGAGACTTGGGGCTAAGATTCCAAACATGTTGATACCGATCTTCAAAGTGACTTAAAATCTGGACGCCGATTCTGAAATAGTTTTTGTTTCACGGTTATCACAGAAGCATCTGTTGCTGGGCCTGTTGGTATATACTTGAAGAATCGAAAATACCAGCTTAAGGGCACATACACAAAAAGAGACGACAAATGCAGACACTTGGCGTGTGTCTGTCGTCTTCTGTTCTTTGTAGGCACCCTTAAGCTAGTTTTTTTGTTTCTTCAACATTACGTTTCAACACACGGTGACTGCATTCGGTGACTCATTAAAGCAATGCTTTAGACCAGTCATGCATGTGTAGCTCACGAGCATACTTATTTAAAAAGTTCAATGTTGGTGAAGACAGTCATGTGCGACCACAAGCTGCATGTTAACGAGACCCCTGCACCAGAGGGCTTCGCCTTCCATTTAATGCAAAAAAGCGACAACTGAAAATCTATATCTGTGCAGAGTAATTAAAACTGCCATTGCTCTGGCTTGATAGCAACGACAACTTCAAGTCTGAGCCCCAGCAAATAAAAAGCTAAGAGACCTACCTACACGCGACTTTCAAAGCTACGTAGCCACAATCTTGTGCATTAAATTTTTTGTATACAACACAACTCACGTCCATGTAAGCATGCCTATTCACTTTCGAGTATAGATGCACAAATTCTGAATGAAAGGGAGCTACTAATGAAAATTTTGAACAGTGGGTGCCAGTGTTGCAGACCAAGATGTGAAGGGCTGCAGAGGACGGTGAATTTGCCATGTCAAGTTGTGTTATTTGCTGAATCTGTACAATGTTAGTGAAGATTGGTGGGAAAGTGAGGCAGAAGTATCAGATTTTGCTATGGACAGTAATTGGTAAATGTAATCAATTAAACATTCTGTGAAAATATTTTTTATCAGGTGTGTATAAACATAAGCACAAGGCAACAGCTAAGACACCAGTCATAGCTATACAATAAATAATCAAAACATAGCAGCAACTATATGCACAGATAAATGCAAGACAGCCCCAGCAAGCGACTCTGTTAATTTTGTTTCAAGCAGTGGTGGCACAAAAAGAAAGCAGAGCTGTTTGCAGCCTGTTAGAATAGCTGTGTAACTATATGCATGTTCTCTACCCATGAATTTCTGTAAGATTATACAAAATTATATCATCACAATGACATCATCTTACATGTACCATTTGCTTCGTGAGCAATATACTATTGCAGGCACATTCCATGGTCTGGGAGCTGTAATTCTGCATATTTAGCAGCCTATTGGCACTAGTTTGTACTCAACTGGTTAGTTGTACATAACTGTACTATCAGCATCAATTGAAACCCATCGAATAAACCCCGAACAACTGCAAGCATTCACAATGGCGTGGTCCCCAAGTACCTAAAAAACTAAGGTAGCGCCAACCACGCCCTTAGAGCGTCCAGCAGGTAACTACAAACACAGGCATATCCTCTCCTGGCACACTGGGGAGGGTAAACCGGTGTCATCGTAGAAGCAAACGAAAACATGCGATCGAGTGACAGACAAGATGGCACTTGCACTACCAAAGCTATCACGCAGGGAGGAGTGCCGGCACACTGGCAGGAATGGCACTACTTTATTCATTTCTGGGCACTTTATTGTCATCACTGACTGGTGCACGCATCTGGTTTGGCAGCACTGTGCATATGCACATCTGTCCATGGTGACAACTAAATGGCATGCACTTCACCACTGCAAATGCTTGCCACTGATGAGGCTTCATTTTAACACTGATAATTTTTCTTTAAGGGGCCTTGTAACACTTTTTCAAACAGCCATTAAATGGGTTCCCTAAGGAAGCTTATTGCCTCATGAATTAGCTGGTATAAAAATGTTTAGAATCCATCCAGTACAAGAGGAGTTACGAAGATTGTTCGCACGCTGCAATCGCTTTTTCTCTCTCGACGAAAGCGCTGGAAGCTAAGTAGGGAGAGATGGCACAGGGAAAGAAAAACATCACGCGCGCCTGGTGACCTTGATCACCTTTTCTCTTATTTTTGTTTTTCGAATATGGGGCTTTTGATTGTGACCACGCGGACAAGTCGTGGCCTCCTGCAGCGATTCTTGTAATGAGAAAGCGTGCAATGCTCAAATCAGCTAATGGCTAATAAAATGGTTGTGATGAGTGATTTTATGGCTTCTTTCGCCATTTGTCGCAAGACAAAGCAATTTTTAGCCGACTTTGAGAACTTATTTTGAATTCCAGGCCATGTGCTGCACTACAATACTTGGCACGCATGTTCTAGGGAGCCTCTACTATCCATCTGCAGCGTGTTCTGACTATGCTCAAAAAGTGTTGCAGGGCCCCTTTGAATAAACTGTTTATGTTCTAATGAAAAAAGTGTAGACATCATAAAACAACATTGTCTTGCACACCTCTTAAGAAACTGAGTTGCGGTGATATGTAAAATACTGTTCACCATATGAAATGCCACTGGTAACACTAGACTGCGTAGTGGTGCAGAAACACACTCTCAGTGCTATGTGTTCTGTACCACTTTGTTCCTATATTAGACACACAATGTCAACAGTGTTTTCATGCGATGCATCAAATCCAATGTGTAGTCACCAGATGTATCTTTTAAGGGGTCCAGGCTCTCCAAGAAAAGTTTTGCCCCCTTCTGTTAGCCACTAACCACATAGTTATCGCCCTTTACACCTTACAGTACAGTGCTTTGTGCTTTTCTCACGTCGTGAACTACCGTGCTCAAATAGCTATCCATAATCCTGGAATCCATGCAACTGCGCTGTATACTAGCAAATTTCTTATGTATGGTTGACTATGAACACAGACACTGCATAACATCTCTCTATAGATTTTTCAAAGTGTTGCAAAAATATCAAGACAGAGAAGGTTTGTGCAATCGGTACTATTGCACTTATGTATTAAAACACAGGTTTTGAGCATATTCTTATATTTAAAAGTGAATTGGTAAATACAAATGCAGTATATTACACACAATACTTAATGTAACATTTACATGCGGTTTGACAGTTTCTCTTTCTTCCTCTTCAGAGCTTTGTATTCGCCTTCCTGGCTGGCAAGCTCTTTGTAAATGCGCTTCACCTTGTCCTTTCGTTCAGCATCTCTTGCCATTTGCTCCTTGAGGATATGCTGAGCCAAAAACTGGTTGTCCCGACGCACTTCTCGCATGGCTCCTTTCATTTCCTTCTTGTACTGATAATTCAACTTCTTCAATTCTACTTTCTTCTCACCTCCTGAGAAGTGTTTGCGACCATCATACTTCATGCTGAACTTGGGCTCCAAGAGTGGTTTCATTGGTGGTGGTTTTTTGCTTGGTTTCAGTGGCTTGCGTTCAATCTTATGACTCAGCTTGGCCAGTGTGTTTTTTATGACAGCTTTCAGTGTCTCTGGGTAAGCCAGTTCTGCAAGCTTCTGGCATACGACTATCAAGGGATCGCACAACTCCTTGTACGAAGGTAGCATCTGGTACAAACATGCACACCTTTCAACAAGTTTAACTCCAGCATTAACAATCTTTAGCTTGAGATCATCAGTCATTTCTACCTGGCTGCATCCTAATGCTTTCAAGGGAAGCTTCCAGTCACTTTCAGTCACGGCTGCTACATTTCTTTCATCTTTAAGCTTTAAAGCACTGTGGGAAAGAAGCCGTGATAGAAAGGCCACAAGCTCTGGTGAAAAGCGCCTGGAGTATGACACATACTCGAGGAACACATTGGCTACAAAGATGCCTCGTAGGAAGTCAACGGGGTCCTTGAGTCCACAACAGGTAAGCAGGTGACTTGCAAAAAGCATTGCTGGTGTGGCAACCATGTGTGAGAAGTCTGAAGCAGAGTAGCACTGCCCAATAAGCTTCAAAAAAACAAGCGTGCTAAAACTTGGGTAAGACACCGAAAATCTGCTCTTCCTACTCAAAATGTTCTGAAGTTGTTCCTCTTTTTCAGAAATCACATCCAAAAGGAAATGGCCGCACACTGTTGGAGAAAGCTGCACTAGAGAGTAAATGTGAGGGCACAGTTTGTCCACCACGTGAATGTCAGTGTCTGCTGTATCGCTGATGTGCTGAAGAAGATACACAAAGAGCCTCTCAAGCTTTTTGCTACTACTCTGATTGCTTTTGATCATATGCTCAATGAGGGCAGCCTTTTCACAGGCACCCTTACTTTCCACCAATCTTGAAAACTCATCTTCAGTCTCAGGTATGTCAGCAACTGTCGACTTGCCCGCGCCTATTTCTTTCGACTTAATGTGCTTTTCAGACAGCCGATTTTCATTTTTGGCAGGTACAGAAACTTTGTTGGCATTTGTCATGTTGTCATCTTCCTGCTCTTCATTGTCGCTACTTGCTTCTTTTTCCGATTCCAAGTCGGCATAGCTGTCTTCTTCAGATGCATCGTCATTTTCTCCCTCAGAGTCTGAACCGGTGCTTGCGTCATTCTCATCTTTTGAATCTACACCAGTAAGACGGTCAGCCTGCTCATCTTCTTCAAACTCGTCCTCGTCGCTATCACTTTGCTTTGAGGTTCCAGTGATGCGCTCGTGCTTGTAAAAGCTGTCGTCCAAGTCGTCAGCAGAGGCTAGTTGCCTCTTATGTACGTCCTTTTTTGCTTCGGTACCCTGAGCTCTGGCTTTCCTTTCTTGTTCCAGCTTTTCGAGTCGTTTTTTCTCAGCTTTAGCTATCTCATCTTCCGTTTTCACCCTTTCGGAAGCCTGTCCAGCTAAAGGAGCAAACTTAAGCTGTTTCACCAGTACGTCATAGTCGTCCGTACTGGCCTCATTGTCTACTACGGCGGTCTTCTTGTTCTTGGAAGCAGCTAGAAGACTTTGGAATTGCCTCCAATCTTTATCGAGCTTTTCGGTAAGCTCAAAGTTCTCGTCTTTTTCGACTTGCCTTTCGTACTTAAGTTTCTTTGACTCTGCGATGAGTTGCTCAATGGCATCTCGTCGCGATTTCGCGGCATCGCTATTGGGATCAGCTTTCGTGAGAAAACCACCGAAATTTGTCTTTTCAATGAAGTCCCGGCCTACCTTGTCATAGAGATCTTCGTCGTCACTGCGGGGATCGTCATGGGTCTCCATGTCGTTGATGGACTTGCCGAGATGCGTTAACTCTTCGTCCTCATTGAGGCTGAATACGTTTTTCTTCTGTGAAATTTTGCGCTCCTGGGCAAGTCGTGCTGCCATCTTTTCATCAGGATTCATGGCAGCGTCGAACTCGCCGATCCGTTTGTCCATGAAAGTGCTCGATTTATTCCTTAAGACGTACTCCTGAAGTAGAGTCGCCTTGCGCTTCTTGATTGCCTTGTTCCTAGAAACACCGAGGAGCCCACGATCGCTCTTGGACTTCCTACCGAGCACATCGTGTTTTTGACGGTTCACTTTCACCTCAAAGGGGTTGACTTTTTCCGACAGTTTGGCAGGTTTGCCACCACTACCACCAGCACGCCTTGCCTTCATGGTGTAGCCACAGATTCTTGCGACCACGTGCCACAAAACACTGCCGATGTGGCCAAACTGTAGGGCCAAACTAATCCACAAAACACGACGCACTTACGCTAACTCGTTAACTTACGCGCACATCGCACACGTGCCAGCGTGCCAGGTGCCGGTAATCTGTTCCGAGAGTTTTCATAGTGGCGACATCTGCCACACTCGTTGCGCTGCACTGTCCGCACTCTGAGATCGAGGCTAGCTACCTCTGGCATCATTTTGCCGGGAATTAGTGCACATGCATTGTGGCGCCGTTCTTTCTCGTTAATTGATCATAAAAACGGTAAGTATCGAATCGTTTACCGGTACCAAGATGCTGGAACAAAATCCAGAGTTCGCGGAGCACGTGCCCGAAGAGGAGGAAGAGGAAAGTCCGGAGAGCACGAAGGAGTCCGTAAGTCTGCAAGGACCGTGCGACAGCCCAACTTTTTTCATAGTCTGTCATTCGTCCCATTGATTCTTTCATGATGTTTATATCCGCATGTGTAAGTTGATCGAATCCTGATAGCGTAGAGAATGGTTCATTTTCTTGGCTTCGTAGCATGAAGCCGTGCCGAATGGTGTGTTTAACATCGTTATTCGTGCGTCCGGGAAATATTTGGCGGGCCTCTACTTGGGGCGCAATGGGGTCTCAGTTTGTTTATTTTTTAAGTGACGAAATATGTAATTTAGCGCAGTTTTAGATGAGTGATCGGCCAAAAATTGCTGAGAACTTGTGCTCAATGTGTCGGATCACTTCCAATGCGATCAGTAAACCTTTCCTTCGGTAGTAAGTTCTGGAGTTCTGGCGGACTTTCTAACTACCGGCATTGCGAACACACCAGTGTTCTGAATGTGTGGTCTTGCGATCTGCCCTTTCACCTTCTATTAGTCAGCCGATAGTCGGAGACGCCGACAGTGGCAGCAGGAATAGACCCAACACACTACGAGGACGTTGTGGCTTGTCGCTACTTAGGACTTGTCGCGCCGTTTGCGCACTTGTACGCGGAGATGCTCGAAGCGCCCGATGTGCTTTGTGTTGCAGACGCCTGATGAAGAGGAGAGCGTGACGACAGAAAAGAAGGATGACACGGATTACGATAGCAAACTGGTAAGCCGGTAAATGTATGAAGCCGAGTTAGCGTGCAGAAATTAACTTCATCTTGTTTTAATATAATACCGTATTCTATTACGTCTATTCTTTTTCATTTAGGATTTGGATAGAGGCAATCGTTTCGACTACCTGCTGCAACAAACCGAAATCTTTGCACATTTTATGACCACAAGCAGCGCGGCGAAAGGCGTCACGTCGCCTCTAAAGTTGAAACCAGGTCGGCCGAAGTTGAAGAAGAATGACGAGAAAGCTAAACTTGCGGCTGTGGGAGAGTGAGTCATTCCTGCAACATTCATTTGCTCCTTCATTCTTGAAGCTTTGTGTGCACACATTATGCGGTTTCTTATCCGTAACGTTTGAACACTTTTGCCGCTTGCATATCACAGTGGCAGGCAGCCAAGCGAACGGGCAAACACTTCAATCCTCTTTTTTTGACATGTTTGCAAGCGCTGGCCGTTTTGTAAAGAAGAAAAAAAAGTATATGTATATATACCAGATTTTTTGAACGTCATTCATGCTGGACCCAACGTATTGTATGCAAGGAAGGGACGACGAAACTTTCACGAAAGTGTTGCCTTTACTAAAGGTTTTCAGCTGTTCCACTTGTGTGTGTGTGTATATATATATATATATAATAAGCTTTCGTATTTACTTCCAGAACTTGGCTTGCGATCACTGCTACATTTTTAAATTTGTTTTTTTGGAACAATACAAAACATGGTTGGTTGAACATGCCTGAGGCTTGACAGGATCACCTATGATTTTCATTCCATTCATACATCATTTGCCTAGAGATTCAAAAGCACTAGAAAATGTGGCTTGGTCTTTTGTGTTGACTCCTGGGACAAGGGTTGACAATAAGGAATCAGTTTACGGAATTCATTACCCAGAAAGGCTATGCTTCTTCATCCAATTGCTGTCGCAAACTGAATTCTCAATTTACCTTGCAGTAACCTTCGACATGCACTCAACTTCTGCACCTGTACATAGCATTGTTATGCGAGAAAAAGAAAGCTACAGTTCTATTGCTTCCAGTGTTTTGTGAGACAATTTCATTAATATACTCTATTTAACAATTGTGGTGTGATGACGTTTATTCGAGCCGAGAAGTCGCAGCGAGGTCGCAACGGAAAGTGGGCGTACGGCAAGTCTGGCAGAGGCGGCACAAACTCTCGCGCAAGCAGAGCACGGGCTTTTTGTTGTCTTCCGAAGGCGCATACGCGTTGGTGCGTATGCTCCACTACAATACCCCCGGGATGAAGGGTAGCCATCCTGGCGACTCAGGGAGTAGGCACAATGATGGGGTCGTAGTAGGGCTTGAGACGGTCGACGTGTACGGTCTCGCGTCCTCGACGGCGCAAATCTGGTGATTGTGTTAACGGCTCGATGATGTAATTCACCGGGGAGGTCGCGTCAATGATACGGTACGGACCATGGTACCGGGCCAGAAGTTTGGAAGATAGGCCAGGAACGTGCGGGGGCACCCAAAGCCACACAAGGGAGCCAGCACGAAATGTAGGAGCTATGCGGTGAGCGTCGTCGTGTCGAGTCTTTTGTAGACCTTGAGCCTCACTTGTCAGAGACCGAGCCAACTGACGGCAGTCTTCAGCGTATCTGGCGACTTCCGAAAGCGGGGAGCACTCAGATGCATCAGGGCGGTACGGTAGTATAGTGTCGAGGGGTGGGAAGGTTCGCGGCCGTACAGTAGAAAGAACGGAGAAAAACCGGTAGTCGCTTGCGTCGCGGTGTTATAAGCGAAGGTAACAAAGGGCAATGCAGCGTCCCAGTTAGTGTGGCCGGAGGAGGTGTACATCCTCAGCATGTCGCCAAGTGTGCGGTTGAACCGCTCAGTAAGACCATTTGTCTGTGGATGGTATGCGGTAGATTTCCGGTGGATAATGTTGCATTCAGCGAGGATAGCTTGGATGACCTCCGACAGGAACACTCGACCCCTATCACTGAGTAATTCCCGCGGAGCACCATGGCGTAGAATGAAGCTGCGGAGAATGAAGAGTGCAACTTCGTGGGCGGTCGCTGCCGGTAGAGCTGCAGTCTCAGCGTAGCGTGTCAGATGATCGACTCCGACAATAATCCACCGGTTTCCAGAGCTACTATATGGGAGTGGGCCATAGAGGTCTATACCCACGCGGTCGAATGGGCGAGCCGGGCACGGCAGCGGCTGTAACATGCCGGTAAGGTGCCGCGGAGGTGTTTTGTTCTGTTGGCAAGTGGTGCAAGACTGAATGTATTTCTGCACAAAACGATACATTCCTCGCCAGTAATAGCGTTGGCGCAGCCGTTCGTAGGTTTTCAGGACACCTGCGTGAGCACTTTGGGGATCTGCATGGAAATTCATGCAGATGTCAGAGCGCATATGAGTTGGGACAGCAAGGAGCCACTTCCGACCACCAGGCGTGTAGTTGCGGCGGTACAGAATGTTGTCACGTAAGGAAAAGTGGGCTGCTTGCCGGCGTACCGCTCTCGTGGAAGGGACAGAAGATGGATCGGTAAGGTAGTCGACTAACAAGGCAAGGTATGGGTCTTTACGCTGCTCCGAAAGCATGTCAGTGCTGTCGAGTGGTGACAAGGTGGTAAAAGGGGGTGACAGAGAAGCCACATCTGGTGTTAATGGCGATCGGGAAAGTGCATCGGCGTCCGCATGCTTGCGACCGGAACGATATACGACACGGATGTCGTATTCCTGCAATCGAAGTGCCCAACGGCCCAGACGTCCGGACGGGTCTTTCAAGGTGGACAGCCAACATAGAGCGTGGTGGTCTGTGACCACATCGAAAGGACGGCCGTAAAGGTACGGGCGAAACTTCGTAAGCGCCCAGATTATGGCCAAACACTCCTTCTCTGTCACGGAGTAATTCAATTCAGCCTTCTTAAGAGCGCGACTTGCATAAGCGACTACGTATTCGGTTTGGGTACCTTTCCGTTGTGCCAAAACTGCGCCAAGACCAACGCCGCTTGCATCAGTGTGAACTTCTGTGGCAGCAGTGGGGTCGTAGTGGCGAAGAATAGGTGGCGAGGTCAGCAGGCGGCGCAGCTGGTGAAATGCGTCGTCACATGCAGGTGACCATGCAGATATACCTTTGCTGTTGGAAAGCAGACTAGTCAGAGGTGCAATGATGGACGCGAAGTTGCGCACGAAGCGACGAAAGTAAGAGCAAAGACCAACGAAACTTCTTAGGGCTTTCAGTGATGTGGGCATGGGGAAGTCAGCGACAGCTCGAAGCTTATCGGGGTCCGGAAGAACACCGTCTCTTGTGATGACATGTCCCAAGATGGTTAGTTTGCGGGCTGCGAAGTGGCACTTCTTGGTGTTAAGTTGTAGGCCTGCAGAAGCTAGACACGCCAGAACCTCGTGGAGACGACGAAGATGTGTCGGGAAATCAGCTGAAAAGACTACGATGTCATCTAGGTAACACAAGCAAGTTTTCCACTTGTGGGCCCGCAATATGGTATCTATCATGCGTTCAAACGTCGCAGGCGCGTTGCAGAGCCCAAATGGCATGACTTTGAACTCATACAGGCCATCTGGCGTTACAAAGGCTGTTTTAGGGCGATCACATTCAGCCATTGGCACCTGCCAATACCCAGAACGCAGATCCAAGGATGTGAAGTACTCGGCGCCTTGTAAACAGTCAAGAGCATCGTCTATTCGTGGTAGCGGGTAGACGTCTTTCTTTGTAATCTTGTTTAAGCGGCGATAGTCCACGCAAAATCGAACGGTGCCATCTTTTTTCTTTACCAGAACCACGGGTGACGACCAAGCGCTTTGAGAAGGCTGTATGACTCCACGTTTAAGCATGTCATCTACTTGCTCCGTAATGACGCGGCGCTCTTCGGCAGAAACGCGGTAAGGACGCTGTCGCAGAGGCGAATGTGAGCCGGTGTCAATAGTATGAGTGACAGTCGTGGTGCGGCCCAAAGCAGGTTTCTGAAAGTCGAAAGAAGAGCGAAACTTGTTAAGGAGAGCAACAAGTTGGCTGCGATGCGAGGGGGGAAGGTCTGCGTCAATAGCATCGTCGAAGGCTGGTGAGCTTGATGGCTCAGACGCCTGAGTGATTGCGGCAATCTGACATGGCGTTTCGTCGGGAAGAATAATATCATTGATATGGTCGACAGGTTGCACATATCCTAACGTTTCACCACGAAGCAAGCCAATGGGGTAGTTGCAGTGGTTGGTAACCAGCATTACGGTTAAACCAGACGCAATCGTAAGAACGGCAAATGGGAGCACGATGCCCTTGCGTTCAGTAAAAACAGGGGATGGCGTAAATACCACCGTGGCGTCAGGTTGCGCCACACATGAAAGGCTAATAGGGACTGAAGCTTCCGGAGGCAAGGTGATGTCGTCGTCAGCGATGAGTTTGCAGAGCAGTGGTGAATGGTCGGGCGATGGAAACTCACAATTTGGCACTAGGGACACTTCCGCACGGCAACAATCGATGATAGCTTCATGACCTGATAAGAAATCCCAACCCAGGATGAGGTCATGAGAGCAAGATGGTAGTACGAAAAATTGGACGATGTACAAAACGTCTTGGATGACGACGCGCGCCGTACACACAGACGAGGGCTGAATGCGTTGCGCGCTAGCCGTGGACAGCACGATGCCACAGAGAGATGTGGTCACTTTCTTCAGTTTGCGACAAAATTTTGCGTTCATCACAGAAACGGCGGCCCCAGTATCAATTAACGCTTGTGTGGCGACTCCCTCAACATTGACATCAACAACATTTCGCGGCGAAAATGGAGGCCTTGATAATTGCGCAGAAGTTGCAGTTCTTGCCTCTGGAACTGCACTGATTAGTTTCCCTCCTCAGGAGGTGGTCTACGACGCATAGGAGATGGTGATCGGCGACGAGGAGATGGGAAACGAGAAGTTGATGGGCGACGATCCGAGTCAGAGTGCCTCTGTTCGTATGCAGACGAGGTGGCCTGCTGCGACGCATAGGTAGGAGTTCCAAAGGAGGCGTACGCAGGTGTGGGACGGCGGCGGCAGTAGCGTGCAATGTGGCCAGCGATGCCACACGCGAAGCAGATAGGACGGTTGTCATGGGTGCGCCACTCATTAGATTGACGGAAAAAGCGAGGTGAGGGCCTGTTAACCGGTGGCGCTGCCGGAGTAGTTGGAGCCGATAAGGCGACTGGATGCGGTGGGGGCCGCGCGACCACAGCTGCGTAGCTGAGAGGTGAAGGCGGCGCAGTTGGTGCGTAGCCAGCAGTTGAGAGATCAGATGGCACCGAAGTGCACGGGTAAGAGGCCGGAACTGTAGGGAGTGCATTGCAAATTTCAGTGCGTATGGCCTGCTGCATATTCGAAGGGAGGCTTGTCGTGGGCGCGTCACTATGCGGCAGCAGGGAAAGCTGTCGGGCGACTTCCTCCCTGATGAAGTCTTTAATCTGGTTCGACAGAGTTCCTTGGTGAACGTTGCCATTGGCGAGTGCGACGGCCGAGATGGAATCTGGTGATGGAACACTCTGTCGGGCGATGGAACGCTGACGACGCAATTCATCGAAGCTCTGGCACAGGCTTACGAGGACCGCCACCGTGGTCGGGCTCTTCGCCAGCAACATCTGGAATGCGCCATCCTCGATGCCTTTGAGAATATGTCGAATTTTCTCTTCTTCAGGCATGGATGAGTTAACACGCCTGCAGAGGTCGAGCACATCCTCAATATAACTAGTAAAGGTCTCACCAGGTTGCTGGGCTCGGTGGCGCAGACGCTGGTCAGCGCGGAGCTTGCGGACCTCTGGTCGGCCGAACGCTTCGGTCACGAGGGTCTTGAAGGTGGACCAGCTGGCGATGGCGGTTTCGCGGTTGGTGAACCATAGTTTGGCGACGTCAGCCAAGTAAAAGATGACATAGGCAAGCTTGGAGTCGTTGTCCCATTTGTTGCTGGCACTCACGCGTTCGTACAAGGAGAGCCAGTCTTCGACGTCTTGCTCACCACTGCCGCTGAAGATTGGTGGGTCCCGCTGACGGGTAGCACCGGGGCAGGTCGACGGGGCAGCCGATGGTGCTGGCTGGGCTGGGACGGGCTGGTTGGCGACTGCGTCAGTCATGTTTCGCGGTAGTCTTTCAGGCAACTTGCGAGAGCGGAGCTCCAGGTCTTCTTGGGGATCTCAGCACCCTCCACCAAATGTGATGACGTTTATTCGAGCCGAGAAGTCGCAGCGAGGTCGCAACGGAAAGTGGGCGTACGGCAAGTCTGGCAGAGGCGGCACAAACTCTCGCGCAAGCAGAGCACGGGCTTTTTGTTGTCTTCCGAAGGCGCATACGCGTTGGTGCGTATGCTCCACTACAGTGGTATTATGTAAGTAATGATGTTTTTTCAAAATTAAGACATGTAAAATTGACTTATAAATGCTAGGGATGCGTTAACTATATGATGTTAGTGGTTTTGGGAATATAGTTATTATAGGCCAACACAATATTAAAAAAAAAGAGGTTTCTATGGCAGTTTTTTCAACTAATACACTATACCAATGCACTATTTTATGGTTAAAGTTCAGCACATGACGAAAGCTTGAAGCAATGAAAAATCCTTCAAACTCATGGTGTTGCTGGAGCCATCATTTGGGTAAGTGGACTTGTCATCTTCAAGGCTAAAAGGGATTCAAAATTGCAGCCCTGAAGAAGTCAAGTCCGCTTGACGAATGTTGGCTCGAACGACCCTTGATGTTCCAAGGATTTTTATTGATACACCTAACTTGGGCAGAAAACTTGTGCACAGTAACAACACATCTTTTTATAAACTGAGGCTGTCAGTGTATGCACTATAAATACATATCTTTTTATGTTGCTTAGGAAATAAGTTCACATATTTCATGATGTGTAGCATACCTATAGGTGCGCCATGAGATGTACGTCGTAAAGGTATTTAGCTTATAGAAGTGAACTGTTCCATTGTAGTTAATTGTCTACAGAGATGGCTCTTTGCGAGTGTGACACTTGGTAAATGCCAAGATATTTTATTTTGTCCAATGGGCCCACGAGGTTGCGGAGAAGTTAGGCCTATCTGTCTCGACGTGGGAGCGGCCCCCTATGTGCTCGTTCACGCCCCGATGGACCTTAATAAAGTTTCCATGCCATACCATTCAGGTCCATTTTTGCATACTGCACATAAGGATGTCAGGTTTAAGTGTGAATTCTGGTTACTTCACAAACCAGTATCTTTAGTTGTGATGATATCAGGAAGAAAACATTGAAAATGACCATAGAATCGTCATGATATCTTGTGCAAGCACTTGTCAAATGCTCATCCTATGTCGCGGTACAGCAGGAACTGAAACTGGATTTTAAAAGCATATTTTAATTACTCTTTTAGAGTGCACTCAGGCTTAGTACATTTTGTAGGCTTTTGAGGGTTTGTTGTTTCATTTGATGCCAAAAAACTAATGAAAATTTTCGTGTAGTACTCCTTCAAAGAAGAAATAATAAATGCTTACCTGAATGTTTTAGCTCATCATTGCTTTTTTTGTGGCAGCCTGCGACATCGGATGACTGAGCAGGAAGAAGATGAGGAGCTGCTTTCAGACAGCCGCCGAAAGGAAATTACAGTCACTCGCTTTGAGACCTCGCCTACTTATATTAAAGGGGGTGAGCTTCGCGACTACCAAATCCGAGGCCTTAACTGGATGATTTCTCTCTATGAACATGGTATCAATGGCATCCTTGCTGATGAAATGGTGAGTTTTATGATTTGGTGTAACCATGTTGAAGCGGGCCAGAGTTTAATGAAATGACACAAACTATTGAAAAGATTATGTATGAAGATCATCGCTATGAGGTTAAAGAGACAGCCGCATTCTAAAAGCAGCTCTGTTTCGTTACCCTTTGATCTTGTTTAAAAGAGCCAGTGTATAGCTAAATCATTTTCTAGCAACCATAGCCAAACTTTGTTTATCACAGGCACATGAGCAGTCGGAGCATTCATTTCTGATACAGTAACCACTCTGCATTGAAATGCCTTTTCTGTCAAACCATTTTACACAGGTAGAAATTTTCAATGGTAAAGCATTGCAGGACTATAAAATAATGCGTGGCATGTCTTTCTCGCATTAGAGTTGATGGACATGGTGCATACATAAACTTTTTGTGCCTTTGCACTTAAAATATGAGACAGGGCTGCTGCAGACTAGGCTTTATTTTACAGTTTAACTAAGCGCAGTGCTGGCACTTGTTGGGTGTCACTACCAGGTGTATCGTTGGTACATTTTTAGCACCTTCTAGAGAAGCGTGTATTTTGTTGCGGCATAAAGAAGAAGACTACTCTGAAAGATGCACGTCCTGTTCGCCTGTGTCGTGTATCGTAGCACGTGTGTTCGTCTGTTTAAGGAAATAGTCCTTTTCTTACGCGTGTTTTCAGTGATGCTCAAGAGTGTGCAAATCCTTATCAATTTCTGTTGCATTGATGGTAGTCAGTGCAGAGCCCCTCTCAATCTCCGCTGTAATGTTTGGTGATTTGATTGTGTGTAATGATACACAGCTCCAGTTCATACTCGAAATGTCACATTGTGGTCATAATGAACAAGCTAATTATGGCCTTTTCTGCTCAGACATTTTTGCCGAGAACACCCACTTTGAGTTGATAGATGTACTTTATGGATCTGCGGCTACAAGAGTTGTCAGTTATGCCTATAATAAGCATATTTGGGTTCCTTTTCTGGCTAAGTCGCTTGTAGAGTGTTGCAGTAACTTGTCGCACTTCTTGAGCTTATTTCCATTTCCCCAGCAAGTACAGTTGTTTAAGGGACAATCACGTTCACCGATGGCACTTACTCTCTCACTTATAGCGTGTTTGTTGATGGTCTTGCGCCAACATACCTTGGCGGAATCAACAGTGGACAGTAATTGGAAAGTGGCCTACGTTCATCCAACTGAATGGAGACTGCCCTGCAGGCAGTGTTAATATGTGCTTTTGAATGACATATTTTACTATAATTAAAAATGTTTTCTAGAAGGGAATGGTTACTTTATTTCTGATTCTCTTGGGCTTCTTCGCAAAAGGTGCGCTGCAATTTTGTGCTTCTTTTGTGATGGTTATTGCTTGTTAGCTCAGCAGCATCTAGCAACATTGACTGCTAAACTTGCAATGTATGCACATCAATATAGATACTTGTGTTCACAGCCCAGTGCTGGCTGATTTTTTATCTGTGTTGGAGCAGCAACAAAGGTGTTGAATCTTGCAAATCTATTGCCAAGCATGTTTAGAATTCCTTGCCTCAAGTCATTTCGTACAACAGGTGCAGAGGATTCGGCGTTAACCTTTTCTAAACTTGATTGGCAGGGAGGTGTACTTGCTACAGGAATAACATTTAGAATTTATTGTGAATACTTGCTACCAGTTATTTTGTTCCTAGTGCACGCCCACTCAGTCATCACCGCTGATGCCTCAAGATGCAACTCTTTCTGAGCTGCTGCGTTCATTTTCAATTTCATCGTAGATTTGTTTCTATTTGTATGTATTCATAGTGGGAATAGAACTATTTCGCACAAGGCAGGAGGTGCACAAAAATATTCGTCAGTTTTTCTTGACAGGATGCAATAAACTACCAGAAATTTTTCTTAAATCATTCATTCATTGCTGTTTGATTGGATCTCTTGCGAGTCTGGCTTCACGTTGATGTAAATTGTCCGCTTGTTCCACCATCTTCCTCTTGCACAGGGTCTTGGAAAGACACTGCAAACTATCTCGCTGTTGGGATACATGAAGCACTATCGCAACATAAATGGACCGCACATGGTTATTGTGCCAAAGTCGACGCTAGCTAATTGGATGAGTGAGTTCGAGAGGTGGTGTCCATCTCTCCGCACTGTCTGCCTGATTGGAGACCAAAATGCGAGGGTGAGTGCTTCTATAATCTGTGTGTGAGATGAGAGTGATGCTGCTTATTTTCACGACTGAGGGCATTTTGTGCATCCTCTACAAAAATCTCTGCAGCAATGTGTTTCGTGCACAAGTAGTGATGAGTGTGATGTTTACTATTTGCATGAGGAAACTTATTTTGCTTAGAAATTGTGAATTCACTTTATGTGAGTAGATATAGTCTTCATTCGATTTCCACATTATTGGCAAATCTTCAACGCTCTTCCACAAACATTTTAGTATAACAATGGTTATGAATGCTATAATGCTCTTCAATACGTTGTGCTTCAATAATAAGTGCGGGCTAGGCAGTTAGCTTTAGAAAAAGGGCTAACGCGGAGCCAGTTCAAAGCGAGCAGGTGCTGGCTAACTAAATTTATGAAGAGGAAAGGCTTTTCCCTCCAAAAGCGAACGGGCATGTGCCAAAACTTGCCGGAGAAGTACGAAGAAAAGCTTCACAGTTTTCAGAGGTTCGTCCTAAACTTGCGGCACAACAACGGCTACCTGCTTGGGCAAATCGGGAATGCCGATCAGACGCCTCTTTACTTCGACATGCCTGGCACCACAACCGTCGAGAAGAAGGGGGCGAAGCAAGTTCGCATGCTGACATCGGGCCACGGTAAAACAATAGTGACTCATATGGTGGTTTTGGGACGTTAAACCCCACATATCAATCAATCAAAACAAGAGTGACGGCAATGCTCCGTTGTACGTCAGATAGGCACAAGCTTCCCCCGTACCTCATATTTAAACAGAAGACGCTTCCGAAAGGAGTCGTTTTCCCGAGTAGTGTGATCGTGCGGGCCAACGAGAAAAATGGGTGCGCGTTGCAATCGATGTCTTACTTTTTTTTTTTCGTCGTGAAAACCGAGTGCGCATTACAATCGGGGGCGCGGTAGAATCGAGTAAATACGGTATTTGGAATGCTCTCCGCCCAGCTAAGAGTAGCAGAACCAGTGATCCCACTTCTGCGCCAACTTCGCCAAAGTGCACCAAATCAGATTTACTGTGCCATCCTGATAATATCAACAGAAATTGTGTCAAACAACGCCAAAGTCACATTTGGAAGCGTCTATCACCGGCAATAGCCACGCCGGTGTGTCAATACATGTGCACCTTGTTCTCGCAGCCACCAAAGTCATAATTACATACCTATTTTGTTACGCTGAATAAACAGCCGTCGCACATGCGTTTTAAAATCCACGATGCTATGTTTGGTGCCGACGCAACTCTGTTGTGCAAGTCCGCTTAACGGCAAAACGCGCTCTCCACAGGGGCTCCACAATCGACTAGACGTCTAGCGTGCGCCAGCAATCAAGTTCATAACAACGCCCCCGCTCGCGTTCCTAGCTCCTTCCTGTTCCTTGGACACGGGTGGCGCGTTCCTCTCTGCTTGAGTTACAATCAATAAGAGGCATGGCACGTGGGGTGATGTTATTGCATCCGCCCTCAATGCTAAGGAGATAGGTCAGTTTCTTATCTCTGCTTTAGCTGCGTTCGTCTTCGCGCGCTTTTACCCACGTGTGAAACACGCGATGCGCCGTGGGATGTTATCGATTGGTGCGTTACACAAAACATGACCGCCGGGGGCGTAGCCAGGGGGAGGGGGGCGCGCACATTGGGAACGGGGACCTCCCCACCTCAGGAATGTTTTTTGCCATGGCATATATATATAGCGCACAATGCCCTTTTGCCTGCCCCCTCCTTCTTCAGATCAAGGTGTGACCGCCTCCCCCCAATTTTTTTTTTTAATTTCTAGCCACACCATTGGCGATGGCAAAGACAAATTGAGAATGACCGTATCATTGCGATCCCATTAAAAACAAAATGGCTTTTGCCTTTAAGTTGTCTTAGGCGTATGCATAAGGCACCCTTTCTTTATCCACTGCTTTTCAGAGGAGGCAGTAGGGTGTTTTGGAGTATAGACAGAACGCCCTAGCCACATAAAATATCACTGCAAAAGGAAAATTATCTTTGTTAAATTGTGTTCTTTCAGCACAGAGATGAGGGCCGGAGGAGGTTGGCTTACGCCTAGCGGTCTAATTGGTCATAATAAAAAAGAACCTTTGTTTATTCTTGAAGTCATTTTAGGGAAATGCTGTTGGGGCTGTGTGAGTCTCTAGTATTGTACGTCACAGCATTACTTGTCTATTGTATCTGCTGATAACCACATAGGTGTATTTATATTTTTACTTCATTAAGTACAATTTTATTCAAGCAGTATTCTGTTTATTTGCTTTGAAAATAGTCTCTGAATAAGTTTTTTCAGAATTCTCAACAGTACGATGCTATTATTCTTGCATCACCAACTGAAATAGGGAGTGCTTCTAAGATGATTGGCTCTATGAAATGCGCAATGAATCTAAATATTTCTAGCTCTTCACAAGAGCCTCAGAATAATTTTTCATGTCCTTGAATCTAAATGCAACTTGCTTCTCCTCCAGGATTTAAAGTTATGTGATCCACATTGCTTTAAAATAGAAAATTTTACTGCTCCAATAATTGCTCTTAATCAAAAAACCTCGGTAGCATCACTGAAAAAATGGGGAAATATTCTTGTTGTCGTTGTGCTGCTCTTTCAGGCTGCACTCATACGTGACACACTGATGCCTGGCGAGTGGGACGTCTGTGTCACCTCGTACGAAATGGTCATCCGAGAAAAGGCTGTCCTAAAAAAGTTCAACTGGCGCTACCTTGTCATTGACGAAGCTCACCGCATCAAAAATGAGAAATCAAAGGTAATGTCTCACTAGCTGCTCTTTGTTATCGGCTGTTTTTATTTCCTGCCAGCTCTCTTTAAAGGGGCTCTGCAATGCTTTTTTGTCTGCATTCTGTAGCACTGGAGTGTCTGTAGAGCTGAATGCTGAGATGAATGCAAGTAGAATTATCGGAATCGGTGCGCAGTAATGGAAGTTCTAGCGTTCAAACTTCATCCTAGCAGGCGATAAGAAAAGAAAAAGATTCCCTCTCACATTTCTCTCTCCAACTGATGTCACAGGCTGGTTCCAATTACCGCACGCCTCTTACAGAGACATACCAGATGGCTTGCTTTGTGGTTGCTAAGTTATTACAGGGACATAGTGGTGGACATAAAAAGACCTCAGTGGTGGACATTGTGAAGCACTCTTCAGGGGAGACAACAGGATGAACACGTGAACATAGCATGCTGGAGTTTTTCAGAGAGTAGATGTTGAGCCAACACAACATTCATTCCTATGGGATATGGCACGAAGAAATACAATTGCAACGAAGAGTCTGGTTATGATACAAGGCCAAGCATGCCGATGCATGCATCAGTGCAACAGCGAAATACAGTGGACTCCCCTTAAATGAAACTCAAAGGGTCAAGAAAATTTGTTCAATTTATGAGAAGTTTCATTTAAGCAAAGCCCACTAAATGAATGAAATATGACTTTATTTCAAAAGCACGAACTGTGGCTGACTGAATAAAAACATTTTGAAGTATGCAATACTAGTATGTATAGTTGATAAAAAAGGAAAATGTTTCTAATATTGCTGACTCGGAAAAAAAGGACGTAACAGTTTTCTTGGCCTTGTTCAAGCACTTTCTCACATAGTAGGAGTGCATTGCTGAAAGGCCGGGCAGGAACTCTGTGCCATCATCGTGGTCAAAGTAGCGCTGCAACATGATGACAGCATTTCTTGCTGCACAGTCAGCCACTGAAATGAACTCGGGATCACACACCATCTCATTGCCACTTGAGCACAGGTCCTCATCTTGAACTTCAGCTATAGGTTCCTCAAGGCTGTCTCCTCAATCAAGTTCATGACGAGACATCAATTGCTTCTCGGCTTGCGCGGACAAGTGCAATCGCTGGATTGGCTTGGCTAGGCTAGCTTTGGCATTTGTTTCATGGTTGCTAGACTGACATGGCCACTTCCGCCGTTCCTGGATTTTGCCTGTTTTGGTTTCATTTAACCGATGTAAGCTAAAAACAATGTTTCGATTACCTGAAACTTTTTATCATAACATATATAGGATACCGACCAAATATGCCTAGATAGTTTTGTTTATGCAACTTTTCCGTTTAATCAAGTTTCGTTTGATGGGAGTCCACTGTAAGACCATGCACAGGTTTTGAAAGAAATTGTTGCCTGCTCAATATAAAGGCCTCAAAGTGCAAGTGTGCTGACGCTGAGTGAAAGAATAAGGTAACGCAGACATAACTGTGAGTTCTGTACATTGCCACCGATTTTTTCAGTTCTTAAGATCCTATGCTTTACATGTACGAGTGTCACATGCAGTGACTGGGCTGTGACCAGTGCATTTTATTTGCATGCAGGTGTAGAATTCTCAGTGTATCTTTCTTGAACAGCCAAGCTGTTGTGAAGGTGTTTTTAAACAGCATTTGAAATGTGCATAGTAGAGGTGCCTAATACAAGTTTACCTACCATGTTTCTTGCAAATAACTCAAACCAAGAAACGAAAAAATGCGCTTAAAAAGTAAAGGTGTGTATTTATATGCAGAGGTTATGTGTAGATCCTTTTTTTTGTAAGGTTTGTAAAGCAAATGAGGGATGAGGGGGGGGGGGGGGGTGCAGATGCAGGTTATATGTGAGATAATACTGTAACTATCTCATGATCTTCCTCATACTTTTGCTAATCCAGTTTTTTTTTTTTGTAGTCAGGGAACTTCTTTGTTGGTAAAGAGCAAGTGTTTAGTGCTCTTCTGTGCTTTGGTAATCCATGCAGTTATCAGAGATAGTGCGAGAGTTCAAGACGACAAATCGCTTGCTTTTGACTGGCACCCCATTGCAAAACAACCTCCATGAGCTTTGGGCCCTGCTCAACTTCCTCCTTCCGGATGTGTTCAACTCATCTGAGGTATGGAAGCAATTCTTCTTTTGCTCATTATGCTGATGCAGAAAAATCGGTGCTATCACATCCGCACAGCATGTTTCTACAGCCATGTACCTGTTGCAGAGTGATAGTTCTAGAAGACTGGTGGAACAGCAGTAGTAATGTTACGTGCTTATGAATAATTACTTGTTTGCTCGCTGCCTACTGTAGAACATATGTGATGGCAGTATTAAAGGCTGTAGCTGCTGTCTGTAAAACAGAAAATGATCCTTCCTTCCTTTTTCTCCTCAAAAAGCTGTCAGCACAGTGCCCGTTTAAGTGTCCTGAATGATCTTTAATGGTACTACAAACTCAGTTGACTTTTGCTTACAAAAACGTAGCTTCAAAAGGCATCTTGTTCTTTGTACATTAGCAAAGCAAATGTATTGCACATTCTAGCCCTGTCAGTCCCACTGATTCAAATAGAAATCGTCAATTTTTTAGGTCAGTCAGCAAGCACCTGATAAAGGTAAAGCGTTGTTCTTCCACGAGAGCTGGTGGTAAGCAAGGTCACTTATGAACGAAGAAATTAGAGAAGCAGTGTCGCTGTTCGAGCATTTCAGTGGAGCAGCTTCTCCTTTTACTATGCCCAAAATAAAGTATTTATTTTAATTCCGTGCCTAAAATTTGAATTTTTGCTATTGAGCATTATGCTGTCTCACCTAAAGGACTTTTCAAGTATTAAGTAAAAATTATAGGAATGCTAATAAATAATAAATTTATTAAATAAACTAATTTACACAATAATTACACTTCATTGAGCAGTGTGAGCAAAGATTTTTGTTGTTGTTTATGCTAAAATGATCATGTGCATCTCAAAATGTAAAAACCAGTTGCTTACATTGAAAATGATTCATTTGGGACCGAAAAGGCTTCTGTGGAGAACTGTAAATGCTTCTTTGGGAAAATTAACAGAACAAGGATTATCGACATAGTGACTAAAAACCAATAAGTTATGATGAATAATCATCAATTGTGAGCCAGTGTAAGCTGTAGTTTGCTATAGTGAGTGCTAACAGTAGTTTTGTCATGTTGTGTTCACGATTTTTGCACCACTTCCCACATTGTACTTGCCTTCTTATGTAGGGCAGTACAAAATGGGAGGATCGAAATAGAATCCTGCTTTATTTTGCTTGGTCAAAATGATTTATTGAGAATATCAACATACAAATCAACAGCAATGATAATGTGGGATAATTGTTGAACAGTATTCAAATGCAGTGTAACCTTGGATTGCATGTGATCCGGTCATGGGAGGACCTGCATTTTACAATGAATCGATTTGGTCCTGGCAACACTGTGATTGAAATAATTTACAAAATTTTGATTATAGGACAATTTTATGCCAACCTTGCCTCATGTGATGCCACTCTGTTACTGCCCAACAATAAAATTGCTGCATTTGCTAGCATGTCTAACACGCACAAAGTCTTACCGGTCTCAAGATATAAATTCTAGAGCAGTGCGAACAGCAAAATTTTGGGTGCGAAGCGAACTTGAATACTAAAGTGAGAGTGTGAATAGAATATTTTTCTAATACTTCTAAGTGAACTTGCAGAAAAAAAAGTTAGCGAGGATTCCTAAGCATATTGATATGAGTTAGCAACATGACAGTTCTTTTGACTAGGTTGATGAAGCACTAGTGGTGTAGCGTTTCATAGTTGTCTCATCAAGAATGAGGCAATGCAGAGGCGAAATTGTATTTATGTAGTGCATGATTTGGTGCAACCAAAGTGTTGCCAAAAACACTTTACACGTGAAAGGCAAATATGCCGTTTTCTCAGCCTCTCCTCCTCTTTCAACTTCTGTGGAAGCCAAACTGATATGGTGGCAGGGGTGTGTTCTTTCTTACAGGGATGAGACAGCTGCACATATTGCACATTTTTGATAACTTTCTATTTTCTTGCACTAAGCTGCTCCAAAAGCATAGAAATTGCGGAAATTGTGCCAATTTGCTCCGAAACAGCCTCAAAAGCAAGAATTTTGATGCCAACATGAGTTTCAGAAGGGAAAAAAAGCTGAGTTGACTACATGATTTTCCGAGCTGTGCCAGGAATACCAAGAAAATGAGACACTCCCAAGCGTGCTCTTTACTTGGCACCTTTCTGGTGACAAAGGCTCCCATGGTGGGGCTATAATTTTTTCTGGACTTGTAAATGTGTGTCATCCCGCAAAAATGTGCTGCCGTGCATCGAGCATGCTGCTTCTGCTAGCTAGTGTGTGTGTTTTGGTGCCAATATCACTTAAAAATCACTGGGTTAGCCACTTTAACCGAATGGCATGCGTAGCGAAGTTGACTCTTAGGTTATTGATTGTGTGTAGCGTGTTCTTTCGATTGCTGCATTTTTCATGTCAACACTGGTGTACATGTACATGAGCGAGTACCTTGTTGCGTAAACGTGGAGTCAATCCCCTTGCACGAGTCTCTTAGTTACTCTGGTGCGTGGGCTCTGAAAGTGGATTTCGTGAGCGACGGAACGCATGCAACCCGCTCCAGGTTTACCTCTATTGGCAATTAATTTAGTCAGATAAGCTAGTTCTCATTGCATATAGCAATTAAAAAAGCTATTGCATGTCAAATCTGCACATTGGTGTCCGCAGTTAGCGAGAGACCCACTTGATAGCAGCACTAAAATTTCGTCTATAGTGCATGCTATGAAACTAGCACGATTTGTGAACCTATGGTGCACAGAACATGTGTTCAAACCAGTTTAAATGGGCACCTCATGCTTTATTTGTGATTCACGACACATCGGCAATTACGTGGCACAGTTATCATAAACGGTGATTTGCAATGCTGCTCCGTTTTATTTCAGGCAATGCGCTCCATTGCCTGAAATTTTCGCTCCGTCATTGGCGTATTGCCGAGTTCTTTTTGAACAGCAGTGTTGTTGATCCGCCGCCTCTTTCTCTTTGTACGTCAGCAAATGTGTTCGCAGTTGACGACGTGATCGCACTTTCAGAGGCCGATGAAAGAGAGGATGTGGAAGTCCCTGTCGATAAGCGCGAGACACCAGGCCCACTTGCCACGTCCAATTTTTGCACTGGTGAAGCAGGAGTCCCGTGTCTAAGCGCGTCGATGCAACCACACTATTGCGTAGATCAAGAAGCTGCTCCACATGTACTGTCGGAGCGATCACTGTCAGTGCACGTGCGAGCAGAGAGCCTCGCCATGCGGACATCCTTCATAGATCGCATCTTTGAACAGAAAGCTTGTTGCGTCTTCCTTTTCGTTGGACGCAAAGACAGTTGAAAATAGTCTCGTGAAGACGTTTGAAAATCGTTTTGTGAAAACAGTTGAAACGCGAAGAGTATGCGAACAGCTGCAACGATAGACGATAGCGAGTGGAACACTAAGAAAATGCCAGGGACAGAAGAGCAGCAGACGACGGAGAGCTGCATTATGTGCACGAGTACTAGGTCATCGCACGCAGCAGCCAATCGCAGTTGCAAGGTTCCTCCCTTCCTTGAGCGCACGTATCGCCCAATCTTGGCGGGGCATCTCTGCCGCGGGAATCTTCAAAGCTATCGCGAGCCCTCCAATCATGAGCTGCCGCTGTCGCTGCGGGGGGTGGGAAAAGAAAGTGAAGAATTCACGAACAAAACAACACCAAAATAGTGGAGCTCCGTCAAGCAGTCGAGAAACTGCGATCGCGTCAAGATGGGCTATTTTGAGCACTCCCATGTCGCTCGAGAGCGGCGACTTGTTGTAAACTTTATTTCAAACAGTTTCGCGATGAGTTAAACGTTGATGGTATTTACAGTAAAGGGAGTTTACGACACGTACTGCCCGAATATGTGGTTTCTCAAAAAGTAAATTTTTTTCGATTTTTCTGTTTTCAAAGGCTGCATCTCCCCTTAAGGGAAGATGCAAATCAAAAAACACGTTTAAAAAAAGCAAACATATTTGTTTTTGTTGGTTTTAACAAGTAGTTTTTTTGCCTTCAGTATAAAAAAGAACTGAAGATTCTAACTCGGCTTCCAGTAGGTTCAAATCGCTTTTAAAGAGCAGAAGATGGCCACTAAAAGAGTGCATTGTCTAGAGACCCTGGCGAATCGTCACATGGCTGCTTGCCATTGCATTTCGCATGAGGAGCTCACTAAAGCTGCATGCTCAAAGCAACAATGATTGCCAAGCTCTCATGATGCAAGAAATCATTTTTACAAAAGATTTACCTTTGCCACATAGATGAGCTTTGACTTTTACCTTTAAAATTTGGTTAACCTCCCTGCCTTTCCTCTCTATATCTTTCTCTCTCTCTCTCTTACCTTTAAAGTGCATTTTTCTCAAGAGCAGTTTTTTGGGCAATTTCTCGAGTTTAGACATGCTTTTGGCACTTCTGATAGCCAGATCAGAATGAAATTTTGCCCACATATTCCTTAACATGTGAATGGTGTATCTACTTCAAAACTTTATATTGCTTGTATAATTACGACGAACCTAAAGCAAACAATTAGTATGGGCTGAGGATTCTGAGAATTTTTACATTAAAATTTCATTGCGATAGCACTTATATGGACATTCTCGGCTGGATTTTTCTGCCGACGTCGGCGTCACTCACTGTGTATGTATACGTATCTATATACATTGTGGCTATGTTTCGTTGCAGGATTTTGATGCTTGGTTCAACACCAACAATTGCCTGGGTGACAATCACCTCGTGGAGCGACTGCATGCCGTGCTGCGCCCATTCCTGCTGCGTCGGCTCAAGTCTGAGGTGGAGAAGAAGCTGCCTCCCAAGAAGGAAGTGAAAATTTATGTTGGCCTGTCGAAGATGCAGCGCGAATGGTACACCAAGTGCTTGTTGAAAGACATTGATGTTGTTAACGGAGCTGGAAAAGTTGACAAGATGCGACTGCTCAACATCCTCATGCAGCTACGCAAGTGCTGCAACCATCCATACCTTTTCGACGGGGCAGAACCTGGTGGGTTCTTCAATGCTTTCGCATGCCACCATCCTGGCAAGATGACATGCTTGTAGCCTCTCCTGCACTATGTATACACAGTCGAACCCCTTCATTAGAGACACCGGGGTAACAGACCACTGAGTATAAGTAACACCAGTGTGCCTGCTTCGAAATGGGGGTTGATAGGAAGGTGCATATGTGGTATTCTGCTTTGAAGAAACACCGCATATAAAAGTAGAGAATGTTTCCCTTGCATGTCTCTTATAAAGGGCTTCAACTGTATAATTCTGCCAAGGAAAGAGGGCTTAGAAAAGATGATCTATAGTGCAATTGGTATTGCCATAAAAGCCTTAAATTTTACTGGCAGTGATTACTGGATTGTTCGATTGCTTTGATTAGTCCAACGAATATTGCACTATTTGAGTCCGCATCAAAATTTATACCAATTTTTGAAGTATTCGAAAGGAACAAAGTACAAGCGACATGTAACGGCTGTAAAGGTGGTTTCACTGCAGTGGATGGGCGTTATGCTGTGCAAGCATATCCAGGGGAAATCTGCACTGCCGCGAAATCCCACTTTAAGGTTGAGTGAACATATCCTATCACCCCCACAGTGATCCATCATTTTCAACGTTTAAAAACGTGTTAAACCGACTTATATGGTTTAACTATAGTAAATTTTAAAATGTATCATGTTTAACAGGTGATTATTTTCATTTTACTAAAAGTTAAATCTTTCTGCTATTCACAGTTGCCTCCTCTTCTTTTTGGTGAAAAATAATGACATTTGCACATGCCTTGTTTAAATTAAAAAAAAAAGATATTGTGCTGGTTGGTTAAGGTTCCGACAAATATGCTAGTTTTCTTAAATACAATATGTGATGTATACTTTTCGAATTCGATTAAAAATTATTTCACCCAAATCACAATTTGCTTTAGATTCACTTCGAACCAAATATTTACTATTTGCACAAGCCTAATGATGTATCATCGAGCGGACATAGAATTTGAAGAATTGTTTATATTTAGCTGCATACCTCAATTCTCTGGCTAGGCTAGAAACTTCGAAGCTTTTGCTTGTAAACAGCTAAGCAGTTCACAAATAATAACTATGGTAGCTCAGGGGAATTCACATTACCTCTGATGAACACTCCATCATTCATTTAAAAGAATATTGTATCAATACTAAATGAAATAAATTTAGGACAGCAATTTATGTCTTCTGTCAAGAGATTTAAGAGAATGAAAAAATTGTTTAGTCAAATCAAAGGGTTTTGTGTGGCACTAAGCACTCCCAGTTATCAATGAGTGCTATAATTGTCGAGCTTTGTTGCCTTTCACATTTGGTAATTGCAGCAGCTCTAAATGTGCTGGAACTACTGCCGAGTTAGAGCAAGGCGATTGACTCGTTCCTTCCAGCATTGGCAGATAATTTTATCAGACTTGCACATATTTAAAAAAATAAGTGGGGATGTGCAAATATCAAATTTTTTAATGTGAATTGAATACGAATACATAGCTTCAAATACAGGTTGATTATAGAATAATCAAGAGGTGCAATTTTTTTCACCAGTGGTCTTTTACTTTACCATGCAGGTATGTTAAAAACAGTACATTTATTATCTATGTCTCTTATTACATAAAAATGCCGAAATTCAGAATTGCCAGGAACTGCAGGAGTGTTAAGCGTTCAATTTTTATGTTCAAAAACTTTCTAACCCTTTTTTTTTATGTAGTGGCACTTTATTACAAAAGAAAAGGTTCTGTATGCCAGCCATGATGACTAGTGACACGAGGCTGCTGGTTTCATTTTCGCCATGGCAGTCGCATTCCGATGAGGTAAATTGTAACTGTTAAAGGGACACTAAAGAGAAACAATGACTTAATTTAGATTGATAAACTGCACTCTGAGAAGTCTAATAGTTGCGTTTCACTGTCACAAGTTCATTACAGTCGAGCCCACATATAACGGCCCCACTTAAAACGAACAATATCCGCGTTACCGTGAAAATATACATTGGTTCAATGGCACAAAATCGCACTTACAACGAACTTCTCTGAGCGCCGCTGATCGGTTACAGCGAACGGAGTCAGCGGTCTGCCGACTTCCCAGGAAACCAATTTCTACCATCGATCAGGCATCGGCGAGGTGCCCATACATTCTTATTGTTAAATGCCGACCCTGCCTCCGCGCCCCTCTAGTTGCCGCTCATCCCGACTGCTTTTTGTTACGCACTCCTCCGTCCTTCGTCCCCCTGCTACTCTGAGCACCCCGCATCGCCAGACGAGGCCCGTGTTTTCACACTTCCACTGATCTTTCACAGACCGGTCGGCCATCTACCCTGTTTTTGATCGCTGGTACTGACGTTGGCGTCGCCAGCCTGGAGTGACCAGACCAGTTGCCAACATAGTCGGCCACCGACTGTATCCGATAGTTTGCGTCTAGTGCATGCGCGTACGCTACTCCACCGACTCTGATAATTTGTGATTCGTTTCGTGTTTAGGACTTGTTCTCGCTCACTTCGCACTCTGTTCAGCATGCCTTCCACGAAAATGGTTGTTAATTTGCGCGGAACGAATCGCGAAATATAGAAGTTCGTGAGGCTACGCAAATCCGCCGGCACAACGAAACGATTTTTTGACCACGTCCGCCGATTCTTCGAACACTGCCGTGCGCACCGATTCAGGTGGCCATGCACTCTTTCCCAGTTTTTTTACGTGTGAGTTTCGCGGACCTTTCAAGGAAGCTATTCAACCTGCCTACTTCCCGTGTGTTTTGATTTTCAAGGTCGCCCTCCCGCCGCATCCTCCTCTCTTTATCGCAACTCCTTGCCCTTCTCTCGCAAGTCTGCTCACCTCTCTTGATCACAACCCCTGTGCCCCTGTCCACCGCTCTGCGACGCCCGCCACGCTGGCTCGAATCAGTTTCGTTTTCTGACTGGAAACGGGCCCAGAGCTGTTCCACGCCCTCTGGCATGTGTGCGCGTCTTGCTCGCTCTTGGTGTGCGTGTGTGGTCATGATGGCCGACGGGAGGGCTAGCATGCTTTTTCCCGCTCAACAAAACGTCGAAAGTGTGACCGCTTGGCTTGAGCGTAATCAGCGCGTTAGGTGCCGCGTTGCGGAGCACTTGCCGTAGCTTTTGACCACCTGGCAGCCAACTTGCCGCTTCGGGAATCTCTGTATTCAGTTGTGAAGATGGTGAATATTTCGTGGGCGGCGGTGACGACGACATGCGCGCGAAACTGTTTTCGTGAGGCTGACTTCGTCGACGTCGAACCCGATGCCGAGCCTGAAGCTTCCGAACTGCGGCAGTGATTTGTGGCTGCGCGTCGGCGACTCCGACCTGGGAGAGCGGGTGGGACATCTATTGCGATGGTTTAATTACGGCCAATGATGATGCCGACACTGTGGAACCGTGCACGGATTGGGGCATTGTGAATGAAGTACGTGGCGAGAGCGATTTGGAGGAATCGGATTGCGAGAACGACGAAACTAATACTTAGAAAATCGTTTTGCTCTTTAGCGTTCTTTTAACGTCTCTGTACACAAATCTAAGCAATTGTTAAAGCCCCCCCCCATGGTCATTTTATCACGGTTCTCACACTACCAGCTTTGGAATGTTCAACCCCAGATTTTATCGTTTTCTTTCACCCCTGTTCTCATCGGTTGACACTCTAAGGCAAACACGAGTACTTGGGGCGTCTTTCAACTACACAGCGGTACTCCTTATCTGGCTTGCTTTCGTGGATAACTGTGCACTCATCATTTATCAAGAGTGCTCTGCCCCATGGATGGCCACACCATCGTGATCAAGGAGTACTGGGTGTGCAGGAAAAATGCAAGCAAAGCACGTGAGATAGATGATTACTGTTTACTTGGTGTGCAGGGATAATGCAAGCAAAGCACGTGAGATAGATGATTACTGTTCTGTGACAAAAAGACGCCCCAGATACGCCTTTCACAACTCCCGGCAACGGGGGCAGTACAGTTAAACCTGGATACAACGAAATTGATAAATTCTCGGAAAAATTTGTTATAAAGAGGATTTCGTTATGTGCAGGTTCGGTGCGAAAATTCGGAAAATAAATGCGCAAATTAAACCAATCGAGGACTGAAGGCAGAGCTAACCCAACACACTCATTTTACATTAAAAAACTGCGTTATTATTGCAATAAAATTATATGGACACTCTTGCGGGTTTTTGCCGTCACGGCCATGCTCCGTAACAAGTCCAAATCGATAACATTCCCCCGCACATCATAACTGTCACGAACAGGTAAAAGTGCGTGAACGTTGCTGAAGCAGAGATCAAATGAGTCGGCCAGTCCCTATTGCCTGGAAGTGTATAAGATAACATTTCCCGCGTGTTAGAACTGCCTTTGAATGCTCAAACAGAAATAAAATCACCCGTCTTGAACGAGCATGAAACAACGTGGAAACTATTGGAAATTTGAATGTATTCGAAATGAATGAATAGGTGTACTATATTGTTCTGCATGTAACTTCCCCTGTAAAGGTAGTTTGACTGCAGTAGAGGGGTGTTACACTGTGAATTCACCTTTTCAGAAAAAATACGCACGACCGCGAGGCCTCACTTCAAGGCTAAATGAACATATTATCCTCGCATCAATACTTCCTTTTTAAGTTGAAAGCTTCTTATGATGGCTTATATGCTCCTATTATAGCAAATTTTTAAATGCTACATATTTTACAGATTATCACTTGCATTGCACCAAAAGTCAGATCCGGCTGTTATTCAAAGTTATTTTAATGTCCTTTGAACCAAAAACTATAGCATTTCCACATGCCTTCTTTCCACTTGAAAAAAAAAAATAATTGTCTGTATTAGTTGGGTCATGACAAACAGGCTCACTTTTCTTTATAATATCTGATGTCTGTTATTTGTATTTAATTCAAAAATTATTCAAACTAAATCACAATTGGCTATTATTGGCTTTGAATCTAAAATGTACTCTTCGCACAAGCCAGGATTTGACTACTTGAGCGAAGTAAATAGGCATGAATTTGTTTTTTCAGGCTGCAAAATTTTTGGTTGATTTCGTAGTTTTTAGGAGGCCTGAAAAATTTGATGTTGACTGTGTATAAGCTGGCGTGGCTCACTTTTATTATGCTGCTGTTCTTTTGTAGGACCACCATACACGACTGATGAGCACATAGTCTACAACTGTGGAAAAATGGTGATCCTTGACAAGCTACTGCCTAAGCTGAAGGCCCAGGGCTCTCGGGTGCTCATCTTTTCTCAAATGACCCGCATGCTTGACATCCTGGAAGACTACTGCCTATGGCGACGCTATGGGTACTGTCGTCTGGATGGCCAGACACCTCATGAAGAGCGAACAGTAAGACATCCTTTTTCATGCATATAATTTGTTTCAACTTCTTTTTTTATTGCTTACAGTAACGGTGCTATACGATCATTATGAGAAACAAAGAACTGAAAGTTTAGGTGCTGCCCAGGTTTTCTACAGTATTGATCAATTATAATGTAAATCGTGGTTGTCGTGAATTTCCGCATTATAAGTGATATTGCACTGTAACCAAAGCAACCAAGTGTGAATGTTGTGCAAAATGGGTTGAGCATGCAGTCTATTGGGACCAAGAATCAAAGCATGTGATGTGATACTTAGAACCATTTAAATTTCGAGTGTTACAAAAAAAAAAAAATTAACATCTGCGCACCCACGCTGCCAACGACATGAACGTGGAGGGGAGGGGGGGAGTGGGTCCAACAAAACAGAGCACTGTTGCAGAAATTTGCCAACTACTTCTCAGCCTCGATTATGCGCATTACAGAGAAACTACGTTGAATCACATTCAAAATTTCGTGTGCTGAAATACACCAGCTGCTCAATTTCACGAGTGCGCACTCATTTCAAGACATCGCAATCAAAATGAAAACCACCATTCGAGTGCTGCATGCATCACCTAAATTTTTATGAATGATATGTGTCCCTTCTCTTCAAGTGCAGCCACTGCAAAGAGCTTTGTTCATTTCTTACCAAACCGCAACTTAGATTGTACACGATCACTACCGAAATTCAACCAATGCCGATTAGGCATAGCCTGCCGTTAGACATGTTGTTGGGGCAAGTTTATTCATGACAACATGAAGATTGGGCGTTGAAAAGATCGCGCTTAAGAACTGAACCAAGAACAGTGTGCATGTTATAAAGTTTGCGTTCACGTACGGATGATCGATGACAACAGCCCACTAAGCTTTTGTAAGTCCTGTGAACTGGCAGCAAAAGTTCGCGTCATAAAGCCATGAAACCTAAATTTACGGATGAGGTAGCAAATACATTACCTGTAATAAGCTCGATAAGGACGATGCTTTTCCAGACAGGAATCTCTAAATGCAGTTGATAAGGATGAGATTACATGTGCCATGTTGAGCTGTGCGCAGCCGGCATGCGTTTGAGGCCATACTAGTACACTGCAGCCATGCTGGCACTGGTGCAAAGGACTATAGGCAATCGCTCTCCTCCCTCACTTGGCCAGCCTGTGCAGCGTGCCGCAGAGTGAGAAAGGGGCGCATTTTTCTTCTCTTGCTCGTTCATTCCGCGTCCCCTTTTCCTCTGTAATGGCCACCCAGCTCACCTCTTTTTAGAAGTGCACTCGCTATCGTGTTTGTCACGAAGATTTACTGGCAACCGCATTAACCGGTCCTTCATCCTGGGGCACTGCACAATTAGCGGTATGCATGTACAGACATGTCTACTGTTAAAGGGAACACCTGAGTGCACAGCATGTGTAGATTTAGCTATCTTACGGAACCATAAGAGCTACGTTATGCATAAAGGCTACTGGTGGATCAAAGTTCTGACTCTTCTTGGCAGACTGGTGATGTGTATGCATAATGTCATGCTTTGACATGCAAATAACACAAACACAAAGTAAAGGAACACACAGCGACAAGCACAAGCGGCACTTTTAACTGAAGTACAGTAGACTCTCAGCAAACGGAACCAGAAGGGAACGAGAAAGTATGCTTCATTTAACAAGAGTTCTATTTACCGAGAGATGACCAGGAGTGCAGAATACAATCATGAAACCAATTTGGCCAGAGGCAGTTGTTCTGTTTAAGCAGCAGTTCCGTTTAACGGATTTTCGTTTACTGAGAGTCTACTGTAGACTGGGCGCAAACCCAGACCTAAGTAACAATATACAGGCTTGCATAGTCTTCACACAGTCTTTTGCTATGTCTGCATGTTGTTACTTAAGTCTGGGTTTGCACCCGGTCTACTTTAGGTGGGAGTGCCGCTTTTGCTTGTCGTTGTGTGTTCCTTTACTTTGTGTTTGTGTTATTTGCGAGCAAAGCATGTCATTAAGCAAGTACCAACTAGGCCACCAATCAGTATCGTTACAAGACGTGCATGCAGATTGTTTTCATAACCACTTGATGTTAGAGGACCAGCAATATCGATGGTGTGCATTCGCGTGTTTCCTTTAACAGTGGACGGTACTGTACATGGGGCTCTATGAAAGGGTAAATGGGAGTCTTGAAAAAGACCACATTGTAACTGGTCCTGCATGCAGTTACGTTATAAGTGGTCTGCACGGTACGAAGGTGTTCATGTGTCACTGTAAATAATCGGACATAAGTCACTGGCTGTCTATTTGCTACTGCAGAGGTATCCTGAGGTTCTGTCACAGCAAACATTGTTCTTGATTTGTCTGCTTTTCAACCTTTCAAGCAACATTATAGATGTCAAGGTAATTAGCTGTCGGCACTTGAACATTAGGTTGAGATCTGTGAGCACATGAACATGGCTTTGTGAGCACATGAACATGAAGAGTGCTCAAAATCTTTATGGAGTCTGTTTTCTTACATGTCTTTCAATTTTTGTGTTGCATGCTGTATGTTCTCAACTTCTAATGAGAAGACACACTTCTTTACTTTTTTTCATTACCTGTTGTCGTCCATGTCACTTTGTTTACAATTTTTCATCGACCTCAGTAGTAGTATTTCATGAGCTTTTTATTACGTCCTTTTCTTGACAGTTGTCCATCAATGAATTCAACAAGCCCAACAGCGACAAGTTCTTGTTTATGCTCTCGACTCGTGCGGGTGGCTTGGGCATCAACCTTGCAACTGCAGATGTCGTTATTCTGTTTGACTCGGACTGGAACCCTCAGGTTGATCTGCAAGCTATGGACAGGGCCCATCGTATTGGGCAGACAAAAGCTGTGCGTGTGTTCCGTATGATCACTGAGAACACTGTTGAGGAACGCATCGTCGAGAGAGCTGAGGTGAAGCTGCGACTTGACACAGTGGTCATCCAGCAAGGTACGCTTGTGTTGCTTATTCCATACCATGTAAACTGTTGATGTTTGCAGTAACGAGACACTCACTTGCATATTCTTTAGGGGGACAGAGTGAAAACACTACAAAATTGCAAATTTCACGAGTAAAATAATGCCCTGCTCTGCTGTGTAAGACACGAAATATTGCTGCTGGAAATACTGAGAAACAGAGAGACAGTGGTTTCAATAGCAGCACAATCAAAGCTCGTTAGGACGTACCCAATTTAAGGGGGAAGTGGATTTTTAAAAGTCATCAAGATTTTCTTTTACGAGATTCAATGAAACTGCACAGACTTCTTTAGTTTTCTTCACTAATTCCAAATATGCAGTTATTTTTGAGATAGGTCAATTAGTTCTGAAGTTAAAAAAAACTAATTAGCCTTCTTTTTGAGAACAATGGAGCAATAACTATTCATTGAAACGTTGCTTTTTAGATACTAGGGAACGTAAGCTTCAGAATATTTGTTTGATGTGACAACTATTAACAATTGTACAGCATATAAGGGGGGACACTGTACTTGAGACGAAATGCCAGATATTTTCATGTGTTTACAAAGAAAATTCACAGTGTGATTCAGTTTTTGATGCTGATTTCAAAAATGTAATTACCGTATTTACTCGCATAATCCTCGCACTTGCATAATTTTCGCACCTCCCACATCGCCCAAGAAAAATACGATTTCTTTTTTTCCTCGAGTAATTATTGCACCCCTGAAAACTGCCGCAATAATGTCGTCTGCTCGTTGCAGCCACTGATGATGAAAGCGCGTGCCATCTGGCGCCATCTCTTAAGCATCAAGCGCACTATTGCACGCAAATTTAATCCAATCCAAGTTAATCTGAAGTGGCCAGTGCGCGTTGTGGCGTGTTTTGTATGCTGTGTTGGTAATCTTGGCACGTTATGGGGTGATACTGAAGCTACACGGCTGCTTCAAGTTGCAAGTGATAGATCATGCACTAAACGACGGCAACAGGGCTGCTGGTAAGCCCTTCGGAGTCTACGAGTTTTGTGTTCGCTACTGGTGACGGCAGCTGAAAGCCACCAAGACGCGTTGGGCCTGCCGTGGGCCTAAAACTGGGATTGATGGTAAAAAATGGGATTGATGGTAAACTTTGTTTCTTCAGAAGGAAACTCCGGACGATTCTGTTAAATAGCCATCAGCCCAATACTGACGTCCTACGCTTACCTTTTGAGGGCTCCTGTTGAGCGACGAACGCTACCGTTATGCCCGCAATGCCCAAAAGCTTTGCGTATGGTATTCTGATTCTCGACTATTTGCTTGCACCTTTTGTGTCTCAAATAAATCTTGCCTTGTGTTGAACCTCTGCTTTTATTGTTGAGGTAAGTTCTAATTAGTACTTCTTAAATCTTGCTGTAAGTTGCTGGTGTGAGAATCCTGATTTGCGGCCACTTCGTTTTCTTTTTCGCTCTGTACGTTTTCGTGGAAAGTTTTCCCCGCGTGATTCTCGCACCCCCCAACTTTGCATCAGTTTTCCGGCAAAAAAAGTGCGAGGATTATGCGAGTAAATACGTACTGTTCCTCTAAACAAATTAGTTTTTGAGGTATCCTTAAATAAATTACCTATTGTTAGCCGGTATAATGACACAAGAAATTTGTATTGCAGAGCTACTATTGGCACATGTCTGTGTACTAATGAACGTAAGCTACACAATGGTAGGAGTGCTTTTTTTTTATTTGATAATTCTAGCAAGGTTTGTTGCAACTTGCATTTCAGTGTTGCAGACAAACCAACTTTATGCTCCGATTTCCGGCAAAATTGAAATTGTTTTTATATCTCAATCAAAAATTCACACCTACCATTGTGTAAACTAAAGATACAGCTACATGTCACAGTAAAAAATGACAGTCCTAGCTGCTCTGGAGGTAGAGATATCTTTTAGACAAGTTTGCAACTGCAGCAAAATTTGAATCCTGAGAAATCATGCAAAAACACAAGTCCATTTTGGGCAGACAGTAGCATGGAAAAGCTGTGTATTTACAGTGATTTGCAAATTCAGCTTTCTCAGTAGGCACCCGGCATGTAGTCCTTCTGTTTTGCGTCACCTAAATGGCGTTTTTTCAATGCCCGCTGCATGTTTTCCCGCAAAGGCACACTTGCGAGCTGATGCGGTCGCCGTGTGCTCGTCTGCCGACTAGGCCGCTGATCAGTTTGGTGATGTCTATGTGCATGCGTAATCCGCGATCTGTCGTATAATAAAACGATTTTCCGGCTTGTCCAGATTGAGTTGTTGATGTCGCAGACCGCACTCGTGCACTCGCTCATCAATTTTAAGGCTCTAAGAGCAGCGAGGTGTTAGTTTCCTTTTCACGTAAGATTGCCACATTTTCGAGTGGAGGTTGCAGCGCAAGTTGTTCGTCTATTTGTGCTTAGATTCATCTCACATGGGTGTTATAAATTGATTTTGTGCCAGAATTAATGACGCGAGAAGCTTGAAACTTTTCAGATAAGTGCAAGAATAGTTGCAGATTCCGAAAATGTCAACTTCAAAAAGTCATTTTTTTCGCAATTTTCAGCCTTTTAAGACCCGTGTCCCCCCTATTAAAAACTTTTCTTCAAAATATGGCTATTTGGTTGTTTAATAAATCAACAATAAAAAACATTTGTGCATGATCCCACAAAAACAAAAAGCGCATGATCACACAAAAACAAAAAGCGCATGATCAAAACCACCACGTCAAATGGCGGTGCACTAACGTTGCGAGCGCACGACACGCCATCAGTGTGGTTGCGCTTTGCGTGGCCTCCAAGATGATGGGCGCGTGGCGTGTCTCTACGCCATGCATTGGCATTCTCGGAGGCCATGAGCTTTGTTTTGTTTTTTTCTTTGTTTTCTTGCCGCTCTGCTTGCGGGGCGCTTTAAGCGAAGAAGTTTCTCCTGTATTCGACAGATGGCGCTCTGCCGCAAAAATACGCGACATCTGAGCTTGCGCTGCTCGCAACTGTTTAACCTGGTTGGTAAACTATGTTTTGCAGAGGTGCAACAGCTGCACCAATTGTGTTAATTTGATACAAATCCCCATTTCTGCTCCGAGCTGCGTCAAAACCATGAAACTTGGTGAAATTACGCCAAATGCCAATATGCCCGACTAGCCTCAAAATTTTCTCAGTTGCGCTAGCTTCAGCAAGAAATAGAGGCTACGTTGGTCACCGGCAGTGTGCGTCATCAATCAATCCAAGTGCGCAGACCCTAACCCTAAACCGGTTTAAATCCCAACTGCGGCGGCTGCATTTCCGATGGAGGCGGAAACGGTGTAGGCCCGTGTGCTCAGATTTGGGTGCACGTTAAAGAACCCCAGGTGGTCGAAATTTCCATAGTCCTCCACTACGGCGTCTCTCATAATCATATGGTGGTTTTGGGACGTTAAACCCCACATATCAATCAATCAATCTAACCCTAAACCGCAGTGTCATACTATACATTCTCAATACCTAGGTCAGAGCACTCACGAGACGTGATCGACGAGCTAAAGTAACGAAGCCGCGCGCCCATCTGTCCGCTGACTGCAGCGGATACCTATCGGCAGGACGGCGCGACTTTTAGACAAACATGCATTACCGTAGCCACCGACGCTTCGCAGGAAACATGTACTTTCTAGTCAGCAAACGTAGTTGTGGCATGTTAGCAGCTAAAGCCAGAAGCGCATACTGCGTTTTTCGTGCATGAACAGAGCCGATGTGCTGTAAACGCCAGCGTTGTGACCACATCGGTTGCCATAGCAGAGGCACATAAAACATTTTTCTGCCTTTAAGTTGCTTTAGTTGCATTGTCCCGGCAATACTAAATATCAAGTATTGGATCAACAGGCGTGGGCCTTTGTTACTTTATCTGGTATAACATGTCTTGCAAAGGATCTGAGAAATTGTGGCCTGAAGCTAACCCCATTGCGAGAAAAAAAAATAGTCACAGTTTTGCCAAAAGGGCGAAGCAATAAATGCGACAGCGACATATTGGAATGTTTTACAAAGCAAGGCCAGCATCCAATCTCAAGTAAGTCTACAAAACGCTGGTGTAAAGGCGCGTTTACTCTAGAGCGACATGACACTGACACGACCCTGACGAATACGCGAGACAGACGCAGACCATCAACTGAGGAGTTGCCCGCCAACGAAGTCACCAGACCCCATGGTCACACTAGGCCGCCGCCGACTACGACGCCTCAAAAGACAGCATGTTGAAGGTTACCGTGAAACCTTGAGCAAATGCCCTTACTAGAGCAATTGCCCCCTTTCCCTTTTTGTAAGATTTGAAATATGTGCCAATGACTTAGCAAGTGCCCCCTTCCACCGGGTTTTTTTCAACCAGTTCTCTGTTACAGAATCTTCCTGCAGCGGTTACTAGACACCTAAGTTCTTAAAGGGGCCCTGCAACGCGTTTTGAGCATGGTCAGAAAACGCTGCCGATTGGTAGTAGAGGCTTCTGAGAACACGCGAGCCAAATATTAATGCGCAGCACGTGGCCTGGAATTCACAATAAATTATCAGAGTCAGCTAAAGATTTCTTTGCCTTTCTCGAGAAACGACGGAAAACACTGAAAAGTCGCTCGTAGAAAGCCCATCTATCAGCCATTGGCTGATTTGAACATGGCACGCTCGATCGTTACAGAGATCGCCGCGGGGGGTCGTGACTTGTCCACGCGTGCGTGCGCGATCACACGGAAAAAGGCGTGTGACGTATTTCCTTGTCCCCGCCATCCCTCCCTGCTTATCCTCCAGCACTTTCGCCGGGATGATAGAAGAGAGAACGCGATTGCAGCGTGCGACAATTCTTTGTGACTCCGCTCGTACTGGACGGATTCTTAAATTGTTTGCAGTGTTGAATTTGTTCTTTAAATGAATCAATTTTATGGTTACTTGAAAAAGTGCTTCAGGGCCCCTTTAATGTCTCTAGATATGTGCATTTTTTTATTTTACAGTCTTGTGTCTCATGGTTACATTGTGAGCTGCCGGAACTTGTCGAAACATCTGAAAATCTTTCACCTGGTCATACTAGCTGAAATTTCGCTCAAAGATTCCCTCTGGTTCAGCAAAACAGTAAATACATTCGTATTCAATAAAGCATTTCGCGAAAAGCATAGGTGTGTATTTTTTAGAGGCTTTTGCGCCATTTAAATTTTGGTTTGTGACCGTGCAAGTGCCCCTTTTCAAAATCTTGCCCGATTATTTTTCACCATTGTAGGAGGGGGGGGGGGGGGCATTTGTGCGGGATTTCATTGCCTTTTCAAGATTGAATTGGCAAACTCTTGGTCCCATATAAGTGTATGCAGCGTAACTCTTGGTCCTACATAAGTGTATATAAGTGTATGCTACATTGTCATAATGTATTTTTGTTGCACTGTACACAATTCCAATTCATTGTGACATGCTGACTTACTTTGTAACTAACTCAGTTTAGAAAAAATGTTGCTCCCCAAAAGACATATGAAATATTTCGTATTTTATAACTACTTATTATATTGAAAATGCAATTGCATATTTGAAATCAGCACACAGATATACATAAGCTCACCAAGTTCTTTAAAAAAAAAACTGAAAAAATAAGAAACCTTTTAAGAGCAGTGTCTCCCCTTAACTTCTAATATGATTGATTTTGTACTCAAAGTCTGCAACCCTGTTGATCTCTCACCAAACGTACTTCCTGTTAAATGGAACATATTTTTCTGGTCCCTTCAACGTCTGTTTAACCAGAGTCTGCTCTATCATTATGAAATTTCTTTGTGTTGAGCTTTTGAAGCTGACTTTGTAGCATCATTCCCGTCAGTTTAATGTACGTGCTGTGATTTGATTTGAAGCTCATGCGGGAGAAATTACATGCAGGCAGGCTTGTGGACGCCCAGGCCAAGATTGGCAAGGAGGAGATGCTGGGCATGATTCGACATGGGGCAGACCACATCTTTGCTTCTAAGGAGAGTGAAATCACGGATGAGGACATTGATGCCATCCTGGAGAAGGGCGAGCGCAAGACCGAGGAGCTTAAGACCAAGCTGGAATCGCTCGGCGAGGGTTCCTTGCGAAACTTTACTCTTGACACCCCGCAGGAATCTGTCTACAAGTTCGAAGGAGAAGACTACAGAGAGAAGCAGAAGGTGAGGTGGAGCAGGCAGGGTGGCATACTTACCAAGTCTCCCGGATTGGCCGGGAGACTCCCGGATTTTGACTGTTTCTTTTCTTTGTACGGTTCTCATGAAAATTTCCCGGAAATGGAAATCTTTGTGCGTGATCTGGTCGCATTGACGAAAATGCAGATGAGCCCGCTCCGGGCTTTTTGTGAACCCACCGCATGCTATTATAAACGTATTTAAGAGGCATTTATCTAAAGGAACAGTGGAATCTCAATAATGTGAAACCGCGGCAGATACGAATTCGAGAAATTCCCCTGCCAAATTCCTCTATGTCCGTTGGGCCTAAATTTGAATGTTCCGAACACATTTCTTAATCGTGGCGGGTGATGTGAACTTACGTACGGAAACCATCGAACGAAGGCCGAGAGCAGCGTACTAGAAGCTTCAGAAGTATGTGTGCGAAACGGGTCACACACCGTCTTCTACAGTGCATGTGATTGTCATTGCCACAACCGCTGTGGACGAAACCGCGGTCGCTCTTGACACGATAATGTCTGGCGACGACGTTACTGACAGAAACCCAAAATTGGGTGCTCAACCAGTAAAAGCGACGCTGCTTTCCGCAAACTCTGCGTACAAAACTGTGGCTGATGCAATTGTAGATGGCAAGGCGCGATCATAAAAATAACTACTGTTTGCCGCAACCGCCACGCACAAAACCAGGTCGTGGTGACGCGATAGCGATGTACAAGCTCCGAGGGCACACAGTGATAGATTAAAAAGGCAGTAAATACATAAAAACAAAAGTCACAGTTTTGCTGTAAGAGCGAAGCAATGAATACGCCAGCAACAACTTGGAATGTCACGCTGAGAACGGCAAGCGGATGGAAACGTGCAGCAAACGGAGCCTGTGCAGAGGCCGAAGTGACCTTTGTCGGCCCGGCAACCAACGCAGACGTTCTAGTGAAAGCTGAAGGCACACGATTCTCCCCACCAAAAGATAAGCGCACGCGCACAAGCACCTAACCATCCCTCCCTCCTCCCCATCCATAGGGCAAAGTGACAGATAGGCGCGCGTTGGCGCATCAGTCCGCGTCGGCGCCTCAGTCCGGCCAGCACCAGTCCGGTTTCATGAGCTGTGGCGCTGCGAGCAGTGGCGATGGCGACAACAGCGTGGTCCAATGGCAGTCTTGGCACATAAAAATTCACCATTTTATTGAAAAATTACGACCACCTCGAGGCTTTCGACTGACCAAGAACTTCTAATTAACCAGCATTATGGGCTTTGAACTTGGAATTACCGAGCATTTTTTTCTATAGGTCTGTATGCAAAACTGATGGGACCACTTGTCGACTTCTAGCTAACCGAAAGTTCTAATTAAGTGACCTTGAATTATCGGTAGTCAACTGTGCACGTAAATTCTCATTGCCGCTTTCAATAAACTTGCTGCAGTGCTTAAGTATTTGCTTTTTTTTTTCTCCTTGCAGAGTGGGGGGCTAAATTGGATCGAACCACCCAAACGGGAGCGTAAGGCCAACTATGCGGTCGACGCGTACTTCAGGGAGGCCCTGCGTGTGAGCGAACCAAAAGCCCCCAAGGTGAGTTGGTACTGATTGAAGGCTTCAATAATGTACAAGCAAACTCTCACAAGGACTGCACAGAAATAAATAGGACAGCTGTTAGCAGTGTTCCTGAGTTGTTCTGCATAATTATTGTGTGTTTTTCTAGTGTTATGGAAGCCACGAAAGCAATATTGCATTGTCTCGTGCTACTCGTCCCAGTTCTAATTGTATCGTCTCCTTCCTTTTTACCACACAGGCACCCAGACCACCAAAACAGCCGAACATCCAGGATTTCCAGTTCTTTCCTCCAAGGCTGTTTGAGCTGCTTGACAAGGAAATTTACTATTATCGCAAAACCATTGGCTACAAGGTGCGGGTGAAAAACTGTTTATCTAGTAATGTGGCATTCACCACTTTGGGTATGGTGTACTGTAATGAGGCAGTGTGTCGTCTGGCGGCGAAAGCATGGCTCTCTTTGCAATGGCGGCCAGCGCTGCCAGAGCACACTGTACTACTGTTGCGTCACCTGTCGGCTTTCCCCGAAGTAACTTGTGAGAACCGGAGATACAAAGCCTTTGAGATTGGTAGCTGTAGTTGCTGCGTTGGTCGTAAAAAGAAGTACAGAAGTATTCATCATCGAGTTTTTTTTTTTTTTTTTAATTCTCGACTACTTACCGTAAAAACCGTTATATACCTAGGTCAGACTGGAACATAGGTCGGCCCCCCAAGCATTGAATCCGAAAAAGAAATTTAAAAAAATCGCGAAGTGTCACGGCACACCTTTACCTTGGCAAATATGCAACACAACCAGCTGCACTGTGGTGACATTTTTCGACACTTATTTTATGTAGGTCAACGCCGGAAAGCCACAGAGGGCTGTCACTCAGACTCGTCCGAACTTAAGTCCGACGACGTCTGTTTTTTACTAGTTACGCTCCAGAGTCCATTGTCCTCTGTTCCATTCAATATGTTACTGATGCATCTTTTGCGGAAAGATGGAAGTACGCCGCCTCGGCACAAAGCCCTTCCGCTTCCCTTGAATTGCACCCTTGTGAGCTGACAGTCGCGTGCTATCTCGAGAGCTTTCAAGCGTATGCACACTGCTGTTATAGGTAGTGACCTTGCGTGCAGCTCCTGGACAAATTCGGTAAGTAGCGTTTTAAGTTCGGGGTGCACTGGAGTCCGTCCAACGAAACCTTTTTTTTTTTTTTGGTTGCTGCAGAATGTGATGCACTTCTTTTGGCTCCTCCAGTATCGGATGCTTTTCTCCACTGCACCGAATTCTCGTTGCGCCGCCAGGTTGCCGCGCTTCGGCATACTCGATAACTTCTTTCTTGAAACACTATCGTAACCTGACGTTGACTACCACTCATTTCCGAAGGAAATGGAAAAAAGAAAACTGCAGACTGACAGCAGATAACCGAGGCTAAATGGCGCTGCTAGATCACTGTAGGCCTTGGCTAGCCTTGCCCAATGGCTCTGCTGCTGATGCTCACAATGGCAATGGAGGCTTTTGACTTCAGCTGCCCATCGTTGCGAGACTTACACTTTTTTTCTGCCAATGGACGGTATATAAGACGAGGGTCGAGATTTCATTGTGTTTCTTTTTTTTTCTGAAAACAAATTTAACCTATATTTAGGTTTGATGGTACTCTTCTAGCTAATTTTGGTGAGGGGTGGTTGTGGAATTCACCTGATGATGTTCACATTATCCTTCGGAACTCCTAATTCGTTTCATCGCTAAAAACTCAGATTAGTCTGACAGCTAGGCATGGTACATCTGCATGGAATGAACAGCGGAATGCTTTTTTATTCATTCTGCAGTTAAAACAGTAAGCAAGCAGACTGTGTGGGTCCCTGTTCTTTAATAGAAATTGTGCAAGCTCATACGACGCAGGAGCAGCTTGGTTTATGTTATTAATGCATAGAACTTTGTTGGATGTGTTTTAATCTTGCAGATACTCTCAGTTTCAATCGTGTGATGTGACTTTTTTACTCAAAAACTGCAAAAAGATTAGCAGTACGATTGAAATTATGGGCGCTGGGCACACGGTTCGACGGTGGTGCCCTACTGGTGGTGTCATCGCAAAAGCGACCACCACTCTTTTATTGGTTTCCTGCAAAGACGGTGCACTGCCCCATTCTAGTACATAATACTTTGGGGGAGCCGTCATACAGTAGAAGTAAACTGTGCTCGGTATTGTTAGCGACAAGCTGCAGAAGCAGTTGCAGAGTCTTGCTCATTCTTCTTTTTTACATTTGAGGGTGTTAATGCACTTGCATTAAGGTTTTTCAACAGTGACCAAAGCAAATGGCTGCATTACATAAAACAACAGGCGTTTTTGCTCATACAGTAAAATCTCGATGATACGAATTCGGAAAGGGCACGCAAAACATTCGTATCATCCCGTATTGGTATGAACCAAAAACCAGTTAAGACTGATGAAGATGAACAGGAACTTTATTACACTCAACTACTACTTGCTTAATAAAAGTCTTGTGATCTTCTTTTGAACTTTCCTGCTTTCACAGCCCCTCAATAATGTGCCGTAGTTTCCTCACTCATGCTGCTAGTGCTTAAATGGCGTTCGCACTTGGCATCAAAGGAAGGGAAAGTGGCAAAACTTATTGGAAATTAACACCCTTCGCCGCTTAAGCGGCCGGAAAAACGGGCCGCGAAGTCGACTAAAAAAAAATCAGTCATACTGTAGAATTCAAGTGAAAATGCCAGAGCGGCTGCAAAATCACGTCTGTGCCCGCCGAAAATTGCTCACATTCCTTGTGCCTACTGCTGCCACCTTTGCCGCTTCAGAATTCATTCCATTTTGCCCGTTTCTTGATCATTATAATTCGTACTGAGTTCTAGTTATGCATGAAAAGCACTCAAAAGAAATAGTTTACACTGGTACAAACGTTGTTTCGGGAGATACGCCTGCAGAAATGACACCAGCAGGCGCGCCGGCAGCAGCGGCGACGGATTCAGCCTGTTGTACACGTTAGGGCATGCTGACACTTTGCTGCTGCACCTTCTTGTACGTCTGGCGCTCGCAGCGATCGTAATACAAACCAGGCTCTTGATAAATGCGTCCTTTTCAAGGCCGTGAGCTTTGTTGTACTGTGCGGGTAATTCGCGGTAGCGTCGATGCGAGCCACCGTTGACGCCATTGCTGCCATGTTGCATTTGCGGCTAGTTGTTTACATCACGTGGTTTGAGACCTAGTACAACCGGTGTAGCCCAAACCGTGATGCACGTAGGCGATCTGCTATTGCGTGACAGAAAAATTGGTCTCAGGCGGATTCTTTTGCGTCAGCCTTGTGGCATGGTTTTGTGTGAGCTTTGCTGTGTTCACTTCCTTTGAGGTACGGTGTGAACGGGCCTTCCCGCCGCAGACAAGCCGCGTTGTGCTGTTCGTGTGCAGTGGTCAATCATGCGTTTGTATCATCCCCAGTGGCTGGGGAACCTGTTCATATTACACCGATTCACGGCGTATTTTGTATAATGTAGTCCATTCGAAGGAACCTTAAAGTTCGTACCATCGCAAAATTTGCATCAACTGTAACCGTATCTTTGAGATTCTGAGATTCTTCTGTACCATTTCAGAAACTTTCTGTGTTGACTCAATAAATTTAAGCCTTGTGCTATTCGGTTCTGCATACTGAGGAGGCAGTGCAACTTGTTCAGATTGGGGGACAGTAGCTTTCATGTTGACCTGTAGTCAATAACTACAGTGGTGAAACAGTATAGATGGTGTTTGTCCCATTCATATAAATATACTTGTTATTGCATTCAGGTCCCGAAAAATCCTGATCTAGGATCTGATGCTGGTCGCATTCAGCGGGAAGAACAGGCAAAGATTGACGAGTCAGAGCCCCTGACTGAGGAGGAGCTTGCAGAGAAGGAGAAGCTTCTCACAGAGGTGGGTTACCTGCTTGGAAGTTTTTTTTTAATTTTGTGCGGCAAAGTGAAGCTGTACCTGTTTGTATTTTTTATCATATCTTGACTCTGTGAAGGACGGGGCATTTCAGTTATGGCGCAGTTGTGTACTCATCTCACAGCCCCAATTAAAACAAACTGCTGCTTAAAACGGAATGATGCTTTCTGGATCATCCACATATACATTCTTTCAGTGGCACAATATTGCAGTACGGTGAATTTGTTCGAGCCTTGCCTATCAGTGTTTGAGCCTTGCCTATCAGCCTTGCCTTTCGCTGAACTAGAAGAAGTGAGGAAACAGCAGTCTGCTTTTGCTGCTTCTCTTCAGGAACTGCAGAGTACCGTTGCTGCTCTTCGGAGCAACTTTCTTACAGTGAAAGAAAGCTTATCTGAAAATCGACAAATACTGGTTGAAGTCGGAACGTCTCTCAAAGATAGTGGTAACAGGTTTCGTAGGAACAACCTGATAGTGTTTGGGCTGCCTGACAACGCAAATGAAAGCTGGCAGAAATCCGAGGAAAATGCAATATCGTTTATCAAGAAAGAGCTTGATCTGACTGTCGCAACACAAGACATTGAACGTGCTCACAGATTAGGAAAGTAATGTGAGGGAAGGAACCGACCGATGATCATCTCATTTTCTAGATTTAAGGTTAAGGAACAAATTTTGTATTCCCGATCAAGGCTGAAGGATAAAAACTATGTGATTCGCGAGGATTTCGCTCTTGCTACTAGACGGGCACGCTTTAAGTTGACTCAATATGCTCAAGGTCTGAAACTCCCTTTGAAGCTACGGTTAGATAAACTTTATACGGGAAATAAAACTTTTGTCTATGACACTGCAGAAAATACGGTGACGGAACTCGAGAGATAGCTATATGGCAAGCGATTTGCTAATCAAAAAGCCGCAAGTGCGAGCTTTAAACGTGTCCCTTCTTGCAACTTATCTCTTTAACTACACTGCTGGTAAACTGCCGCAGCCTCAAAAATAAAGTGGATGAATTCGCTACTTTGTTGTCTACTACGCAACCTTCCATAGTTATTGGAACTGAACCTTGGTTGCATGAATCCATTGCTAACTTTGAAGTCTTTCCTGCTGGTTACGATGTATACCGATCTGATAGGAACACACAAGGTGGCGGTGTTTTTATACTTATCAATGAACGTCAACAGTCCGCTACTTTTCATCATTCAGAATCCGTTTGGGGCAAGGTCCGACTTAACAATGAAACTTGCTTTGCAGTTGGTTCCTTCTACCGATCCCCTAGCTCGACTAACCCAGAATCATTCGATGAGTTATCTCAATTTTTAAATACAATAAACTGCAGCTTTATACTTGGAGGAGACTTCAATATGCCTCTGGTTGCCTGGAATAATGGTAAACCTGTGTTCTCCGACTCGAGTTCACTGTCCTCTTCTTTCTCAGAACTTGTCACGACAAATGATCTGACTCAATTCGTAACTGAGTGCACAAGACAAGCTCACTCTTCCGCCAGCATGCTGGATTTGATTTTCGCTAACTCTGAGTCGTTGCTACATGATGTGGTTGTCATCCCAGGTATTAGTGATCATAACTGTGTCGTCGCCACTTACACTAACACATCATTGAGATCAGCCCAAAAACAACCCCGAAACGTTTATTTTTATGAGCGAGGTGACTATGCGTCATTGTCTCTAAAACTTTGTCTTTTCTACCCTGAATTCTGTGAAATGACCGAGTCAATCAACATTGATGAATTGTGGTCTGTTTTTCGTGATACATTGATGAATTTAGTTGAAGAATACATCCCTTCTAAACTCGTAACAAATCGATGCCACGACAAACCATGGGTAAACAAGGAAATACGAACTTTAATTAGCACGAAACGCCGCCTCTACGCTGCATATTTTAAAAATCAGAAACAGAGTGTGTCTGAAGAAATGCGTGACATAGGCTACAAAATAAAACATTTAATTAAAATAAATAAGAAAAATACATTTCATCACTTGATGTAGCTCTTAAAAATAATCCTAAAGAATTTTGCAAATTCATTAAAGCAAACAGTAAAGAGGTGAATGCGATACCAAATCTTTTGGTAAACGGAGAAGCAGTCTTTGACGATAACAAAAAGGCTTGCTCTTTTAACTCCTATTTTAAATCCGCGTTATCCAACACGTGCGCTAATCAACATCCGGTAATTCCAGATTTACCCTACGAGAATATGCCCATGGTCGCTGTCACGTACAATGGTGTTCTTAAGCTCCTTAGTAATCTGAAAAACAATTCAGCTAGAGGTCCTGATGGCATACCAACCAAGGTACTCAAAGCATGTCCTCAGGAAATTGCTAATTTGTTAGTCGTCTTGTTCAATGAATCGCTACACAGTAGTTCTGTACCAACTCAATGGAAAACAGTAAGCGTTGTTACCATTCATAAAAGTGGTCCCAAACATTCTATTCAAAACTATAGACCGATTTCGCTAACTTCTGTATGTTGTAAAACTTTTGAACATATCATTTACAGCTCTGTGATGAAACACCTCGAAAACAATGGTTTCTTTTCACCTGCTCAACATGGGTTCAGGTCTTGCTTGTCCTGCAGAATGCAGTTGGTTGAATTTTGCCATGATCTTTTATACTCCTATGATTCATGATTTCAAGTTGATTGCATTTTTTTATATTTTAGAAAGGCTTTCGACACTGTTGCTCATCATTTGTTATTGCATAAATTATCATCTCTCTGTATTCATCCGGCAATAGTTGTTCGGATTAAAAATTACCTTTCCGGAAGAACACAGCACGTCATAATTAATGGTTGTACGTCAACTGGAATAACAGTTACTTCAGGTGTGCCGCAAGGGTCTGTTTTGGGACCTTTGTTATTTTTGATTTATAACGATGATATTGTGCAGGGTCTTCATTGCAATGTCAGATTATATGCAGATGACTGTGTCATTTATAGGAACATAATAAACGAACACTATGTCATTAGCCTACAAACCGATTTAAACAAAATTCAAACTTGGTGTTCCACATGGTGTATGTCTTTGAATAGTACTAAATGTCAGTTTATATCTTTTACGCCAAACGTTTGCCTGTGAGATCGGACTATCATTTGGACGATACATCACTTGAACGGGTACAGCATTACAAATACCTTGGCGTTTATTTTTCAGAAAATCTGTCATGGACTAGGCATATTGAACATGTTACATTAAAATCTTCCCTAATGCTTAACCTCCTTAGACACAATTTTCACAAAGCCCCCAGTAGCGTTAAAGAATACCTTTATAATACGAACGTTCGTCCATTACTCGAGTACGCTTGCGCAGCATGTGGGACACAGACACCATCTGTCTTGTAAATAAACTTGAGCGTATCCAGAATCGCGCAGCCAGGTTTGTCTCTGGTAATTGCAACTATAAACTATAAAATTAAGGACAACCTTGGCTGGAAAACCCTAGCCCAACGCCGCTTAGCAACAAAATTGAAACTTTTTTTCTGTATTTACTGAGATCTCACAGGTATTAACAAAAACTTGTACATTTTTCCCCCTCACTTCATCTCTATGCGTTGTGATCATGACTGTAAGGTACCTGAAACGCGATGTCGCACAAATGTGTTTTATTATTCATTCTTTCCTCACACCTCCATGCCTTGGAACAGACTTCCTAAATGTATAGCAGATTGTAAAACACTTTCCTAGTTCCAGCTGTTTTTACATACAAATTTTCCATATGTCGCCTCTGTTGCATACACCGCTTTGTTATTAGCTAATTATTTTATCTTTGTCTTTGTGTAAACATATGTGCTTTTACGTGATAAATCGTGTTACCCCCCTGCAATAATGCCCTCAAGGTGCTGCAAGTTATTCTATAAATAAATAAATAAAAGGAATGATGAAAACCCTGTGCTGCGATGGTAAAAATGGCGTTTGGCCTCTTTGCACATGGGGTCTGTTTTTTCTGGGCCTTTTTGCAGGTTACCTGCTCGTTAATGTTTACTCAAGCAAGCTACACACTTCTCATGGGGAAACCCTGTCTCCACTGACTTTTACTGCCCGCTTGTGTTGACATGTGGCTTCCAATATAGCCCTCCTTTCTGTCCTTGTAATTACGCTGCCATTGCCTGTCGCTGCGGGCACACTACAGTGCCACTATGAAGTTCAAAACTTTAATATTCTGTCTGTTACCTTGGAGCGTGACCCTTCACCCTTTCTTTGCCAAAAAACCCCAAAACACGGCAGTGAAAGGGTTAAAGGGCCCCTAAACCACTCAGACATTAAAATTTGTTTGTGATTTTGGAGTTGTGCACGAGTGTTCAGTAAACATGCAGCCGATGGAATTTTTCAGTGGTGCTGTAAAAGTGGAGTTGCGCGTGTTGATGATCCTAATGATGCGTTTGCTCATTTCCCCCTTTCCTTCACTGTGCTCCATTCTTTTGCTCGTCTGTCTTCCTGGTTGAAGGTTTCCTCACAGTGCAAGGAGGAAGAGGGGGGAGCACTTGTACCTGCGAACAAAGAAATTTCATTTTGCTGACATTACTAGGTGTGTGTGGTTACATCGTGGTTTATGCTGGGGATGCCAAAATGTCGAAAAAGGGCAAGGTGTGTATTCGATACGTGCATTTACTTGTGTTAAAAAATTGTGGAGGTAGTTTAGGGGGCTTTTAACAAGATAGTTGGGCGCAACTTTAGAAGGCAGAGGCATTTCCACCTCAAGGCAGATGCGCACAGTCCTGCACCAAAGCATGCACTGTAGACTGGCATTATAAGGTGAATCGTCAGTGACCTTCCCATTGAAGGACGTTGCTGACAATATGAACAGGGCTATTTTTTTACTTGCTCAGGTGATCTCCTGCCATGTTTCAGTTGTCCAGGGGGAATGCAATCGTGTGACTAAAAAGACAGGACTTAGGTCATGAGAAATGATACAAGTTCTGTGCTAGGTAAGTTTGCCTTGTGTCATCCTAACTTTAAATATTCTACATCTCTTTGTAGGGCTTCACTAACTGGGCTCGGCGAGACTTCAACCAGTTCATCAAAGCCAATGAAAAGTATGGCCGTGATGACATTGAGAGCATTGCCAGAGATGTTGAGGGAAAAACACCCGAGGAGGCAAGTGGCTTACATCGTTTCTACGAAAAGCCTTTGGGTTGGAAAAAATGTGCCAGCCCTGACCATTGTAACCTGTTTGTGTGTTGTCTAGTTTTGTTCAAGATAGCTTAAGCCTTTGATACTATGTAGATAATTGTGTATTCAAGGTAGGTTAGTTAACCCTTTGACACGCTATGCACACAATTGTGTACACCACTCGTCTTTGCTATTTGTATCAAGTAGGGGCTCAGAAAGACCTATATATATATATATAGAGAGCTTTGGATGCATTGAACCTCATGCATGATAAATTTGTCTTCATTTAGAAAGTTTCTGTATACTGTTGCATATGATCGCTTTGAAGGCACCACCACGTTTAACGAGTCACTCGGCATGACACTTTCTGTGGACTATGTGAAAAGTATAATTTTTCTTTGCTGAAAGTGGACGTACAGTAGGCTCTCAGCAAACAGAAATCTGCATACTTGCCAAGTCACCCGAATTAGCCGGGAGACTCCCGGATTTGTACCGTTTCTTCTGTTTGTACGGTTTTAATGAAAATCTCCCGGAAATCGAAATTTCTGTGCGTGATCTGACCGCATAGACAAAAAACCAGCTCGATACGCTCCAGGCTTTTCTAACCTATCCCATTTTATTACGAATGAGTTTAAGAGGTGTTCATCACTGAGTAGAATCTCAGTGATGCGAAACCGCGGCAGATACGAATTCATAAAATTCCCCAGCCAAATTCCACTATGTCTATTGGGCCTAAATTCGAATGTTCCGAACACATTTCCTAATCGCGGCGGGTGATACGGACTTTAGTACAGAAATCGTCGGACGAAGGCCGAGAGCTGCGTACTCGAAGCTTCGGAAGTACGCGTGCGACCAGCGCTCGCACTGTCTTCTACAGTGTGTGTGATTGTGTTGCCACAACCGCTGTGGACGAAACCGTGGTCGCTCTTGACGCAATCATGTATGGCGACGACATAACTGACAGAGCCCCGAAAGTGTGCGCTCGACCAGTCAAAGCAGCACTGCTTTCCGCAAACTGCGGACAAAACTGCGGCAGATGCGATCGTAGATGGCATAAAACGACTTAGTTTTGAAGGCGCATTTTCGGCGTTCCTGTCAAAAGAATCTAGTAGTGACCAAAGCTTTGACCCGCGCTTTTGCGGCAGCCAGCTGCGCTGTCCCATCCATTCCCGTGTGTCCCAGGAAGACATACGCGAGTTGTTTTGAAAGAAATAGATTCTGCTAGCTGTGTTGATCCTTTGAGACTCTCACCTTAGTGGGAAATCCTACCCTCGTGTGTTCGGCCACTCCAAGCCACTATAAGTCCGCATCACTGATGTTGGTGCTCACGAATGAGACCCACCACCCTCTTGTTTATCGTGATGTTTTTTTGCTTGTTTGTCCATGGGTTTCTTTTTTGGTGCCCCCCAAAAAATAGGGGCAAATAATTCATTGCACACCCCCCCCCCCCCCCCGCTTGTTGCAAAAATCTCCCGGATTCAGAATCCTTGAGCTTGGCAGGTATGAATCTGTTAAACGAAACTATTGCCTCTACAGTACTTGGATTCAGGCTTGTATTCTGTACCCATGTTCATAGGCTCGTGCGAATATTTGAATGCTTCGAATATTTGAACGAATAGTAAAGTATTCGAATTTAAATTACCGAATCTTTCGAAGTATTCGACATGAAGGAATACGTGTATACTAATTCGCATATAACTGCCTGTAAAGGTGGTTTCACTGGAGTATAGTGGTGCTAAGCCATGAAAGCACCTGTTCAGGGGAAATCTGCCGTGAAGTCTTATTTCAAATTTAAAGGAACTTTGTGACACTTTTCGAGCATGGTCAGCAAACACTGCTAATTGGTAGTCGAGGCTACTGAGAACTCTCGAGCTAAATATTATAGCGCAGCACGTGTCATGGAATACACAATAAATTCTCAGTCAGATAAAAATTGCTTTCTTCTCTCGGCAAATGACGCCACAATGTCAAAAAACGCTCGACACAGCAATTGTACCAGCCATTGAATGATTTGAGCATGGGGTGCTCGGTCATTACTGGGGCCGCTGCAGCTGGCTGACACATGTCCATGGGTACATGTGTGCTCACACTGGAAAGCTACGTATTCAAAGAAAAAAAAAAGAGAGAGAGAGAGAAAGAGTGCTCAGGGTCATGTCATGCACGTGACGTGTTTTCTTTCCTTATGCAATTTTTCCTGGCTTTGATTCAAGTGCTTTCGTTGGGAGGAAAAGAGAGAATGCGATTGCAGCATGTGGCAAATCTTTGCGACTGCACTCATACTGGACAGATTCTAAAAATTTTCACGGCGGTTAATTCGTAAGACGATAAGCTTCTTTAGTGAATCCATTCTATAGCTACTTGGAAAACTGTTGCAGGGTCCCTTTAATGAATATATTGTCCTCAAATCGATTGATAAGTTCTTAAGCTTAAAGCTTGTTTTGCCGACTTTTACACTCTAGCTGTTATGAATAATGCTACGCATTTTACAAGGTATCACTTGCATCCTACCGAAAGTCAAATCCTGCTACTTCTCTAAGTTGTTTCGACTTCCTTTGAATGGAAAAAAAATGAAGAAAGCTCATGCATAGAGGCCTTGTTTAAAGAAGAAAAACAATATTGGGCAGGTTAGTTAGGTCACAATAAATATGCCTATTTCTCTTTATACGTCATGTATTCTCTTTGAATTTGATTCGAAATTATTTGATCAAAATTACTATCTGCTTTGAACGTAAAATTTCATTATTCGCACAAGCCTACATGTTCAGCTCCTCAGTTAACGGAATTCTTGTTAAATGGAGTATATTTTCCCGGTCCCTTCAGGTTCTGTTTACTGAGAGTCTTCTGTAATTAAAGGAAAACTTGCATTATATTTCTATCCTGAGATTTCAAACTATTTATGCCAAAGCAAGGTATTAATACCTTCTGAATGAATACCGTAAATACTTGCATATAATACGAAACTGAATATAATTGAGGCCAAATTTTAGAGGCGTGAAATGTAAAAAAAAACTGTACCTGCGTATAAAACGGCGTAGGAAAGGTAACCGAAAACACATTTGTTGATCACACATCTGCCATGTCAATCGTTGTCGTCTTCAACTTCGCTTTCCTCGGGCATTTCCTTGTCAGACAAATCGTCAAATAGGTGCTTGTCTTCTGTGCCATTCAGGGCATTAGAGATGCCGCACATGAAGGAACGACGCACAAGGTCCTCTGAAATGCTTGCCCAAGCGTCCATGATACATTTACATAACGTGGCCAGTGATGCCCGTTTCAGCCGCCCGGTGGACGTCACTGCAGGCTCACCTGAGTGCATCCACTCGGCGTAGCAACGCTTAACCGCATCCTTGAACGGCCTTGAACGCTAGTATTAGGGGAAAAAAACCTCGTATTATATGCAGGTATTTACAGTAGTTATTTAATTATACCTTAGTTAGGATTAGTTGTAAACACAGATCAATTAAGATATTGTGACGTATTTTTGTTGCGATAAACTGTTGAGTGCCTTGAACGAACGTTGTAGTGATTTGACAAATTTACCGACTGTTCTTCATAGGGGGCATAAAAAAGGGTTAAAAGTAGTTGAAAACATTTTGTTCACGTACTTTGCAGGTGATGGAGTACTCAGCCGTGTTCTGGGAACGCTGCCATGAGCTGCAGGACATAGAGCGGTTGATGGGTCAGATAGAGAAAGGGGAGGCACGCATTCAACGGCGAGCGTCCATCAAGCGTGCCCTGGAGGCCAAGATGAGCCGGTACCGGGCACCCTTTCACCAGCTGCGCATGGCTTACGGCACCAATAAAGGAAAGAACTACACCGAGGAAGAGGACCGCTTTCTCGTATGCATGTTGCACAAGCTGGGCTTTGACCGAGAAAACGTTTATGACGAGCTACGTGCTGCCATTCGTCAAGCGCCGCAGTTCCGCTTCGATTGGTTCATCAAGTCTCGAACGGCTGCTGTGAGTTTTGCTCCTTTTATCATAGATACATATTTGTGGTATTAAGCAGACATATGTGTCTGGGCTTGATTGGATCGCTTACTGTTCTGATATTGCTTGATAGTGCTGCTAAACTGTTTTCCTAGTGAAAGCCACTTAATGCTATTTCACTGCAGTTTTTTTCTGCACATTCGTAGACATCATATAGCTGCGGGCAACCGTCTTGTTATACATACTGGCACTGATTCGTACTAATTGCAGTAGTCCATGAATTTTACAGCTGCGAAGCGTTCTAGGGGCTCATCTTGTTGCCGTCCTCTGTTGTCATAGTGTGTAATGTAGTCACAGTCCATGATACAAACGGGTATGTGGCGCAGAAATTGGGGACATTTCAAGATAAGCATTCATTCTAAAAAGATGAGGCATGCAAATAAGCATCTGGTGTGAATTTTTTTACATTGAAGGCTGGTTCAAGATCACAAGGATTGGATGCGCCGTAGTTGTCCACAGCCGCCTGTGTTCATAACCACTATCACGTGAAATTAGAAAAAAAAACTAACTAACTAAATCCCAAGGACAGATTAGGATTCGAACACGAGTCCTCGGTGTGCCTGCCAAATATTTTACCACTGAGCCACGCCAGTGCCTAAAACTCCATTGCTAACTGGCCTTAGGCAAGCTTGATGTTGGGAAGAAAATCGTGTTAATGTCAGTAATAAAGCATTTTAAACAGCCAAGGAACAATCAGGCATCACACAATGCGTATTGCATAACGGGTGGGTCATTGAATGCTTAAATCTATTACAAAAGCTTCAGGCATAATTATTTATCTTCGTCAGCCGGATCATAAAAAAATTGCACAAAATTCCTTGCAAGTACGTAGTGGGTACCGCCCTTCTCCAAAGAATGATGAAAGATGGCATAGAGAACGCCTTCCTAGCACATACAAATTATGATTTGTGGCATGGTGGGTACCCTGCAAGTGTGCTTGTAGCAGTTACCCAAAGGGTGTTAACAAGGTCTTTGAAAGGCCGCTCTGAGCTTTTGCTTTGACTGTGCTGCGCGTTCCGTGCATGCCTGGCAGTTTATTCGTGTCTCCGTGTTTGCATGCCTCGTCTTTTTTAGAATGTGTATGTAAATCCCACTGCTCGCCGCTGATCTGCTGAAAGTGAAGAAAGCAACAGTTAGCCAAGCAAGTAGCTGAAGACATTAGTGGTGCTGAAACATCCTTCCCTACGTGTCATGAGAAACTCAAATCGAGCGTGTAGGGAAGAAGAAAAAAAAAAAAAAAGCGCTTCATGCTTTGCGCCTCGCGTTAGTGTATCTGAAATACCCTCCACGTACATTCATTGCTCCTCCCCAGTTTATTAGTCACACGTGAACTTGTGTTTGTGTGCCTAATTAGAATGTTTTATTTTGAGTTGTTGGTAATTCATCAGACTTCTCCAGCTTGCTTGAAACATTTGGTTTTCTGAGTCCTAGTACACCTCTTTATAAGAGGCATGCACCGGGCAGCAATTCTTGTCTCTTGTACGAGATCTCTCTTACAAGCAGGGTTCCTCCTATGCATTTTCTTATCAACCTGTATTTTACAGTAGACACACTAGTGTCTGTTATACCAAAATTTATCTCTTGTACAATAATAACTTGTTAACTTGAAGTCGTAAAGATCAGAGAAAATTTTTAGATAAACCGATTTTCGAGATAAGCAAAGTTGCGATAATCGCTGGGAAAAATGAGCACTTTTGAGAAAAATCACTGCTACTTACCAGCTCTTCAGTGGCAGTTTTATAATTTTTCTTCTCATGCATACAAGAGACTTTAACCGGCTGGGTTTTGCCAAAACAACCACTGCTGCAACCAAGTCCGTGTGCCCAATTTGCAAGGCCAGAGCGTCTGCCTTCTCCATCATTATTGCTGTGGTGACGGGAAGGTTGGCTGCTCTGGCATTTCGCAGCCATACCATCAACGCGGCTTCAATGTGTGGGAACTTCAACCCCCGAACCCGCTTTCGCTGGCTGGAGAAGCTCTGCTGAAATCCATCTGGCACCTTCTGCTTGTTTTACAGCACCGTCGAAAATGTAGACAAAGGGATGCCGAATTCCTGCACGATGCTCAGTTTTGTTCGGCCTCCTTTCTCCACTTCCTGAATTAGGGCAACCTTTTTTTATAGCGTGAGCGACTTGCACTGCTTTGATGCCATGCTTGCCTCACTCACCCCCAAGTTGCCGCTCCTCACAGTCAGCGAAAAATCTGTACCGCTCAGTTTGCACAAACGAACGGAAATCACACCTCAGGGAAAATCACGAGCACTGCACTCACATTCAGCTAAAAATCCGTACCGTTCGGTTCATGCAGATGAATGGAAATCGCACCTCAGGGAAAATCATGAGCACTGTACTCACAGTCAGTGAAAAATCCGTATCATGTAGTTTGCGCAAATGAATTAAAATCACAGCCGAGGGAAAATCATGTACACTGCACAAAGCGAACGAGACAAACTTCGCCAAGAATGGGCAGAAAGGGCCTCCCTGCTGCATTACATGCTTGACAAAGTTGATATGTTGCTGGGCTGAAGCTACGTGCACTTCACGTTTCCACAAAGCATTGGCGTAGTGGCAGGCGAGGCTAAATAAGGGAAAAAAAAAAATAAATGGACTTCAGGCGTGGCAGCATCGTGTGAATCTTGTCAAATGGTTCGGCTGGGGAATTTTCGTTCCGCTTCCAGTCAAGCTTTTGACTGATTCGCAATCTGACCCAAAAACACTTCTGGATAAAGGAAAAAATATACATAGCCTGTATAGGAAAATGTTTGGTGCCATGGAAAATTATGACTTAGCCGATTTATCGAGATATGCGCGTTCAAGTTAACAAGGTGTTACTGTATCAATATCTGTTATAAAGGGGTTTGACTGTATTGAATTATTACCTTGACATGATGAAACAGCATGCAGCATAATATATGAGAAGTGGGGACTTGTAAGTTTTCCAGTCGGAAACTCAGCTTAATGCGAGCTCCATCGCAATGAAATTTTACTTCCTCTTCACCAACAAAATCTTTAATTGCAGTGGGTAGTGATGCTGTATTTAATGAGTTGTGCCAAGCTGCAGAGAATATTATACAAATGGGATTGGCATGCTAAGTGGAGGCAGGAGCAAGTTTATTCCAAATGGTTATTTCTGCATGTGCTAGCATGCAGCAAGAAAGTTTGTTATAACAGAGGACCTTTCAAACAAGCATCGAATCCGTCAAATGTTCAATGGCCAGTTTTCAAACTTCATAATGCTTAGGTTGTACAAAAGTTGCGAAAAAAGTTACAACTGAAGCGGGGTTATTTCGCAGTCACGATTGCCCAAGTTGTTGATGTCACTTATTTTTTTGCGGGCAAGAAAAGGAAATGCCTGATATCCAGCTTTCTTTGCTTTATCACCTGCCAAGTTGAACATTAAGCTGTTGAAAAATGTATTATAAATTTGTAACCAGGTATTGATCTTCTACTTGAACAGTAATGACGTGTGACATGGTATTTTGCGAGCATAGCATTACTTGTCACAATGTCCATGGTGATTTATTTTGCCTTCGTGAGGTTGTAGGCTGCATTGTTGGTTGCATCTGAGCAGAGTTCTGATTGGACTGTATTGCTAAGGAGAGAGAGTGTCAAAATGATGAGCATGTTCTCCTTTGACTGGTGCAATGTGCAGGAGCTGCAGCGACGATGTAACACACTCATTACCCTCATTGAACGAGAAAACCAAGAACTGGAGGAGAAGGAAAAGGCGGAGAGGAAGCGAAGAGGTGGTGGCCGTCCTAGCACACCCAAGGTTTGTGTGGTTCTTTCTAGCTGCATTCTACCCTCGTTACAACAGACCGTCATAATTCGGCGAGATGAGTCTGTGTTATCTGAAGTCAGTAATAACCAAACTTTGCAGTGCAAAGAGGAGGGGGAGGGGGTGCGCTAATCACCGTGTGGCGATTATTTAGACTTTGCTCAGCAGTATGGGGCAGGCTAGGTCCGCTGGTGCATGATTAATTTATTCGACAGCATAGTTACAAAACACTTGAAATCAATCACCACAAGAAGTTATTAACAAAATTGCAGCACAAATTCCAATTTATGAGCAAGTGCTGTGACAGTAGGTGCAGGAGCGCTATGGGGCCCATGCACAGCAGCAAAGTTTAGCCCGAAATACCTAGTGTTTCTGCAGGCCTTTACAGCCGCTTCTGTGCTATCAGCTTGGAATAAATTATTTCTCATTTGTGCAAACAGGAAAGCATATTTGCTTTCCCATTTGCTTTCCGCCTGTCGACCGCTGAGAGCTGTTGCACCCGCCCAAACTCCACGGCTTGCTGGACGATCTAAAGTTGGTGTGAGAGTTCTCAACTGAGCAGCACCAAGCCACCTCCTACATTAAAATTCTAATATTACAGTGGAATGCACCTGATTGGAGCATCAGAACGCCTTACATTAAAATTCTATTATTACAGTGGAATGCACCTGATTGGAGCACCAGAACGCCTTACTTTCAAAACTGTTGCAATGTCTAACAATGTTGGTGCAATGAGTGAAGAACATCTAACACAAAATGCCTTTTTTATTTACAATTAGCTCAAAAAGAAAGTTATAATAAGACATTGGCAAGCACGCTTGAGCGGTGATGCAATCACTTTGCACTGCATGCTGGTTAGCTGCAACACTTTAACACATTGAACCATTGGCGTAACCAGTGTTCTCTCAGACTAGCTTGGCTAGAGGCTTGACTTGGTCGGAAGCCACCAATGTTGTCAGTGACAGTCTGAAATTGCCGTTTCTTTAGCATGCAGAGAGTGGTGTGATCAAATTTGCTGCCATTCCACATCAGCACTGCAAAAGCACGCTTTATGCACCCAGTTTTGAAGAAAAATGCTGCTAATTTTGTCCATTGTAGCCGATTGTCGTATCGCGGTCCCTTGAAAGTGAACTTGGCTCCAATAATTTAATAATACACAGACCAAACTTAGGTTGAATAATGGTCTGTTGTATTCAAAAGTCTGATGTACGCAGGTCCATTACACTGAATTTAGACTGTATCATTTATTTAGGGTCCTCTGGAGGACCCCCAAAGGATTGGTGCTGTTCCGATGTAAACTCCGTTTGCATTGGACATGGACCAGTGTCAATTTTCACAGTTTCCAACTCTGGCAGAACATTTGCTCTTATTTGAGTTATACAAGATTAAATATTTTATATATCTGATATTTATGAGCAACCGCAGCAGAACCTAAAGGTTTTCTTCCAGAGAAATTGGGGGTGGAACAGCTGCATCATTGTCTGCCAAACTTGTTCATACCTGTGCCATCCTGTACTGAACTGCCCCTTCTGCACCAAAAACGTTCATCTGCATCATATTGCGCTGCAGCACCCGAATATAGCTACATGGTGCGACAGCCATTAAGTCCCATGCCCAAAAACGAGGCTAAAACATTGTGTTTTTGGTTTTCTTGTGAAACTGTTACAGTCTTGGTTTTATCAAGGCTTTGATTGCTCGAGCACCAGCTGTGAACTTTACTTTGAGGGCGTAGTTGAGATCGTTAGCACGTTCCAACTCGGCAGGCATCATTGCGAATGGCTCGTGGATCCTTTCAAGTGCTGTGCTTTTAATGCGAAGAGACTGCGGAAAGGGCATCTCTCTCTGGCGTGGCCGTATTTTCTTATACCAGTGTTTCGAAGAGTTACGCGATATGGCATCTAAAGATCTGCTAGCCTTAGTTCATATAACATTATAATTTGTTGATATAGCATTCATTGCTTTGCCATAGCGGCGGAACTGTGTTTTTTTATATAACTTGATGCCAGGGCTCAGATAAGAAAGAGCTTAATCGCAAAAGTGAAACAATAAATGTGATGGCTGCAAATTTTGAATTCGACCTCACGTAACTCTACAAAATGCTGGTGTAAAAAAGCACGGCCACTCACCCCAAGGTGAGCAGCACATCACGAAGAAGTGTATGTGCGCCGCCCGCTCATGGCTGCCGAGCTATGGTCCCTGGAATAGCTGAGCTAGAGCACACGCCAGCAATTGCGACTAGAAGCAGGGTTCACAGTTGCTGCTTCGGCGGCTTTCCTTCTCGCATCTTTTCATGCTCGTTGAACCGGGCGGTGCGTTTCCTGTCTGCTTTGACATCAGGCCTCTCAAGTGGGGTGATGTCATCGCATATGCCCTTTAATTGATAAAGAAGAGCTGACTCGCTTGATCTCTGCTTCAGCCGTGTTCGTCACCCCCTCTTGCGTGCTTTCATTCGCGGGTAAAAATATTATGCACGGAAGTATGTTATAAACTTGGACTTCATATGGCACATGATGACGACAATGGCAACAGCAAAAACTCGTTAAGGGGGACTGCAAATGTATTAAGGCTATTGCACAACTTAGCTTATTGTTTGAAAAATGCGGCGTTGCTCTAATGTTGCTTTACAAGTGCTGTGTAACGGGGCTTAATCTGCTCTGAACGTTCTCTATGACTCCTCCGAATTTGATAAAAAAGGCCTTTTTGGCTGCTCCAATCCTGCTACAAAAGGCACTTTTTCCTGCTCCGGGGACTACTTCCAAACCCATGTAGCCTGTTTCACCGCTGAGTGTGATGAAATGGCTTGGATTTTGTTCAGGCACTCACTGAGGCAAACTGTATTGTTCGAGTACTTTTCAGACTGTAGTTAGCGCAAAAGCTTTCTTTAATTTTACTCATACATTTTGTCATCATTGCATGTGTGCAACATTTCTTCTTGTTATCCTCTGGCCCCAATATGAAATGTATTGCAACCTGTTAAGGGTGTCTCTTGACCGCCGCCGTCAGCAGGTTGTGCTCGTAACTTGCATCAGGACCGACGAGAAGGGAAGTACCGGCGAGACGGCGCAGAACAGCAAATCAAAAGAGTTTAATACTACATAGTTAGACCAAAGTGGACATTCAAGTTTACAAACAAAGGTAAGAAGCCGAGGAGCAGAGTTCCGGCAGAGTCTCAATCCAGACTGCTCCACCCAGTCTCTCCCTGCGCGTTTTTAAAGGGTTCCAGACGCTTGTGTGACGTCAGGCGCCTCCAGACATGACCAAATATGGAACACCTTGTGTTCGCACCACCTACCACGCCACTGGTCACGCCACCGATCACGCGACTGATCGCGCCACGGATCACACCACCGGCGTTCCCACACTCAAGAGCCAGGTGCGAATCAGCCACGAGCTCACCGCGTTCTCGCGCACAGCACATGACGACCTTCGTGGCAGCAGCGTCTCAGGTTCCTCGGCGTCTGGGCATACACTTCTGCGCCTCCACCCCCGATACGTTTACAGGCCCGGGAGCGTTCGCACGCTGTCCGTGGTCTTGCATTTGGGCCCAAAGGGGTTCGCGTAAAATGAAGCGTAACAGACTGCCCCCTCGCTGATGGAGATCCCGAATGGCAGGGGACAGCATCCACTGTCAACAGGGATCAGTCGTCGAAGCTCGTAGCCTTCTTGACCTGGAGCACGGTACGTGATACCTGGCTCCAGGCCCTGTTCCGTCTTGTAAGGTAGTTCCGCCAGATTTCCCTGATGTTGTCGAGGTTCGCCGGAGGCGAACCATACAATGGAATCCAGCAAATGGCGATAGTCAAAAGTGGCCAAAGACAATGGTATGAGCTCCTTTCCGGGGCGACCCCGCAGGGGCTCGTCGGTGGGGCTGGTCGCCCGGCAGCTCCGGGTGGTGAGATCATCACACCCCACCACTTCAGGTCTTTCATCAGCAAGAAGGGAAACCACAGGTTCTTCCGGCGTTCCTGCCAAGAGTTTGGAACCGACGTGGTGTCCGAAGAGATGCTAGATGACAACGAAGTCCTCTCTCTGTGAGAGCAAGATCCTCGCCATGGTAAAGCCGGTCGACTGAACAAACAATCCACGGGAAAACACAGGATAACAAAGCCACTGAAGAAGCAAGCGCGAGACACGTATCCACTGAGCCCCGCCAGGCTTACCTTAAACACAAAAGTCTCAATCTTATTACTCGTACAAAGTACTAAACACACCCCTAATTTCGTTGCCCACCTAACGACGCACAGGTCTTCCAAAACGACGGAAGAAATAATAACACAAAAACCTATGTCAGGAAGAAAAACAATCCAGGCCAATTCATGACCTAGGGGCTTCGGCTTAAGCCATCGGCATTGCCATTGAGACTCCCCTTTTTGTACCGTATTTCGTATGAATACTGCTGCAAAACGAGGCTCCAGCGCAGGAGGCGACCATTTTTGGAAGAAGTGGACTGCAGCCATCTGAGAGGACAGTGGTCTGTCTCTATTATGAACCTCGAGCCTGCAAGGTAGCACGACAACTTTTGCACTGCCCATACGAGACACGCACATTCTTTCTCGGTTGCGCTATACGCTTGTTCTCGCACAGTCAGCTTACGACTGGCATAAAGAACTGGGTGTTCACCGTCCTCTCCTCGTTGGCACAACACTACTCCCATGCCTCGCTCACTAGCATCACACTGAACTATGAACTCTTTCGAATAATCAGGTGATTTCAGCACAGGTTGACCTGTTAAGGCGGCTTTTAATGCTTTGAAAGCCTCCTCTTTACGGTCATCCCAGATGACAGTTTGTGGCTCAGTTTTCCGGAGCGCGTCAGTTAAAGCGCTAGCTAATTCCGAATATCTCGGGATGTAACGTTGATAGTAACCTGCAACCCCAAGAAATGAGCTGATATCTGTCTTTGAGCGTGGTTGCGGAAATCGCGTATGGCAGCCACATTGAGCTCAGAAGGTCGGAGGCGTCCTTGTCCGATTATGTGACCTAGGTAGATCACCT